CTTTTTCCGGGGAATTCGCAGGGTTTTGGACGGAAACTTGAACCACCCTTTCCATCCATCTGCATTCAACCACTTTAGTAAATCGTACGGGATCAATTTGGAAAGCTCGTTGCAGGAAAGCTCGCAGAGATGATACGTGTGTGACATGTACATTTGGCCTTCTAACCCAAACCCGTTCTCGGACCGTTCTTGCAGTAATTGCTGGAGAACTTCCTGCTCCGACTGGCATATAAACGTCCCGTACAGCAAGAGAGCAAGCAGATAAACGTCGCTCTGCTCGCACAGCGAGAGAAGCGATGCATTCTACTGGGAATCTGGATCGATTTGTATATACTTCTCTGCTGGATCGCTTTCTTCGGAATTCGTCAGAAGAAAGAAAGCCGGCGTTCTCGATCATTTCGACACTTTCGGATCGGAGAAGACCTTCACAGAGCGCTCTCCTAAGCGGAAGAAGCAAGATTGGCAGCGTACACTCGCGGAGGAAACCGGAAAATGAAGGAAAATCGATGAAGAATCGGAACGACAGGCAGCGTCGTGTAAACAAACCCGACTTCTCGGCAAATCTGCCAGGCTTCTACTTCGATTTGGGAAGCTGTGGGAATCGCCGACCTCAGAAACCATTTCTTTACAGGCTTGATATAGTTTCTGTGCTCATTCCTTGCGCAAACCCCTACATGTCGTCTTCATTCATCACACTCAGGCAGTTAATAAAGGGAATCAATCCATTCAAAGCGGCTCTAATTCGAAACGACGGATTGCTTCTACAATTCGAAATCGCGTGCCACGAAACTGAGACGAAGAATTCGCGACGCAGCGTAGAGAATTCCGAGTAATGAAATGAGACGAAGCTGATAGCCGCTGAATGAATAGTTCTTGTCGGTTCCATAAACGATGATTTCCTCGTCGTTCCATTTGATTTTGTTCGGTTTTACGGTGCGACGTGGCGACTTTCGAGGCGTTCGCTCTCTCGATTTTGGAGAAGATTGATTGGATCGGATGTCGGGCGAAGACTGCGCCGATTTCGTTGTCGTTTTCGAAACGTAGAGCTGCTTGAGAGCCGATTGCATGAACACAGGGAGCGATAATCCGCTCACAAAAGCCGAGTTGATTGAGGAAGAATCATCGCTCGAGGGTCGTTTTCTGGAGGCGTTTGTTGGTTCTGCTTGGAGAGTGGATGCAAAAGAACGCTGTGAAGGAGGCGAACGCGATGATTGCGAAGAGCGTTGCTGCGACAGCGAGCGGAAATAGGAGAGAACCGCGCGCGGCGACGGGCTTTCTTCGGGAGTTCGCGAGGAATCGGGCGACTGTGGCTGCGTTTGGATATGTTTCGCTGCTGGGAACAGAAGCTGGGATTGGGATTGGGATTGGGATTGGGATTGGGATTGGGATTGGGATTGGGATTGGGATTGGGATTGGGTGGCTTCGGGATCGTCAGCACGCGACGTATCTGGAAAGAGCTGCGACTGGAATAAAGACTCCGATTGGGTGGCTTCAGGGGATTTGAGATGCGAGGAATCTGGGAATAACTGCGATGGCGCTTGTGTCTGCGATTGGGTGGCTTCGGGATCTTCCATGCGGGCTGAATCTTTGAAGAGTTGCGACTCGGATTGAGTGGCTTCAGGAGATTTGAGATGAGCCGAATCAGAAAAAGTTTGTGACTCGGATTGAGTGGCTTCAGGAGATTTGAGATGAGCCGAATTTGGAGCGATGGAAGAAGAAGAATCGGGTTGAGTTGCTTCCGGAGATTTCGGTGTCCCATCGAGTTGAGAAGCATTGGGGAACGAGCTAGGGATGAGTGAAGGAGGATCGCGAGGGGTTGAAGGAGCATTGGAGAAAAGAGAGTCATCGCTTTTTCGAATCAGTTTTGAACGAGTGTAGGGATAGATATTCGTAAAGGAGGATAGATACGGCTTGGAAAAGAGGAGAAGACGGAGCCAGATACGTTTGCACAGTTCTTCATACTCTGTTGGACACGGAATGTACAACTGAACGACATGAATCTGCCCGTAACTCCATCACTTGATTTCCACTTGTTTTACTAACACATTTTGAGTGATATAGAGCAAACGCTGCAAAGAGATTTTCAGACTCTCCTTTTCCTTCTTTCCCCTTGTTTTCTTTTTTCCACCCTACGCTAAATAGAATTTTGCAACTGTACGGTTCGTTTCACAGCCACACCAAAGGAATCTTTGGCAACCGCATTGAGATTCTCCTCAACAACCGCCTGGTGTGATTCCTGTCGCATCATAGATTTCAAAACATTCATACTTTTGACACAGTTCCACAGTTGCTGCAAACCAACTCTCCTTTTGTATTTAAACTAAATGTACTTCTTCCGCATGTCTCGCAACGATGTTCCGGTGGCTTTTTGCCCATTGTTGGAGAATGACTAGTTTTTCTTTGAGCTCAAACGCGATTCATTGTTCAATTAAACATATAGATTATCTAACTCCTATTTCTATTTTCATTTTATTGATATCCCCTCTCCGATTAGACTGTTACTCATACTGGTGAATGCAAAAACATCCCCTTGCACCGAAGGCTCACTCCTTTCGAAGGCAAGAATGTCGTTGCTCTATTGGAACTCTCTTGCAACTGGTGAATGGATCGGGTGACCAAGATGAAGAATCCGTTGCACTACAGATTTTGAACACTTTAAGTGCTGTATCCATACCCATTCGAAAGATAAGTGAAGTTGTACGAGATTGAGTTTTCTATCTTATTTTCAGGAAATTGAAGACCTATTTTTTAACATTTATTCTCGACTTCGATGCCTTGGGTCTAATTTAGAGAAGAAAGATTTGGAACTATTTGTTTCGATATGCTATCGTCAGCACGTAGGATTTAGTCAACATTTAAATACTTAGTTGATACTTTCGGACTCTCACTTTCTGCAAATCCTTTCTCTCCTTCAATCAAACGATTTTTTCGTTATCGATGTTCGCTTTCTCTCCTATTACGTCGATTTTGGCGGAAAACTCATCTCCGAAACGTTTCTGCAACAACTTCTCCCCTGTCTATGCGATCATCTCTGTAACGATTCGTTGAGTGAAGACATGGAATACTCCTTCCTTCTTCTATGCAGCCACACATTCCATACAGCGCGGTTTCTCTCCATGATTCCCACCTTTTCAATATCTTTGAGCCACTTGGAATTTCGTTTTCTTTCGTGGCTTCCTTCGCTTCTTCATCTCCCGCTTTCTGTTTGATTTTTCATTTGCTTCTTATCAGAATGCTTCTCTCGTTCTTCATCTTCTTTGCTTCCAGCTCCAACATCCCTTCGACTCGAATTCTCACTCTCTTTCCGAAGCCTCTGCGGCTTCTTCTACTCTTCTTTCCTCCGTCACATCGCTCTACTTGACTTCGTCCACTTCGTCCACGTCTCTTTCCCACTTTTTGTCCAGCGTTCTCCAATTCCACCGCGTCACACACACGCTTCTCTCCCAAATCTCTCCCACAGACATCGCTCTTTTGATTCAATGGATCCATTCCTGGTCCGGAGAGCAAACAGTTCGAAACGAAGCGTTGTCAGCGATTCGTTCCTTCTTAAAACTGGGAGATTTCCCAACGAATCTTCTCCTTTCGCTCATCCAATGGGCAGTCGCTCAAATGCAATCACATATTGTTGTTTCCACCGAACTACTCCGCGTTTTTCTCGAGCGATTTCGTTCACTCCTAGACGATGCAAGTCGTCTTGAAGGTCTGCTCTTCCTCCAATGATCCGCAAATCTGCGAGCAGTTGTGCATGTTTGTAGAAGCGCTTCAGAAACTCTCTGCAGAAGATTGCTTTCGATCGCAGGATGCTTTGATCACGCTCACGCAGGTTTATCGGCTTTGCTCGCCTTGGATTTCGGACGCGTTGGCTTCCTTTCCATGGTCTGCGAGTCTCTCCGCGATCACAAATCCGTTACAATCCGCAGAAATGCAGAAGAAACAAGCAGTTCTGATTCAAACGATTCTGCAAAACCATTTCGCTGAAGTGCCGTTCGTTTTGATATTTGATAATCCCTTTCTAGCGAAAGTACGAAGCAGGAAATCATTCGCCAATCCGGAATGGAGCGAATCCAATCGATTCCTTTATTCCAAACACTTTTTGTTTGTTATCTTCTTCCCGGATTTCTAGCGAATCCTCCTTTTCCTCTCTTCCCTTTGATTCAAACGTTGCTTCGCCATTACTCCACGCAAGTTCGAGTTACGCTTTTATCTCAACTCACTTCGGTCTACGAGCAGTTACCAAATAAAGAATCGCTTTTTGAGACGCTGATTCACGAAGCCACTTGCGAAATCGAACGCTCTGAAGGCGAGAATGAAACGCTAATCGATTCTTTTCTCGTGCTGTTGACTGAATTCGCGCCGACTTTTTCGATTTCTTCGTCGTTTGTGTGTTCGATGGTTCGGTTGTTTCCTTGCTGGAAAAGCCGGCTTCAACTCCATTCCATCCAGCTGTGGAAAGCGTTCCCGCTCCTTTCGATCTCCGGCTTTTCAGATCGAGTTCTCGAATTGCTTCCATACGCTATTTCGCGTGATACTCACATCGTTTCTGAGTTTCTTTCCTTGCTTGAAACGTGGAGTTCGGTTTTATCGCTCTCTCAAATCGTTTCGATTTGCGAGACTCTGTCTCAGGAGCAACAAGATCCACTCTTTTCCACTCTTTTCTTTTCCTTTTTCAAGAGAGCCGTTCGTGAAGAATGGGACGAGCCAATCATCATCGATTCTCTTTCTCGAATCATCTCCATCGCTTCTCCCGAATCGCTCCACGACTTCCTTCCCTTTCTCAGCTCGATCGAGAAACGTCCTTCATGGGGAAGGGACAATCTGACGAGGCTCGCGGATATGGCCGAGGAAATCGTAGAGCGTGAGAACGTGTGTTTGTCCTACTTGGATTCCGTGCTGCTTGAAGAAGTATTCTCTTCAACGGAAAGCGTGAAGTGTAGGTGATAAGTAAGATTCGGAGTTGGTTATGCGATTGTTTGTTACTACAAACATGTGAAAAGAACGAGTTATTCTTTGCTTTGGCTCGTGATCAATTGCTGGAACGCTCTCTCCGCGATCGATTTCCACTGTTCTGCCCGTCATTCGATACAGACAACCCTACCTCCCAGCTCCTTCAGTCGCGCGTTCTCTTTCCGCAGCGCTTCCTCCGCGCTCTCTTTCTTCGACGTCGTCTCGACGACCGAGAAGGCCTTGTTTCCCTCTGCGCTCTGCGCGACGCCCACAAAACGACTCGACTCCTCCGCAGATTGGATGGGATTCAAGCACAAAACCGGCTCGAAGTCGTCGATCTTCGAAATGCGGTATTTCTTCAAAGCACGCACTGGATAGAGCGTGTTTTCGTCTATCCATCAACTCTCCATCTGTCTGTCGCACTGTCGAACAAAAGCGTGGGGTACGGAATGGCACACAGAAACACAATCGATTTGTCCGATCCATCCTCCTTCCCTCCCAAATTCATCTTCGACGACGCATTGCTTCCTTTGTACTCTCGCAGCACCTGCATCGTCTCCGCATCCCACACCTGCTCCTCATTCTCCCTTTCATTCACTACCAAAACGCGCCCATCCTGGCCTCCCGTCAGAACCTTCGAGTCATCTCCTGTGATGCAGCACCTTCACGTCATTCTCTCGCTCCAATCAAACGCGGTGATCGCGCCGGAATGGCCAGAGATCGACGACACGCCTTCCTTCCCTGCCAGCACGCTGGATTCCAAAGGGACGCTCAGATCGACGATGTAGATCGCGCCGTCGGCGCCGCCGGCATAGCAGCGATTTTCTGCGTGATTCATAACGAGCTATTTTGTTAGAAAAAGAGAGTGATACGCAATGGATCGGGGAGGGGGTGGAGATTGTGCAGAGCAGACGATGAGCAAACAAACTCCAAATTCGAATGGTTTTGTCCATACTGCTGGAGAGCAGATACACTGCAGATAAACAAAGAGCAAAAGAAAAACTTCCTGAACCAAGTGCGAGATCTGTTACTCCTAATGCGTGGTCGCTGACTGTCCACAGTGGTTTAATTGCACGGTTCACATCATCCAGACCGCCTATCAACTCTGCTAAATTCCATTGACGGATAAGTCCATCCTATCGTTCATGACGGGCAATACACTCACATCACCAGCCGTAATGAGACAACTCATATCTTGAGCGCAACGAATCACAGTCACAGCCTACATAGGTAGCAGTGAACGAATATACCTTGTAATGAACATCTACTATGGAAAGCAAGTCTCCGCTACTGCAGCACCAAACATATCTTGTGAATAACCAAACAGAAATTATACAGTTTTCCGGAAATACTACCTCCAAACAGGTAAACTCCATCTGGAGAACTACACAGACACGTCATCTTTATAAATTATTCAATATAAAATTACACGTTCTCCCGTAGAGTTTCGAAACAAAGGAGCCTGCTTCCCGTACTTCCATGTCGTGATGACTGGCTTTGTTGACTGCATAGAAGACAACAGATTAGTAGTACTTGAATCGAGTAAATGCTTTGCTGGAATACGCCAATATCGCTATTTCGGTTCGGAATGTTAATCAGAGCAGTGCCTAACTATTCCACAGTCTGTAAATTCACTTACCATTCTTTATTCCATAATTTTCCTTGAACTCGAAGATGTTACTACAGGAGTGAACATCCCACATATTCAATGTGTTTTCTTTAAGCGAAGTCGACAATATAACTTCTCGATACATCAAGATAGAATATTTACCAAAATGTCATGCAAACAAACATTGCCAACAAACAAGTAACCAAAAAAGCTATGATACCTGTATTTCTCTTTCATCCAAAACATTGTCTCCTTCCGAAAATGATGTTGTAAGTTTAAAATCACTCTCAAGTCGGAACTTGTATATCAGATCAACTCTCCTTCCTATCAAAGATTCGTCTTCGATCACCATCTCTCCAACGGGTTCATATGATTCTCCATCAGCACTATTCTCATAGATCATAGCAGTTGCATAGCCAATATTGTCTTCACTGAGATAATACTTGTATTGTCCTTCTGCTGGAATCTCACTTCCCGCTTTTATCATGCATCTATAACGGCCAGGACGCGTGCTGATATAGACATCACGTGTAGCACACTCCGTTATAGTAACATCCATGATGTCTCTACTTGCGATAAACAGAGCTGCACCGCTAGCCACACATTCAGAACAGTTTACAGCACGCGAAATTTTATCTTGACCGAACTCATTACATAAAGCGTCATAAACAAACGGGATTTGACTCGATCCTCCTACCATCACAATATAAGAAATGTTATTCATATCCATACTGATATCAGAAAGACAAGCACGCACGGTTTGAAGTGTAGAATTGATATGATTTTCAATAAGACTGTTAAATGTTGTACGATCTATCGCAAATGTCATATCCTGCTCATCAATATCTTCCTCTTCTTCGATTTGAGTTCCGTTTTTAGATTTCTTGTACAGAGATTTAAAGTACTGACCAATATCGATTTCAGTTAAAGATTCAGATGTGAGCCGAGTCTTGGCTTCACAGCATTGATCGAGCAATAACATTTGAGCTCGAATAAATTTAGCATCATTTCTTTCATTGTCAGTTTCAGGTAATAGATATTCGTCTATATCTTCTCGGAATCTCCGATTTACCCAATGTAGAATTTCCATATTGAATTTTTCTCCTCCAATATCAATGTTCCCATTCCATTTTAATACTTTGTAGTGTCGATTTTCAATCTTTAGTATGGAAGCATCAAAAGTACCTCCTCCTAAATCATATACAAGTATGTAGCCATCGTTAATCTTATTTTCGATACTATAAGATACAGCAGCAGCTGCTGGTTCAGTAACAAACTTTATGTTACAATTGATTCCAGATATATCCACTACTGTATGCATGGACATTTTTTGTTGAATAGAATAGGCAGCAGGAAGTGTGATGCAATACTCAATGGTATCACCTTCAGCAATCACTAGCATCTTCTTGTGGATCCATTTCAATATTTCAGAACAAACCATTTCGGGAGAAATGGGATAATCACGAGAAGGAACAGAAAACGCATATTTTCCTTTATTATTTATCACATTTGCTCTGCATGATAACTCAACATTCTTCTTATAATCCTCGTCGTAGTCTTTACCAAATAAACGTTTCCAATTCATAACAACTTTCCCTTTTGCGATATCCCCTGCTCTCAGTGCTGAAGCGCCCACAAGCACAGATCCATCGTCTCGGTAATTAACCACAGAAGGAAAAGCATGTTTTCCGTCATCCATGGTTAAGACCTTCATAGTTCCATTCTTCAAATAATATACACAGCAGAATGATGTTCCTAAATCAATTCCACAGTAAATCGTCATAAATAGATAAAAATGGATTTGGTTTATATATTATTATTACTAGCTATAACTGGGTGTTTACTATTGAGTCCTATCAGTTAATATTCTTTTTATTCTTTTTACTATTATTATTATTATTATTATTATAGCCTATGCGGATTCTATCATCCTAACGAGTCTATAGATACTCACGCAAATTAAAAAAAACACATTATAAGCAAACAAACACGAAAATCCCATACTTTACCAAGCCATTTCTGTCTCCGCTTTTGCCTCGGCCTTCGCTTCAGCAGAAGCTTCATTATTCGTTTCTAGCGACATTCGTCTACACCTCATTCCCCTTCTCTCTCCCCTACTCATAGGCTCCAGTATCGCTCATCACGTTCAACAGCAGCGATTCTGCAGACAAATACACACGGTTGTTCGATCTGGCGATCGTGGCTGCAATCTCCTTCGCGGCCTGCACACCTCACTCCCTTCCTTCGCCCCTACATCAATGCGACGCAGCTCGATGAATCCCGGGTAGTTCTTCATGGCCTCTCCGATCAGCTTTGCCGATCTGGCCTCTCCCTCTGCGTGAATAATCGTGGATTTCTTGTCCTGCTTCGCCTGCTCCACCACGTACTTCGCGCGCTCCGCCTCCTGCTGGGCTGCATCTCATACAACGCACTTGCGTCCTACCGACCTGCTTGGCTTCGACGGCGTTGGTGAACTCACGGCCGAAAGCCAAATCGATAATGGCCACATCATCGATGATGATGCCGAACTCGCGGCCTCGCTCGATCAGATTGCGCTGGATTAAACGGCTGACTTGCTCTCGCTGAGTCAGAAGGGCAGAGGCGTTGAACTGGGCGATCACTTGCTTCAGGACTTCGTTCACAATGGAGGGCATCACACGCTCGTTCCAGTCTACGCATGAAGTGCGAAACCAAAAGATACTCAGACCAAGCTCCTTGTATGTGTTTGGAAGGACCTCAATCGAGGGATGGCACAGAACTCGAAGAGAGATGTTCACCATCTGCAGATCTGGAAGTCAGTTAAAAGGGCATGTACAAACCTCTTGTTCCAGTAAGAGAAGTCATTGTTCTGGGCTGCGTACGGATATCGTACTTGTAGACACGCTGGAACCAAGGAATCAGGAAGTGAGTTCCTTCAGGAATAATCTTATTCTGAATACCGCCAATACGGTTGTAGATAACACCACGGTGACCAGAATCAACTAAAAGAGGTAAGAGACGAAAACGAAAAACAAAAAACTTACTGTTGTAAAGGGACTCATAACCAATCCAACAAACTAAACCGGTAGCTACACCATACTTCAGCACCTTTCCAAGAGCATTCACGGCTTGAGCCATCTACAAGACCTTTGTTAGAGAAATCCAATGCATTAAACGAGCAGCGAGAAGGAGCACAACCTACAATGATAATAGACTGAACAGACCTCGAATATGAGACAAAGGAGAAATAATGCAAATAGTAAAGTAGTGCTTGATAACTATGCGCCCCTGTTCTTTTTCGATTATTCTTGCAAAGAACAAACAGTTCTAATCTGTTCGTTTGCTTTTTGACTAGAGTGAAACACAGAGAGCATCCGTGAACTGTGATGTTGCCTCTATTACGCGGACTTCGATATTCTTCAAAGCGTTCTCTGCGATATGCATCTACAGTGCTTTCAAGTAGTGTGGATGTGTTATCCGAGGACTTTAAGGTATCTCTACTCTTTTCTTGCTTATCAGACTAATTCCGAGTGGAACAAATCATTGGAAACGGAATATTTAACTCTTCTTCAAAAGGTGGTCAAGGGTGTGCATTTTCTGCAACTCTTACTGTAGGCGGCGATGAAAAGTCGATCGCAAAGCACCGGAAACGAGGCAAGATGCTGCCTCGTGAGCGAATCGGAAGTTTGTTAGATATTGGCTCTCCGTTTTTGGAGCTCTCTTCTCTCGCTGGAGAAGGACTCTACAAGGAGGAAGTGGCAAGCGGTGGGATCGTGACAGGAATTGGCCAGATTCACGGGTATTTTGCTTTGTGTTCGTATTCTCCAGTCACCAGTGCATGATCGTAGCGAACGATGCCACCGTCAAGGGTGGAACGTACTACCCCATCACAGTCAAAAAGCATCTGCGAGCCCAAGAAATCGCCGAGCAAAACAATCTTCCCTGTATCTACATGGGTACTCCTCTCTCTTTTCCTTTTTTTCTCATCCTAGTCGATTCGGGCGGCGCCAATCTCCCCACCCAAGCGGACGTTTTCCCCGATCGCGACCATTTCGGCCGCATTTTCTACAACCAGGCCACCATGTCCGCCAAGAAAATCCCCCAGATCTCCATCGTACGTCCTTTCACCTCTTCTTCTTTACCCTCTCAGGTCTTCGGCTCCTGCACCGCGGGAGGCGCCTACGTTCCCTGCATGTCGGACCAGACCATCATGGTCCGCGGGAATGGAACCATCTTCCTGGGCGGTCCGCCTCTGGTCAAAGCGGCCACAGGCGAAGAGATCTCAGCGCAAGACCTGGGCGGCGCGGACGTGCACTCGCGTCTGAGCGGCGTGACGGACTACGTGGCGGATTCGGAGCGCGAGGCGTGCGATCTCTGCCGCGAAATCATCCAGCACTGCAATCTGAAGCCGAGCGCCGCGTTCTCGGAGACGCCAGCGGAGGAGCCGCTGTTTGACTGCGCGGAGATCGCGGGGATCATTCCGAAGGACACGAAGAAGAGCTTCGATGTGCGGGAACTCATCGCGCGGATCGTGGATGGAAGCCGATTTTTGGAGTTCAAGAAGGAGTTCGGACCGACGATGGTGACCGGCTTCGCGTCGCTGTACAATATGCCGCTGGGGATCGTAGCGAATAACGGCATTCTCTTCTCCGAATCGACGTTGAAAGCGGTGCACTTCATCGAGCTGTGCTCGCAGCGCAAAATCCCGATTCTCTTCCTTCAAAACATCACGGGATTCATGATCGGAAGCGAGTACGAGCGCCAAGGCATCGCGAAGCACGGTCGTGATCTTCCAGGCGTTCGATCTAGGCGCGAAGCTCGTCAACGCGGTCTCCACCACGCAGTCTCCGAAGATCACTCTCATCGTTGGCGGCAGTTACGGCGCTGGGAACTACGGAATGGCGGGCCGCGCCTTCTCGCCGCGTTTTCTGTACATGTATCCGAATAGTCGGATTTCGGTGATGGGCGGAATGCAGGCGGCGACGGTTCTGAGCACGGTGAAGCGCGATGCGATCGAGCGGAGAGGTGAGAATGGAGGAGAAGGGCGAGGCGTAGGCGGGACGTGGAGCGCGGAGGAGGAAGAAGCGTTTAAGAAACCGATTCTGGAGAAATACGATCGAGAAAGTCGGTATTTGTACAGCACGGCGCGGCTGTGGGACGACGGCGTGATTCCGTACAAAGACACGCGACGAGTGCTGGGACTGAGTCTGGCGGCGGTGCACAATCGCGAGATTGCGGATACGGAGTTCGGGCTGTTCCGCATGTAGAGAAAAAAGAAGGGTTGGGTTGGGTTGGATTGTTTGGCACAAACACACGAATGAATATCTATCATTCCCAGGACCACTTTGCTGGCCAGCCACGAGAAGGAGTTATCAAAAAAGAACGAGATCGTTCCGTCCTCCGACACGGTGAAGCTTCCCTTGTGGTTCGTGATTCGCTCGCCTTTGTACACTTCCTGCTCCTGCTCGCTCCCGTTCGCCTTGAACCGCACGATATTGTTGATGTTTCCACTCTCCAGGGTCCAGTGCCACTCCACGACGCTCCCTGCCTTCACCTCGACCGGCATCGTGAAGAACTTCGAAACGGGGATCTGCATCGCACGCCTCGCTCATTCCTTCCTACCTTGAAGTTCTCCTCGTTCTTCAAGCAGCACAAGCAGCCTTCCTCACAATGGCAAATTCCTCCCAGATACGCCTAGACATCGTCAAACGATTTCAATCCAAACAGGGAGGTTCTGGACAGGGATGTACTTGTAGAGCTCTTCTTGATAGTCGCCCTTGAGAATCGTGAACTTGTTCACGGTGCGGGGATGCATCATGGGCTTGGCGATCGACCACAGCGAGGAGAAGATTCCGGGAGCGTTCGTGATGAAGGACTTGTGCATTGTTTCGGGGTAGTTGTGCGAAGTCACCGACGACATCGCCTTCATATACTTGATGAGCGTTCTACACGTCAATCCGCACGATCGTGGAAACGGAGAAATCATGTGCATGCCGACGCCTTTCAAGTCCTGGATGCAGCACAGACGCTGAAGCTTGCCTGTCTCCGCGCTGAGCTTGTTGAGCAGGTAGATACGCCACTCCAGGGTGTAGATATTGTAGTCGATCCACTCCTCGATCGGACGAGAAATGATTCCGTTCACATTCACCGATCCCAGAAGACGAATGTCGATGAAGTGGCCTTCCTTGTCTTCCTTGTGGTGATAACTCGTGTGGAACAAGCTGCGCATTACGGGAAGAATCAAAATAAGAACGGTTCAAATACATCGGCGTAAGGAACCTTGTGAATATCGAAATTCACTTCCTTCACCTTCTCAAAATAGGCGTCCACGTTCTGCTCCTTTCTCCAAATAAGCATCTTACGAAAAGCTTCTGTAGCCTCGTCAATGTTAAACTACGTCCTTACTTCAATTATACAAGCCATCCTACCATGAATCCCCGCACAAAGCGCAATAATTCGATATCACAAGTAATGTAGTCGGGATAATTGTACGAATCAAGTAGATCCTGGCTTCTTCTCCGGAGTTCATTGATGTACTCCATTTTCTGAGGAGAAATAGGGTTCACATCAAACGACATCAGCTCGTCTAGGGGATCAACTTCCTACTGAGTGTCCTACCTCGCTCCTCTTGGGTGCACTGCTCTAACGTTTTCATTTTTTATAAATAATCTTTGAAAGTGTATCCACAAGAAAAATTGGGTCGTTTTCTGCCATCCTACGTCGCTGCATAACGTTTTAAACGAAGGGATATCGTGTTTTTTCTGCGTGCTTTCTTTTATTGTGATCGATTCGTAATGAATATTTGTTAACGATGCAATGCGCAATCCTTTTTTCCATCACCTTGTTATTTGGTTACACGCTCTGCAGTGTTGCCCATGCTTTTCCACCCATTTCAAATGGTTCTACGCATAATTCTAGGAATATTCGCTCTTTACTCGTCACCCAGAATTTAGCTCTTTCGTTTATTCTCACTCGAAATTGTCTTTTAGTTTGCGAATACTAATTTTACTGAAATATCAATGAGTGAGAGTAAATACAGTCCAAGACCTACAGTGCCCCAAGTGATTCGTTTGTCCACCCAGTAACTCGATAGACATATGCAAATACACCGTCTCGAGTACCCGGTTCGATTCCAAAAGAGGACTCGGAGCGATTAAAGGTGGGACGCTATTGTGGCTGATAATTTGTATAGGATTTGGTACGCTTCCACATTGAGTCATACAATTTCATGCTGGACAAGGGTTTGTCTCTCGCCGTCCGCGATATCTTCCCTCTGGAGGTTTCTACGCTGCATTCCATTGATTCTAGGTCGAGAACCCGGATAACAAACAGGTCCTCCGTATTTGGATCCAGGATGTGAAGATCGGCTATCCAATCAAGGAGGATGGCTCGAGCGAGACGCGTCTCCTCCCTCACGAGTGTCGAGAGCGTGGAATCTCGTATATCTCTGTCCCATTCCTCATTTTCAGCTACACCTCCCCTCTCATCGCGTATGTCGCTCATCAAGTGAATGACGGCCAAATCGTGGTTACTGAGCGAAACTTGGGCCAGCTGCCCATCATGGTGGGCTCGAACCGCTGCCACCTGAGCCGGATGACGCCAGCGGAGCGCGTGAATTGCGGCGAAGAAGTGTACGAGCTGGGCGGCTATTTCATCTGCAACGGGCTGGAGCGAATGATCCGCTTGCTGCAAGTGACGCGTCGGCACATCATCGTGGCGCTGGACCGTCCGTCGTTCACGAAACGAGGCCCGGAGTACACGTCGCTGGGCTGCCAGATGAAGTGCGTGCGCGAGGACATGTCCTCGATGACGGTGACGCTGCACTATCTCCGCGATGGCCGCTGCACGCTGCGCTGGTTCATCCGCAAGCAGGAGTTCCTCGTGCCGGTGGTGCTGATCCTGAAAGCGCTGAAGGACTGCTCGGACCGCGAGATCTACGAGCAGCTGATGCGGGGCGACTCGAACAACACGTTCCTGAGCGATCGGCTGGAGCTGCTGCTGCGCGAGAGCAAGAACATGCACTTGTAGGAGTGAGGGAGCGGATCGAGCGCAGAACCACGCGGCGCGAGTGCTTGGCGTATTTGGGCTCGCGGTTCCGCATCCTGCTGTACATGTCGTCGCGGTACAGCGACGTGGAGGTGGGCGAGGAGCTGCTGAAGCGGTACATCCTGGTGCATCTGAAGTCGAACGAAGCGAAGTTCGCGCTGCTGCTGGAGATGATCAGCAAGCTCTACAAGCTCGCCAACAAGGAAATCCCGCCCGACAACGCCGATTCGCTCATGAACCACGTCTCCTTTCTGTTTTTTGGGGTGATGCGTAGGAGCTCCTGCTCGGCGGCCACTTGATGTGCATGTTCCTCAAGGAGAAGCTCGAGGAGTTTTTGATCGGCGTGCGCCAGAACATCGCGCGCGAAGTCGATCGGCACAAGGAGAAGATCGACCTCTACGACACGGCGTGGATCAAGAAGGCGCTGGACCGGCAGTCCGACATCGGCAAGAAGGCCTACTATCTCCTCGCCACGGGCAATATCATCTCCTCCACAGGACTCGATCTCCAGCAGGCCGCGGGCTACACGATCGTCGCCGAGAAGCTCAACCACTGGCGCTACCTCTCCCACTTCCGCTCCGTGCACCGCGGCCAGTTCTTCACCGAGATGAAGACCACGCAGCCGCGCAAGCTGCTCCCCGACTCCTGGGGCTTCCTCTGCTGCGTGCACACGCCCGACGGCGCGCCCTGCGGCCTGCTGAACCACCTCACCGCCACCTGCTCCATCACCACCGACGTCGTCCCCGCCCCCCAGCTCGCGCGGCTCTGCCAGGCGCTGGGCCTGGTCCCCGCCGACTCCCCGCTCGTCTACGGCAACCACTACGTCCCCGTGTTCTTCAACGGCCAGCTGCTCGGCCGCGTCCTCGCCGCCCAGGCCGCCGCCTTCTGCGACCAGCTCCGGCTGCTCAAGCTCGACGGGGCCAAGCTCCCCGCCTGCCTGGAGATCGTGTGCGTCCCCGCGGGGGAGCAGGGCGGTCCGTGGCCGTGCGTGTACCTGAGCACGGACGCGGCGCGCATGCAGCGGCCGGTGCGGCACCTGGGAACCGGAAAGACGGAGTGGATCGGTCCGCTGGAGCAAGTGTACCTGGAGATCGCGTGCGTGGAGGAAGATATCCGGAAGGGCGTGACGACGCACATCGAGGTCTCGCCGGCGAACATGCTGTCACTGATCGCGTCGCTGACGCCGTTCTCGGACTTCAACCAGAGTCCGCGCAACATGTACCAGTGCCAGATGGGGAAGCAGACGATGGGCACGCCGGGGCTGTCCTGGACGCACCGCACCGACACCAAGATGTACCGTCTGCAGACGCCGCAGGCGCCGATCGTGCACAACGCGCTGTACCGAGAGTTCCTGTTCGACTCGTACCCGCAGGGCATGAACAGCGTGGTGGCGGTGATCAGCTACACGGGCTACGATCTCGAGGACGCCATGATCCTCAACAAGTCCTCCTTCGAGCGCGGCTTCGCCCACGCCTCCGTCTACAAGAGCCACGACATCGACCTCGTCGACCCCAAGGACCCCGCCACCAAGTCCCTCATCTTCAAGCGCCCCCCGCGGGAGGCCATCGCCTCCAGCAACCCCTCGGCGCTGCGGCTGGACCCCGACGGACTGCCGCCGATCGGTCTGTTCGTGCAGAAGGGCGACGCGATCTGCGCGGTGTACAACACGGAGACGGGGAAGACCTCGCTGCGCTTCCACGACTCCTCGGAGCCCGCGTACGTGGACGAGGTCCGCATCCTCGACGGCGACCCCGCGCTGGGCGTGCAGCGCGTGAACATCAAGTTCCGGTACAACCGCAACCCGGTGGTGGGCGACAAGTTCTCCTCGCGGCACGGGCAGAAGGGCGTGCTCTCCGTGCTGTGGCCGCAGATCGACATGCCCTTCACCGCCTCCGGCATCACGCCCGACTGCATCATCAACCCCAACGCCTTCCCCTCCCGCATGACCATCGGAATGCTCATCGAGTCCATGGCCGGCAAGTCCGGCGCGCTCCACGGACAGTACATGGTAGATCCCCGCGGGAGAGTCGACTCTAGGACGCCACGCCGTTCCAGTTCAGCGAGAAGCAGTGCGCGGTGGACTTCTTCGGGGAGCAGCTGAAGGCGGCGGGGTTCAACTACTACGGCAGCGAGCCGCTGTACTCGGGCATCTGGGGCGACCTGCTGGAGGCGGACATCTACATCGGCGTGGTCTATTATCAGCGACTGCGCCACATGGTAGTCCTCGAACGCCCCGCTGAGTTCTTCTAGGTGAGCGACAAGTCGCAGGTGCGAGCGAACGGACCGATCAACCAGCTCACGCGCCAGCCGCTGAAGGGCCGCAAGCGCCACGGCGGAATCCGGTTCGGAGAGATGGAGCGCGACTCGATCATTGCGCACGGCGCGTCGTTTTTGCTGCACGAGCGACTGCTGAACTCGTCGGATCGCCATCTCGCAGTGATCTGCGATAAGTGCGGAAGCATGCTCTCCGCCACCGCCAAGCCCATGACTCAGCAGGAAGCCGCCACGCTCAGCTCGCGCGTGCCGAAGAGTGGAAACGGGGAAGGAGAGTGAGGTGTAGTGGTGTGCCATGTGTGCAAGACCAGCACGACGTGCCATTTGGTGCCCATGCCGTATGTGACGCGGTATCTGGTGAACGAGCTCGCGGCGATGAATATTAAGGTGGCGTTTGATGTGGAAAAGATTTCTTGTTGGGGTGTTTGTTGAAGCAATCGCAAGGGGTGTGAGAGATTCGAGGAAGGGATGGATGGGAGTGTGGTACGTACAAAAATAAGTACGATTCGAAGAGGATTGATAGCAGAGACTTAGAATTGGTTTGTCTATACTTCGAAAATGAGGAACTATGCAATAAGCAGGTATACCATGATTGTTGTCGCATTGGTTTTGTTTGTTGTGTACCTCTTTATCGACCTTTCGATCGGTTTCAATGTAAACCCCTTTTTATACTCTTATTCGATAGAAACCATATGAAAAAGTTGGAAACCTTTGGAGATATGTTGATTTTGGAAGAAAAAGCAATTTGCTTCCAATTCCAAAAAGATCTATATACACGAGTGCATTTCAAAGTAGTCAATTGCGTAGTGATCGAAACCACAATGCAGCCTCTGTTTTTGATGTTTTGTCGAATTCTGGCTACTTCAATGTATCTACGCAAAAGGTGATCAATTATGTGAATGCTAGTCGCGATTTTTTGGTTGTGTTTGCAATGACTTACGATACCAACGCCGTATGTTTGTAAAATCTTTTTTTTAATTCAAAGGACAGTATTCTCGTAGAAGTGAAGAATACGATGCATATGCTTTCTGTGTATGCAAAGGAGTTTGACTGTCACACTGTGATTTTCACTTCTTCCCCCCTTGTAGTTTCGTACGCCACTTCTCTAGGCCACACAGTCGTCACAAACACATCGTTTTCTTGTTTCTCTCCTGTTCTCACCTAGGTGCAATCGCTTCGGCCTTCCCTTTATTCAGCCCATTTTAGAGGTAACGCGGATTCTCTACAATTCTGTGCACATTGGATACGTGAACAGCGATATTTTGTTCACATCACGATTGTTTTTGACGCTGAAAAGCTTGAAGCAGCGTCCAATCTACCCAATTGTTGTCACACTCGATAAGCATCACGTCTAGTACGAGGTAGCGATGCGCGTTCGCGAAACAAACATTGTCCCAATTACCAATCTATCTACAAGCAGCGAAATCAACCAATATGTGAACAACAAAGTCGAAAAAAACAGAATGTGGAGACATATTGACTCTGCGGTTGCTTCCTTTCTCATCTTTAACAATAGGATCTTTTCGTGTTTTCTAGGACTGTAAACTTTACGTTGGTACATGATATTGTTGTCGGACGCGTTTTAGTAGACAACTGTTTGATGCGAATGATGGATTTGTCTGGAGGTGAATTAGTGGATGTCACATTATCAGGTTTGGAAGGCATTTTTTCTAAACAATAGTGAACGGAATCCATCAAGGCTATATGGGCTTCAAAGCGCACCTTAAGAACAAAAATGCCACATGGTCGGACATATCGTGGAATCAGCGTGTTACTGGGTTTAAATACATCAACCACAAAGGGTCGTTACTCGCAGCGACGCGATTTACTCGTTTTGTCAATAACATTTGTTAACGTTAAGCTGTTGGTCTGCCTGGCGTATTTATTCAGCGGAAGCCACGCAATAGCAAGAATGCAAAGAATGAATAGAACGAGTGTTTATAACTAACTTGATAATAACCGCGGTTGACATTCATGAACCAGAAAACGAATAGGAAATTATCGTATTTCGTTAGAAATGAAGTTTTTGTTTGTTCTATTGTCACGTAATTCAACCTTTCCGGATTGATTATAGTTGCGTTGTTGATACTGGTAACGGGTGAAGTTTCTCAACTTTCATCTGAAAATGTGAGGATTTTGTTGTAGTATGTTATATGTAGGAAGGAGCCGTGGTGAGAGGTCATGGCCGTAATTGTAAGAGGTAAAAGGTGTGATTTTGATGTTTAGTAAGAACAGTAAAGTACGGTGTCAGCAAAAGAAGACGACGTCCTGTAACAACAACATCATCTAGTGAAGAAACGAAAGATAGCGATTCTTCTGTCGCAGAAACAGGTACGGAATCATGTATATAATTACGGTCAGAAGAGAAAGAAAAAGAATTGACCAAAGAAACTGAACTTGTCTCAGAGAGTAAAAAGAAGGAAGAGGAAGAGGAGTCTGACGATGAGGAGAAGGTTGTAAAGAAAGAAGTGAAAAAGGAAGAGAAGGAGGAAGAGGAAGAGGAGGAAGAGGAAGCTCCTAAGAAGAAAGAAGTGAAAAAAGCTGAAAAAGAAGAAAATGATGATGAAGAAGAGGAGGAAGAAAAGGTTTCTACTAAGAAAGAAGTAAAGAAGGCTGAGAAAGAGGAAGAAGAGGAGGAGGAAGAAGAGGAGGAGAGTCCTAAGAAGAAAGAAACCAAGAAGGCTGAGAAAGAGGAAGAAGAGGAGGAAGAAGTTCCTAAGAAGAAGGAGGAGAAAAAGGAGGAGGAGGAAGAAGAAGAGGAAAAGACTCCTAAGAAAGAAGTGAAGAAGGCCGAGAAGAAGGAAGAAGAAGAAGAAGAAGAGGAAGAAGCTCCTAAGAAAAAAGAAGTGAAGAAGGCTGAGAAGAAAGAAATTAAGAAGGAAGAAGAAGAAGAAGAAGAAGAAGAAGAAGAAGAAGAAGAAGCTCCTAAGAAGAAAGCTGAGAAGGAAGAAGAAGAAGAAGAAGAAGAAGAGAAGGTTCCTACTAAGAAGGAGACAAAGAAAGAAGAAGAGGAAGAAGAGGAAGAGGAAGCTTCTAAGAAAGAAGTGAAGAAAGCTGAGAAGAAGGAAGAAGAGGACGAGGAAGAAGAAGAAGATAAAACTACAACGAAGGAGGAAGTAAAGAAGGTCGCTGAGAAGGAAGAAGAGGAAGAGGAAGCTCCCAAAAAGGAGGCAAAGAAGGTTGAGAAGGAAGAGGAGGAGGAGGAAGAAGAAGAGACCCCTAAGAAGAAGGAAACGAAGAAGGAAGAAGAAGAGGAGGAAGAGGAAGAAGAGAAAACTACAAAGAAAGAAACGAAGAAGGAAGAGGAGGAGGAGGAAGAGGAAGAAGCCCCCAAGAAGAAGGAAACCAAAAAGGAAGAGGAGGAAGAGGAGGAAGAAGAGGAAGAAGAGAAAACTTCTTCTAAAAAGGAAACTAAGAAGGAGGAGGAGGATGAGAAAAAGGAGGAAGAAGAAGAAGAGGAGACTCCTAAGAAAGAAGTAAAGAAGGCTGAAAAGGAAGAGGATGAGGAAGAAGAGGAAGAAGCTCCCAAGAAGAAGGAAGTGAAGAAGGCCGAGGAGAAGGAGGAAGAAGAGGAAGAAAAGGAAGAGAAGGTTCCTACTAAGAAGGAGACGAAGAAAGAAGAAGAGGAAGAGGAAGAGGAAGAGGAAGAAGCTCCTAAGAAAGAAGTGAAGAAAGCTGAGAAGGAAGAAGAAGAAGAAGAAGAAGAAGAGAAGGTTCCTACTAAGAAGGCTGAGAAAAAGGAAGAAGAGGAAGAAGAAGAAGAAGAGAAGGAAACCAAGAAGGAAACCAAGAAGGTCGCTGAGAAGGAGGAAGAAGAAGAGGAAGAAAAGGAGGAGAAGGTTCCTACTAAGAAGACTGAAGAGAAAGAAGAAGAAGAAGAAGAAGAGGAAGAGAAGGCTCCGAAGAAGAAAGAGGAAGAAGAAGAAGAGGAAGAAGAGACCGCCACAAAGAAGGCCGAAGAAGACGAAGACGACGACAAAGAAGAAGAAGAAGGTCCTCAGAAGGAAACGAAGAAGACTGAGGACGACGACGAAGAGGAAGACGACGAGAAGAAATCCACGACTTCAAAGAAAGACGACGACAGCGAAGAGGAAGAAGAAGGAACGAAAGCCCAGACTGACGACGACGAAGCCGACGATAAGCAAGCCGCATCGTCCAAGCCCACTTCCACAGCCCCCACCACATCCGAGAAATCTTCAGAGAAATCTTCAGAGAAATCCTCAGAGAAATCCTCGACGAAGACGTCCTCTTCGGCCTCCGTGACGAGCTCCACCCGGAAGCATCGGCTGCGCCAGTCGCACAAGCGCGCTTCGAAGCGCTCGGGAACCATCGTTCTGAGCATTCCGCTCAACCTACTCGTCATTCTTCTCGGCGTTTTGATCGTCGCCACCATTATCTTCAGTGTCATGTGTCGCAGAGCGTACCTCCGTTTCCCCTTTCTCACTCGCAGCCCTCAACCCACTCCGCTCTCCGAGCAATCCTCTCTTCTCGGCCATTCTGCCAACCCCTCGCCCGCCGGTTCGGCCCGTGCTGCCGCCTACTCCGACGCTGGCGAGTCCGTCCCGCTCGCCCAGGCCGCGCAGTCGGCAATGCCCGTCGCGGCCGCGGTGCCGGTGCCAGCAGTGCCGGCAGTGCCGGCAGTGCCGATCGTGGCGCCGACGATGGCGGGAGCGGAGGACGCGGATCTTTTCGAGGAGGACGAGGTGCCGAAGGTGAAGTCCACGCGCCGCTCGCACGCGCGCCGCTCCGTAGGTGCCGAAGCGAAGCGTGAGGAATAGAAACGCTCGCAGTAGTCCTCCATTTTTCCCTCATCCTTTCCTTTCCTTTCCCGTTCTGTTCTGGTGACTTGTTTGTTCAAAAAACACGATAACTCTTGTACAACTTGCGGTACCGCAGCGAGTCGCGGTCCAGCACGTAGGTCACCAGCTTCTCTCCCTCCGACTTGCAGCACACCGCTCCGCTGTTCAGCAGAATGTGCAGCAGCTGCTCCTGCGACAGCTCACCGCGGTTCTTCCCGTCGAAATACCGGCACGCGATGAACAATTCCCGGCTGATCGCGATCGGAACGCTCTTCTTCGCCGCCTGCACTTCCCTACCCAGCTCCTTCGCGGCCTCCTTGGGCGTTTCCTTGACGGTTTCCTTGGGCGTTTCCTTGACGGTTTCCTTGGGCGTTTCCTTGGGCGTTTCCTTGGGGGGCTCGTCGTCCTTCTTCTCTTCGACAGAAGTTTCCTTGATCGTTTCTTCGTCGGCAATGGCTTCCTTGTTTGTCTCTGCCTCGCCCTCCTTTTCTTTTTCCTTTTCTTTTTCCTTCTCCATCGCCTCTCTCTCCGCCTCTCTGGCCTCCAGCACGGCGGCCTCGGCCTCCTTCATCGCCGTCTGCGTCAGTCGCAGCAGCTCGCCGATGGCCTGGCCGAACCGCACCATGAGCATGTCCTTGAACACCTCGCCCAGCAGCGACACCTCGAAGATCTTCTCCCGCGTGTCCTTCCGCGTGTACTCCAGCAGCCCGTCCAGACTCAGCAGCTTCGCCTTGCTCGGCTGCGCCTCCCCCGCGGCAAAGGTCGTCAGCACGGACAGCTCGCAGCGCTGGCTCGCCACGCTGTCGGTCTCGCGGCCGTACTCGTCCACGTCCTTCACGCTCCGCAGACCGCCGAACCCCGTCAGCGTCTCCACCTCCCACGACGACGACGACGAAGACGAAGACGAGGATGAAGCGCAGTCCGAATCCTCGCAGTCCATCGCCTCCTCCGGCGAGGACGCTTCCTTCACCGGCACAGAGGGCGTTTCAGTCACAACAGAGGGAGTTTCATTGAGAGTAGAGGGCGTTTCACTCGGGTTGGCGGGCGTTTCGTCGTCCATGGGGTGCGCGGCGTCGGTTTCTTCGGTGGTGTTGGGGGTTTGGTCGTGGGCCTGGGCGTCGAGAAGTCGCTGGATGAGATCCTTCTTGACTCCCTATGCATCAAATCCGCGCGCTGCGAGGTACGCGTGTGCTCAGCGCGCGCTCGCGCAGGAATTGCCGAAGCGTCGGCACTGTCTGGCTCTTCAGGAATTCCTCCGTCCACTCCGATTTCTCCGGTTTCTCCGATTCCTCTTCCATCGCCGGTTCCACGGTTTCCACGGTTTCCTCCATTTTCTTCTCCGCTTCGCCGGTTTCTCCAGTTTCTCCGTTTTCTCCAGCTCCACTAGTTTCCTCGGTTTCCCCGGTTTCTCCGGTCTCCTGGACTTCCGCGGTTTTGCTGGCTCTGACGATCTCCCCCACTTCCACGATTTCGTTGGGCGTTTCCTTCTTCACCTCCTCGATTCCCGCGGTTTTCCTCTCCGCGGGGAGGCCGTCCTTTCTGTCCTTGGCGATGGGTCTGCGAACCGCGGGGAAGACGGGAGCGCGGTAGAAAAGATCGGGGACGAAGACGACGGTGACCTCGTCATAATCGCACTTTTCCCCGCGGCTGGTCTCGGTTCGGTGGTACCAGACCTCCATCATGCGGATCCAGCGTCGACATCCCGCCAAATCGAGATTGATCTGAAGCCGAGCGTATTCTCTGGATGTCAAAAAAAGGGGGAAAAAAAGACATGAGTTTGGCGATGAGCATGGCGTCCGAAACGCTCCGCAGATCCGCGACCAGTCCGAATTGCCCGCCCACGAGGAAGATCTGGTCCTTGTTGACCGCCTTGAGCACGAGGAACTGAATGAAATGGTTCAGCGACGCCTCCTCCTTCTCGAACAGCGCGCTCTCCGCGATGTCCACGCCGCTGAACAGCGCCAGCTTCACGTTGATTCGGAACCGCACTTCGCTCGCCGCCACCGACCGCAGCACCGCCTGTCCGGCCTTCCCCGCGGGGAGCTCGCCCGGCACCGTCACGGCCGGCTCCGTGGCGGCGACAGGGAGATGCGCGACGCGGATGGCGGCCTTGGCGAAGAGCGGGAGCGCGTGCGGCGCGGCCTGCCAGCAGGCGACGAGGCGCATGAAGTCCTGGCAGACGTAGAGGTTGGGGCAGTCGCGCTGCAGCTCGGGCACGCCGCGCTCGCGCTGGAAGTACAGCCGGTCCGGCGCGCCGCTGCGAGTGAGAGGAAGGGGAAACGGGGAACGGCGTGATCGGCGACGCGCTGCGCGACGCGCTGCGATGACCGTAGGACCGCGAGTGCGATCGCGACCGCGACCGTGACCGAGAAAGCGACCGCGTGTGTCCGCGGGACGGCGACCGACGCGAGTAGGACCGCGAATGCGACCGCGACCGCGACCGCGAGTGGGACCGCGGGACCGATCGATTGCGACCACGTGACCGCGAATGTGACCGCGAATGTGACCGCGACCGCGACCGCCGCGACGCCGACCGCGTCCGACCGCGGGAATGCGACCGATCGTGCTCGCGGGAATGCGATCGGGACCGCGGTCGACGCGCTCCCGCGCTCTTCCGACGCGCGTCGACACGCACTCGCTTCGACGCCTCCGGCTCCGCCCGCGCGCGCGAAGCCGCCCCGCGGGACGGAGAGGCGCGGACGTGCTCCCCGCGGGGACGGTCCTTGCGGTCCTGCCGCGCGTCGAACTTCGATTTTCTAGCTGTCAGAACCGCGGGACAACGCACGGTTTCTCCAGCGAGGCGGGGAACGCGGGCGGGAACGCGTCGAAACGCCCCTTCCGCGGGGGATCCGGCGCGCGCGCGTCGGGCTCTTTCCCGTGGGAAAACGAGGAATGCGAGGGCTGCGGGTAGCTCCCCGCGGGGTAGGGGTAAGGGTAATCTCCCGCGGGGAAGGGTCGCTGCGGGGCGCGCGCGAAGCTTTGGCGCGACGCATCGAATTCGGATTGAGTCGACGCGTAGGGCGCGAAATTCGGGCGATTCCCGTACGGCGGCGGCAGCGGCGCGCCGCTCGGAGGGTACGCCGCGCTGGGCGAGCGGCCGTAGTACTCCGCGGGAGGGGGCTTCGCCGCGTTGGAGGGCGGGTAGGCGAAGTCGTTTGGCGGGTAATATTGGCGGGGAGGGTAATTCGCGGGGGATGTGGATGACGCAGCGGCAGCAGCAGCGGAGGAGGAGGAGGAGGAGGACGCGGAGACGGGCTTGGCGTAGGAAGGAGCGTAGGAAGAATAGTCGGAGGGCGCGGAGGGCGGCTGCGGCTTGCTGGGAGCGGCGGATGATGGGGGGTAGGTCGAGGCGTCACCGTAGCTTGGAGGCGCACCTGTGGAGTGGGGCTGAGGCATGGTGGTGGTGTGTGATCCGTAGTAGGAGTTGGAATCGTAGGCGCTCGAAGGAGGATAATTCGAGTCGTAGGGCTTTTGGGAAGTGTCGCCTTGTGCAGAATACTGCTGGTTTGGGTAGTTGTAGCCTCCTACACCATGTTAAGAATACGATCGATCCTAAACAGCAACATACCTAGCTGCGCCTCGCCCGAAGGTGCTACTCCAGCATTCTGATTCTGTTGGTTCATAGAATTGTCGGGATAGTTATAATGTGTCGAAGAATACGGAGGTTGCGAATAGTCGCCATGACCTTGATCTTGCGATAACCCTATCTCCATAAAATACGTACAGGAATTTGAAGGCTGCTGGCCTTGATAATATTGAGAATAATCCTGTGCGTAAACCATACAACAAAATGGAATCATACAGCTGGGGTATTTCTCTGCATAGCTGTGCTTTCAATACCAACGTAGGAAACCCGCCTTGATTTTGTAATTTTTCACTTCAAATAGAAAGAACAAGAATCGCGGTTATTTCAAAGTACATAAGAAGCAAAGTGTTTGTTGCGAAATCAACTTTTGCTTGATCCAGTTTATACTCCACTGTGTGTGCTCCACGATTTCAATCTGCTCGCACACAGAATTTTGCAAAGAACCGACTTTTTTGTTGAACTGAAGAAGTAGAAATTTTTGAAATTTCTCTATTGACCTCAAAATGGAGAAGAAGAAATCTGCGCTCGACAAATACAAGCTAGGGCGTATCGATTTGAGTAACCTGGATGAAAACTTCTCTTATGGGTGTAGTTAATCTGCTTGCTGGTATGGGGGCGGGACCAACATCTGATATTGGACTGTTTCCACTGGATTCGTTGAAAACGTTCGTTCACTCCTTCCTCTTTTTATGTTCAGGCGCATGCAGTCGGGTAGCTATGCTGCAAAGGCAACAGAAAAACCGAGTTTAGGGAGGGGCATTGGCATAGCCATGGTGGGTTCTTCCTTGACGTACGGTACTCACTGGACTGTGTATGAATATTTCAAAAGACATCTTTCGCCGCTTTGCCAGGGGAACGAAGCAGCTATTCCATTTGTGTACATGTTTTCTGCTTCCCTTGGTTTCCTCCTTTTCCGCTAGCTCACCCACAGCTCAAATCATATCTTCAAGCATCCGATGCCCCTTTGAAGTGATAAAACAACATCTACAAATCGGCATTTTTTACGACACAAAATGCGCCGTTCGTTCCATCTACCGCGTTTCCCCCATCTCCGCTCCTCACCCCTAGTCCGGAGGAGTCCGCGCCTTCTATACCGGCTATAAAAGCCTCCTGTACAAAAGCATTCCCTACGATGCAATCGAGGTTCTCTCTCTCCCTGCGCTAAACCCCAGATGACACTCTACGAAATCTTCCGGAAGTACTACAAGCGCGTTTTCGTAGCGTTTTCGCTTTGCTCTCACGCACAGAAAACCGCGGACGACACTTCGCTCGTTATGTCCGTCTCTTCGGGCTATCTTTCTTCGGGAATCGCGGCGTTCGTCACGACACCGATGGACGTCGTCAAAACGAGGATGATGCTCTCCGCCGCGGAACGAAATCCAGAGACATCCGTGATTCAGATGTTTCGGAAGATCTATCGGGTTTTCGTGGTGGAATTGGACGAATTGTAGAACGAGGGACTGCGAGGACTGTATTCGGGAGCTTTCATTCGAGTGATGGTGGTGGCTACGGCAGGTGCGATTTATTTTGCGGCATTCGAGTCGTACCGGGGGTTCTTGCAAAAATTGTAAAGAGAGAGAGAGTTCGTTAGTTTTTGAGTCTTTTAATCAAAACTTGGATTTGGCGGTTTGATTCAAATCTTTCAATTTGAACCTGTTTGTTTCGATACTGAAACCGGTCCCCTATTTCACCAGGTTTTTAACCCTATCTCAGATTGTAGTTCACGGCAGTTTATAACTCCCCAAACTAACTAATTACTATGGTAGGTGGTGAGCCTTGTACGGAGATGCATTCTGTTGTGTGTTTGTCGAACGAAGGGTCTAACGGTCCTCTAGGCTCCTAAGAAAGAAAGACAGGAAAAGGAACAGATCAAGCTCGGACCCCAGAACGTGCGTGAGGGAGAGGAGGTGTTCGCTGTTACTCACATCTACGCTTCCTTCAACGATACCTTCATTCACGTCACCGATATGTCCGGACGTGAGACCCTGGTCCGTGTGACTGGAGGAATGAAGGTGAAGGCTGATCGTGATGAGTCTTCTCCCTACGCTGCCATGCTTGCTGCTCAGGATGTGGCTGCTCGTTGCAAGGAGCTCGGCATCACTGCCATGCACATCAAGCTGCGAGCTACTGGAGGTAACGGAACCACTTCTCCCGGTCCCGGTGCTCAGGCTGCTCTGCGTGCTCTGGCCCGTGCTGGAATGAAGATCGGAAGAATCGAGGATGTGACTCCCATTCCCACCGATTCTACCCGCAAGCCCCAGGGTCGTCGTGGTCGCCGTCTGTAATTTGTTGGTTACGAACTGCGAAACGTTCTGTTTGATATTAACAAATAAACAAGTGAACGAGTTGCTAGCTTTTCTGTACCCACCTGGAGCGACACTCGGGACAACTGTCGTGCGATTGGAGCCATTTGTTCATGCAGTGTGCGTGGCAACTGTGTCTGCACACTCCAGTCACTATTTATCACGAATGAGAACCATTTCAACCTGGAGGGCAGCTATCACCGGGAAGAGCGCAGTCTGGGCAACAAAAGTCGAGTGGCATCTGGCAAATCGGGCAATCTTCATTCTCTGTATCCCACATCCAAAAGGCAGTGGTTTTCCATCTATTTCGTAAGTGGAATTTGAATTAGAAATACTCTACAGAGTGATGCAACGTGAAAATACCTACTAGATATCGAATAGGTCATGTCTTCCCATTTGACTGAATCCGTTATAGATCCTTCATCTTGAGACATGTAGCGATTCAAAATCAAGAATGAAAACAAACAGAGAAAGGATTAGTATTCAGGTTCATCAAAATAGGAATCAGATAACTCTTTTTCCTTTGTAGTTTTTTGTATAGATTCGTTTGGTAATTCGATTAAGGGTTCTTCTTCTATTGGAGGTAATAGTTGTTCTGCAGTAGGTGGTTCATTGTGTGGTTGTTCGATTTCGTTTGTTTTTGGTTCATTTGTTGTTGCTGTTGTTGTTAAGGTTTGTTCGATCTGTTCTATTTTCTCCTTCTCTTCTTCCTGTTCTTTCTGTTCCTCTTGTTGTTGTTGTTCTGGCTGTGAAGGCATTTCTTTCTTTGCTGTTTCATTCATCGTGTTTCGTTCCTTCTTTTCTTTACTCGTTTCACTTCGATCCAATTCTTCTTCTTCTGCTGCTGCTTTTTCCTCCTCTTCTTCTTCTTCTTCTTCCATTTCTTCGCTCGATTCTTCGCTGTCACTCTCCAACACCATCGCTTCTTCCCGCTTTCGCTTCTTCGTCTTCTCTTCCTCCGCCTTTTTCTTCGTCCCCGCCTCCTTCCCGCGCTTTTGAATTTCCTCCGCCACGCGCAGAATGAACTCCACGGCCTGCTTCGAATCCGAATTCTCCGCCGCGTTCAGCGTTTCCTGGTACTTTTCCCTCGCTATTTCTCACCGCTTGGATTCGTTTCTACTGTCCTGAACGAACTCCGCAAGCGGCGCCACGACGGAATTCGCGATGCGGAGATTGGAAGCAGCGCGCGCCTCGACGGCGAAGCGCATCATCGTGAGAACGCACAGCGTCGAAGGGAGCGAAGAGCAGGCCTCCAGCTTCTGGAACAGAAACTGCATGCTCTGCACGTGAAACGGAACACAAAACACAATTCCAGGGTGAGAAGCGGCGCGTTGCGAAGGAGCAAAGCGCACAGAACGCTCTCGCGCGATGATTCAAAGCGTAGCTCAAAGCAGCGCGCGAGATCTGCGGTTCAGTCGATCGAGCGGCGCCCACTTCGAAGCGAAATTTCGTCGCCCGTAGCTTCCTCCCATCGATGCAAAATCGACTGAATGGGGTCGTGGAGAACCGCGGGATGCGATTTGAGCAACGGAACCAATTCGGTCTCGATGGGAAGGAAACTCTCCAGAGGGAAGAACGAAATCACGGAGTGGAGCAGATCCGAAATGATGAATTGTTTCTAGCGATAACCGCGGTTCTCGGCTGTGTACGAAGTTTGGAATCGAAACGGTCATCCACTGAATCCCCTGCAGCCATTTCGCGAACGCAGGGAGAACGTGCTGCGTCAAAACGCGTTTGATTCGAGGCAAAAAATCGTTTTCATCGTCCTCAAATGTGTTTCCTTGCCTTCGGATTGTGAGCTGGCTTTTCACTTCCGCGGGAGTGGCGTCGAAAACGGCGGAAAGATACGATCGAACGACCTGGGCGAGGAGGCTTGTGTACTTGGATTGAGTTTTGTTTGATGGGTTTGTACCTGCTCATCGAAGAGCAACAGCGACGCGCATTTCGTGGAATGAACGAGAAGCAAGTGAAGAAGCGAAAGACAGAAGCAACCTATCGATGATTTGATTGGCTCGCCGCCACCTGTTTCGTTGAACGGGAGAATTTCTCTTCGAAGAATCGTGCATAACTCAAGCATGCTGCTTGGAATCGGGCCGATGAGCGGGTTGGAATATTGTTTCTCGACCCAACTCAGATCGGTTCTTTCTTGTTTCGCTTTTTCGAGCGATTGCTTCGCATTGATGTGCATTTCGATGTGGAATTGAAGCGCCAATAACCGAACAAACGCTTCCAACGTCGCGTGCGGGCGTTTCACTGTTTGGGTCTCGATATCCGCGAATAAATAGCTCTGCAGACTGACCACCACTGTCTTCAGAACATCCAAAATGTTCGTGATCATTTCTTTTTCGTAGGAGGACGTTTGTGTGATGGTGTCGTTCAAAATGGCTTCCAGAATATCGATGCTTTGCTCCAACGAAAGCGACAAATCCGACGCTTTTTCGCTGTCCTCCATTTCCGAATTCGCTTTCGAATTCGCTTTCGAATTCTTTTTCTTCTGCGTCGTTTTCGAAATGCGTTGCTTCTTCACTGGGATGCTCACGTGGATTAGCGAGGCTTCTTCGCTGCCGCCCATTTTTGCCGGGTCTTCGAGAAACAGCGCGACTTGCTTCAGCGCGACGCGAAGCAGCTGCTCGCCCATTTCCCAGTGGTAAACGAGCTGAATAAACAGCGGCAGATGCGTGTGCAAAAAGGTTTGGCTCTCCGAGAGAAGAAGGCTCGGGAAATTCTGAGCGGATCAGGCAGAACGGAGAGAAATACCGGGCTGATTTGCGTGATTTGGGAATAACTGAAGAACGTCAGGAACGAAAGGAAGTCCGCCTCCGTTTCTCCTTTTTCTCCTTTTTCTCCTTTTTCTTCTTCGTTGTGCGTGATGCGACTCTGCAGAAGGAGGAGCCGGTTACTCTGCGCGGAACACAATTGGAACACAAATACAGTGAGTTCGGTGAGGAGATATTTGCTGGATTCTTCGAGTTCTTTCGGCGAACAGGCGTTTCGAATCGACTGCAGCAGAACACAAATCAAATGGAAGAGCTTCGATTGGAATTCCTCGCTCCCCGCGGGAATCGACGCGTCTTCCAGGCCTGTTCGCGGTTCTTCGACCGTTGTTTCCACCGCGGTTATCTCCTTCGCCGATCGCTTTCGTTTCCCTTTTTTGTTTTGTGTTTCGATTTGTGTTTCGATTTGTGTTTCTGACTCGCTCTGCTTTTCCTTGGCGGATGAAACGCTCGCATCGCCGGGCTGCATGGAATCCAATTCGCAAAGAAAACCGCGGTTTTAAAACAGAGAAACAGGGAAATCAGGAGGAGTCGCGTGAGCTTCAGGACGCTGTCGAGTCCCGCGGTTTCGACGCTCTGCGCGAAGAAAACGGCGCAGGCGTCGGGGTCGTGGATGAGAAAATTGTGAACGCGCGTGACGACGCGCGAATTGTTTTTCTATGTTAGCAGAAAGGCGAATAAAAGACACCTCCTTCCAGAAGAGAGGCGTGAGGAACTTGGTGTAGAGGCGGTTGATGGAGTTGGTGGGGTTGGCGGTGTGGTCGAAGCGCAGCATGCGAAGGAAGTCGTCCAGCACGAAAACCGCGGACAGATCGAACGACTTGATGTTCTGCAGCTTGATCAGCAGCTGCAGGAAGCTCTTGCGGACCCGCAGGCTCCGATCGAAGAGGAACGGCCAGAGCTTCGCGATGTGCGGGAACAAAACCTTGTAGACCAGCCGGTTGTCCAGCAGCTCGAGGAGTCCCTGCGCTTCAATTGTCGGTCCTTTCGGCCTACGCGGAGACACAATTCGCGGACTTCCACGTGCACGTCGTGCATCAAATGCGTCGTCACGTGCTCCAGAATCATCGACGTCACCGACACCGGCAGTAATTCGAAATAATTGCCTGCATTTCACCCTTTTTTTAACAGAAATTAACATACAGATCAAATGCAAAACTCCCGCCACCGCCACGCTCCGCACGTCGGGCGTTTCGTCGTCGCACAGCACGAGAATGGCCTTGAACTGGTCCTCGATGGAATAGGTGTCACGTGCCTCGGAGGTTCCGAGGGGGAAGCAATCAATGAACAGAATGGCGGCGTGACGACGCACAATCGCGTTGGAAACCGACAAAGAGCGGAAGAGAATCGGCTCGTAGAGCTCGGTGAGGCGCGTCCAGAGCTCTTTGTGCTTTCGGTAGTGGACGAAAGAGCCCATGAGGAGCTTCAGCACGGAGAAGACTTTGGAAGAGGACGCATGAACCGCCATGTTCACGATCTCCTGAATCACTTCATGTTCTAACGCGTTTCGAATTCTATCGAATCAGAGGGAGAAGAATAAAATAGAAAACGTATCGTCCTCGCACGAGAGATCGGCAGTCATGATCGCATCGCCCCATTTCCGCACAGAACTCACCGGGAGTTTCAGAGCGACTTGTTGGAGGGAAAAAAAGCATTCCCTGGGGAAATCCGCAGAGAGGGTCAGGAATCTAGTGAACAAACAGAGGGACGACATACAGAGGGAGGAGGCGCTTGCTGTGCGTGTGTGCGATGAATTGGGGCGAACGAACGGCTTCGAGAATGATGGCTCGTGTTGTATTGGATTGGGCACTGGAGAAATCGATGAGAACTAAACTCTCGCGAATGGCATTTCTGAACATGAGCGAAATTCGGATGAATAGCTTTACAATCGATTCATATAACTATTGAAGCGTTTATCAAAACGAAGTGTGCGAGCTAAGACATACACACACATATTCGGTGCATATCGTTCTCGATTCGCATACTTTTTGACCCACAGTTTCTCAAAGAGTTTGCTCAATTCTTCTTGAAGCTCTTCTATGAACGAAAAGAACAGAGTGTGCAAAATATCTAGAATTTGATCGATTACGGCAGTATGCAGCAAGTCATTCTATTTCATATATAAGACAAAACCAAACGTCAGCACACACCATCAACAGATGCTGAAGTGCCTCCAAAAACTCTAAATCCTTTGATGAGACTATTCTCAATTCAAATATCAATAGATACATCGATTTGGATTCGAAGGGTCGATTCCGTTCACTAAGCAATCATCCGGGTTGTCCACCGAATCGACAGCCCGATAAATCGCTTCCCAGAACTGTTTCGCGTTCTACTTATCAACATAACGAATTTCACACACCTGCTTTGTCATCGTTTGCATCACTTCCTTAAAATCAAAATTGGATGATGGATTCATGTCATCGGCAACGATTCCCAGAACCGCTTCTTTACAGTTCTCTCCTTCCACACGTGCGATGAGCTCTTTTGCTTTTTCCGACATATTGATGGAATGGAAGATAAGATGATTCTTGTGTTTGAATGAATAGGTAGGCTATTGAAATAGGGCATTTGTAATAGTTTGACCGAGACAACTTGTCCGAGTGGTTAAGGAGACAGACTCGAAATCTGTTGGGCTTTGCCCGCGCAAGTTCGAATCCTGCAGTTGTCGTTTTTTATTAATCAATGAATCAATTTTATGAAAGCAACCTTTTTTTTATTCACTATTCCCTGTAATTGTTTATTGCTTCTCTCCTCTTCTGCCATGATCTTTTCTTCCCTGCTTTCGTTTTATAGTTTATCAAACATTGCATATAAAACAACCTTTTTCCTTTTCACTGTCTTCTTCTTCTTCTCCCTTATCATTTTTATTCCTTCTCCATCTTCATTCCCTCCTCTTCCTCCTCCTCCTCTTCCACCATAATCTTCTTCTCTTCCTCGTCTTCTTCTTCCATCGGAACGCCATTTTCCAGTTCTTCCAACTCCTTAATGATCGTCTCACACTTCTGCTTCAACACTTCCAACGCCTATTTCTCACTCCCATCCCCTTCTCTCACTCGAGGAACCAGCGACTTCGCAGATACGCAGCCCGTCGACTCCACAGAGAAGATGAAGTCATTTCGGATCACGCCCAGCTGCACCTTTTCCCGATTCTCCGGAAGGCGAATACACTCTCGGCACATTCTATCTCGCACACTCTCACGATCCTTACGTGCAATTCAGATCATGCGCCACATGCAGCGTTTTCTCGCCTCCAATGTCCTCAATATCGAACACTCCCATCGGACATATCTGCTTCATCCGCTCTGCGTCTTCTCCCACGAGCGGCTTCGGGAATCGGATCGACGGTCGCATGCGATAAACCGCGGTACAAACCGGCGACCTTTCCTCATCGAATTCCATCGAACCTACCATTTCGCGTGATCCTCGCCCACGCCTTTGGTCGCGTAGCACTCCAAATCGATGGCTTGCCCGGGAGCGAGCTTCGTCAGAATGATGTCATCATGCACCAGACCGATCTGTCCTTCCGGCAAATCCAGCTGTCTGCCCAGCTTCTCCAGCTCCAGGCTCTGCGAATACACCGTCAAATATTCCACGTTGCGGTTGTTGGCCGCTTTCTGCAGCTCGGAAAGACTCGGACAAGTCACGCGCAGATTGAACTTCAGCGAGTTCTTGTCCGTGAAGTCGCTGCGGTTGTGACCGTTCTCACCAGGAGGACAGATGTAATCGAAGTCGTTCGCGTCCGCTTTGATGGGGATTAATCCGAGACGATGGCAAAGCACTTCGTCCTATTCATCAAACCGGAGACCATGAAGTACCTGCATCACGGACGTGTTATTGTTCATAAAAACAGTACTTATGGCCATTGTTGGTACTTCTGCTATCAACACTCGGCGCAGAGCGTTTGCAATGGATGCATCAACGCCCACAAGTTCAAAAACGACCTGCTCATCAGACTAGACACTCATTTCGCTTCCACCAACGAATACCTGCGAGAGAATATTAATTTTCAAGTTCTCGTCGAGACCATCTAAATAATGCTCCACAGCATGGCTGGTTTCCACGACCTTTGCATCACATCCAAAAATAACGCAGTACGTCCCTAATTCCTGAGAATTCAACAGCGGCGATGGGTTTCTTTCCTGGCATTTGAATGTAAATAGATGGCAAACTGCGATAGTAAATCACGACTCTTTTTGCTCGAAATATTGGAATTCCATAAAGGTATTTGATTGTTTCATATTATACTTGTTCAAATGAACAGTAATTTAACACCTTGTATTTATCGTAGAATGAAAAAATTTAGGGAAGGGCAAAATGGGTTCGTAGTTGTATAGATCGTGTATTAAATGATAATTCTTGGCTGCGAAAACTGTAGATATGATGTAAAAATTCTATGGCTATGATTCTTTTTTCAGATAATGAGATTCTACTTAAAAAGCCTATTGAAACCTTATTCTTACAAAACTTACATATGCAATCCGGTTTGGTATCATGTTGATAGCTCTGATATGCTTTTCTACTTTGGGTGGAGTGAATTACATCATATTATAGCAGGTTACCAATATAGATATGCTCATCACTTACAGTATGCATTGTTACAATTACATCTATTACAGATATTACGATTTACTTAACATATGGGTCATTCACACCCTGTACAGTTAATTTTTATCAATACAATACTATATTCAAACATAATTATCAACCACATATATAGCAGCCTGCAAATGAAAACTCCTTATGGAAAACCAACTATTTACTCTCTCACTGTTTCTGTTCATTCCCCATTCACTCCAATCATTGTTAATAGAAAACATAAAACTAAACAGTTTAACACTTAAACATCATCATCAGATTCCAGATGCTTGTGTGATCTATGTTTCTTCTCCTTCTTCACTTCCTCCACAGCGGGCACCTCTCCATCGCTCACCTCCGAACCCGAAGTATCCTCTCCATCGAGAATCGCCTGGTTCTCCTCGCTCAGATTTCGGCAGTGGAATCCATAGAGCAAAATCCAGTTATTGTAGCAAATGAAGAAGAGAATATAGCTAAAGCTGGACGCGCTATCGAACGATCTGTAGTTCACGACTTTCAAAAACTCGAGGATGGTGGTAATAAGTCCCAACAACGCAGCCGCATATCCACACACTCTCCACTTTCCTCCTATCACTTCGTCCTCCTTATCATACACGCAAGCCATGTAGATTCCGACAGCCAGAATCGTATCTCGCAGGAAGGTAACCCAGGTGAAGCAGTTCTCATAGAGCATGTAGGCGATCTCCATCGAAATAAAGGGGTTCACTCTCTGCTGATGACTGGGACGGAAAATGCGAGAAGTAACGCCTCCAGCCTAGAGAGATGAGAACGCTCGAAAGAAAGAGTACAGAGCGAAGTCCTGAGGCAAAAGCGGATTTCATGCATTCCAAAACCAATCCGCCAATGAGGCAATATCGCATAACACCCACCCCGTTGTGTCCAGAGTACAAATCATCCATGGTCTAGCGGTTACTAGCAGAGAAAAAACGGTACGAAAAAAGGAATACAGGTCAGAAGCCCAGTAAGCACAACTAGACGTAAGAAATCACACTATAGCACGGTACAGAGAAGATGGGCAAACTGATTTGAACCAATGTTCTTTGCTCTCAAATCGAAAAGACGGTCGAGGCAAGTGTGATTGAAGTCCTGCATGTCAAACAGCTATTTCTACGATACGGTGAGCTGATCAAATGTGCAGACACTCGCTTCTTCATCTGTTCCCAAGGAAGTACCGATATAGGATTGCATTGCCATAGCAATCAGTGTTCCAGCAACACTAGATGATAAGAATCCGGTGTAAATGGATTACCCAATTATAGAGCAATAGTAAGCGAGCTTGTAAACACTCTCTGGATCATTGGGCGAGATGTAGCTCTTGAAGTTCAGCATTTTTTCTATATCTTGATCTTTCTCTCATCGTCACCTACACAATAGAAACAAAATATGAATGAATTGCTTAAGAAACAAAACACATACGAAAAGTGTACTCTCTGCCAAAACACGCAAATTCCCGTTTTGATTGTGTTATTTCATAATTATGAATAAGACTAATCACTATTTCAGATTGTTGTATTTACTAGGTTGTTTTCTAAATGCTTTAATTACAGGGAGGCATCGTACGTCGACGAGAAGGGTGAAGGAAGAATCGTTGAAAGTGTCTATACCGATTTACGTTTGAAAACAAAACCGAAAGCAAAGAAGCAACATATTACATCGAAGAATTGGTAGAAGAACGGACAAAGCACATGTTGCTGTCCGATGTATTTCCTTTTCCTGTTGTGGCGCCAATTCCCTTGTTATCGCGCTTAATATGAATTCCTATCGGCTCCACAATGCCATGCCCTTGCTGTCCCAAGCTTCCTCCTTCCCAGCCCAGTTTCTTTAGCATTTGATTTCCCTTATTCTCGCTACTAATCGGAGTGGATAGTCCCTCCATCTATCCTTCATTTTGTATTACAACTTCGTTACCAGAGTCTTTTGCATGCCAGAAGATTTGGAGGGAGATCGACTCCTTACAAGCGGTAGCTCAGTCGGGGAAGCTTGCTTCGATTGTTTCTTTCCCTCTCTCTTCGCCATTCGGATGTTCTTCTTTCTATTTTTCACCAACAACGCACAAAAGCAAACGTCCAACGTAAAGGTTTCGCTACGGTGATAAACAACCACTCCTTCTCCTTCTCTGTGTTCATCAACAGATCAAACTTTTCGCAGTACTTATTTATCTAGCATGAACAACAACATGAGACATCATTACAGTCTTTCGAATCAACGGTGCATTGCACGGTATGGGAGCGAACGAGAAGGACTGGATGAACTCATTATTGACTAGAAGTTCGAAAGCCTTCAAAATACTCTTTTCCCGCGTTTTGGAAAACACTTTGTTTCACAAATTGTATTATTTTTACTTTTCTTCGACTTGTGTTCTAGCTTGCGCTGACTTCTAGGGGATGTGTCCAAGTAACTGACGCTGTTTCCAAGCATCTCACTTTCATCATGGTGTTCTAGCAAAAAGAGCGGAAGAGGCATCTCATCATCCGAGTCTTCTTCTTCTTCTTCTTCTTCATTGTCACTCGTTTTATCGGATACATCATCCCCATCACTGGAATTAGTTGAACCAGAATCATTTGAAGTATCACGTTCTCTCGAATTAACAGCTTCTGCACCCCCAGCATCCACTCCCGTCTCATCCATCCCATCTTCTGAATCGTTTGAACCGCTACTATCAGAGCTATCGAAGGCGAATGGGTTTGGTGTTGTATCTATTACATATTTTGCTTCGACAGGCGTGGAATCATTTTCATAAAAGTTATTCACGACGTCTGTCCCTATTTTACGATACTTTTTGAGAGATGGTGCTTCATACTGATCATCCTACAAATAACAATCGAAATCACAAAATAGACAGAACTCTCTTCATCTTCTCCCGTCTCAACACTCTTTTCAGGGACATAGATCGAGTCTTCATAGTCTAAATCCAAAAAACGATGGACATCCTGGTCTCCATCATTGTAGATGTGCATTCGGTTCAATTTCTGCTTCCTTCTTTTTTCTCGTAGTTTTTTGCCTCGTTTCCTACAGGTTGTGCTTCATTCATTGAAATACCCTTGCATCCGCTGATAAGTACTCATTTCAAACACAGAATCAATAATACAAAAATACTGAGTTTTTTTCGAATCCCGAACTAGGAGGCAAAATTTGCCACTCTGTCTCAAGGTCTAATTGTTAGTCCGAAAGGCATCTGTGAATGAGTGCTCTTATTAGAGGAGAATACTATTCTATCCTGGTTCGGAACCGTTCTTTGAATGTGTCCGCCAGTATTCGAGAATTTAGTGATGCTCCATTTTTTTGCCTGAACGAGAATTATAGTATGATTTCGTTGCTTTTTGTTTTGTAGAAATGCTGAGATGTGTGATCATTTCAAATAAAGGACCGCCAGTCGGATTCAACAAGTGTATAGGATCGGGAGATATACTCGTTGGTGTGAATGGAAGCTGCCTAGGAGTGTTGCCCGTTTCCTGTACTCTAGATAAGTGGATGAATATCTATACTAAATTGCCGTTTCCGCGTATAATCACTTTTTTTCGTACTTCGGCTGAAGGCTCCATTTTATTCGATCCTTTGAAAGTGACTTCCTTTTATGCTCTTTGACCCTAGAATCATCTGTGGAACCGTTTTACACACGAAGGCATATGCTATTGCGCTGAAGAAAGCGATATCCAACTTGTCCGACAGCTACCGTACTGCAAACCCGATATGCAGATTGTCCTTCTGGATGATGCTCCCGCACCGAAGCATCTATCGAACTCTTCCATGTCAGAGGATCCCTGGCTCGAAGTACTTCAGAATCAAGAGAAAGAATTGGACGACGAAATCACCCTCAAGACCAATTCGCTCGATTCGAGCTATCGAGAGTTCCAAGAAGCGCAGAACGAAGTGAAGAAAGCGTTGGAACTGGCTGAGCAATTGGAGAAGCAGAAGCGAATAGCGGAACGTCAAGTGCAAGAAGCGATGCTGAAGCAGAAAAACGCGCTGGCGAAGACGCAGCAAGCGGAGAAGGGGTTGAAAGAAGCGAAGAAGAATCGAGAGCGTGTGCAGAAGCAGAAGGAAGAAGCGATCCGCTCGAGGAGGATCAAAGAAGAAGTGGAGCGCGCGAAGAAGCTGCAAGCCAAAGCAGCTCACCAGCAGCGTCTAGACACGTTTCTAGCGAAGAATTCATCGAAAAAAGCATCGAACAATGAATCGAACAATGAATCAAACAATGAATCGAATAATCAATCGAACTCTCCATCAACCAAACCATCGAATGATCCATCGAAGGATCCATCGAAGGATCCATCAAAGGATCAAACGAAGGATCCAAATACAAAGGAGGAAACGGCCGTCCCCTCCAATTCGGCCGAATCTTCCAATTCATCCACCAAGCTGTTATCCAAATCGGTCTCGTTAACGCCAATCGTCGTGATTCGGGATTGCATCAGCCAACTCAGCCGAATCGTGAACAATTGCTTCTCGTGGTACATCTTCATGGCGAGTAGTCGCCCCATGTTGATGAACGCGATTTCGATGGTCAATTTGCAGCTAACGCAGATGAATCCTGCGTGTGTGAACTCCGCATTGAATTTAGTCAGCACCGTGCTGAATTCACTCAACTCATACATCCAACGAATCGACGAAGCTATGAAGGAGGGCAGGGCGAGCAATTTCCAGCAAGCCAATCTCATGATTAAGCAGTGCGTCGTCCTCAAAACCTCCTGCGAAACCATCGTTTCGCGCCTTCAGAACATCCATCCTATTTACATCTCGCTCGTCAATTCAGCTCCCTCTTCTTCTTCTTCTTCTTCTACTTTAGCCTCCGCATCGACGACACTCGCTGCACAGAAGTCGGTTTCCCCGTTTCCCGAATCCGAAGCGGACGGAAGCCTCTCCAAACCATTCGGAAGCGTGGATTTGGCGGTGGACGCGCTGGGAGGTGAGTTCTCTGCGAGCCGTTGAGGCGTAGAAGCGGGAGAAATGGACTTCGCCGAGTCCTACAACCACGATATTTTCCGCGTTTACGTCCCCAAGAAAGTCACAATCGGAGTCATGCATCCCGATCCTGTCGTCGAAACATCGTTCTTTCTCTCTTTCTCCACCACTCACCCGCAGAGCTCTCGCCGCTGTGTCGCCGCCCGACGTGTTTTACGACCTCCATCTCCCGCAGCGCGTGATCGACGAGGGCCTGTTATCGAGTCTTCAGCTGGAAACGGTCATTTACGCCTCGCAGCGCCACCAGCTATTCAGCCCGCAAGGCTACCGCTACGGCTTCCTGCTGGGCGACGGCGCCGGCGTTGGAAAGGGACGGCAGCTCGCTGGAATCATCGCGGAGAACTGGATGGCGTAGGAACGGCGAATGGATTGGAGGGCAGAGGGAGGAAACAAGCGATTTGGATCAGCGAAAGCGGCGATTTGGTGTATGACTGCAGACGGGATCTCGACGACATCGGCTTTTCGGAGATCCCCGTAGGGAGCACGCGAGGAAGGTGATTGGATAGCTGATGAATCTGCGCGATTCTCCGTACGGTACCGTGATCGATCCGAAGACGTACGCAAAGGGAGTTTTCTCGAGGGTAGAAACCGCCGATTCACCGAGGGCGTGTTGTTTTTAACGTACAGCACGCTCATTTCGAAGCGATCAGGCAGTGCGAACTCGATCAGCAAGTAGGCTGTGCGTGTGGGATGCGAGCTAGCTCGCGCCTTCGACAGCTGCTTCGCTGGTGCAACGAGAAATCGTTCGACGGCGTGCTGGTTCTCGACGAGTGCCACAACGCGAAGACCAGCACCAAATCGACGGGCAGCGCCAATTCCTCGTCGCTCTCCTCCTCCTCCTCGACGTCCTCCAAGAAGAAAATCACGATGAGCAAGACCGCGCAGACGGTGAACGATCTGCAGAGCCGCCTGCCGAACGCGCGCGTTGTGTACAGCAGCGCGACGGGCGGAAGCGACGAGAAGGAACTGGGGTATATGCAGCGATTGGGACTGTGGGGACCGGGAACGAGCTATAAAAGCTTCGAGGATCTGGCGGGGAAGCTGAGCAATGGAGGCTTGTCGTTCTTGGAGATGCTGTGTTGCGATATCAAGGCGAAGGGAGCGTTTTTGAGTCGCCAATTGTCGTTTACGGGGTGTCAGTTTTTGGTGAAGGAGGCGGGGATGGAGAAGGAAATGAGCGAAATGTACTTGAAAAGCGTGCAGCTGTGGAGAGTGATTTTCGATGCCTTCCAGAAGGCCATGAAAGTGGGAGCGTCTGGAAGGTCTGAGTCGTAGCTGGTCGAGCCGTACGCCAAATTCACGCGGGGAACGAAGAAATCGGACGGGGACGTGGACGACGACGCCTACGAGAACGAAGAAGACGTGCGTTATGACCGGATTCCTAACGCGTAGCACGTTCCGCTATCGCTGGTCTGGCGATATTACTTCTCCAGCGTGCAGCGATTCTTCAAGCACATGATCATGAGCTCCAAAGTGGTTTCTCTGTTTCTCTACTCATCCCCAGATTCCCTACTGCGTCGAAATCGCAAAGAAAGCCCTGGAGGAAAACAACTGCGTCGTGATCGGCCTCCAAAGCACCGGAGAGGCCCACATTCGGCAGATGATGGCGCGCCAGCGAAGCCAGGCCGGCGAAACGGACGAGTCGGGCGAGTCGTTGATGCTGGTCGACGGTTTCATTTCGTCCCCGCGGGAAATCTTGCTGCAGTTGATGGAGAACGCGTTTCCGAGCATCCAAATCCCCGACTATCTGCGAAGCTTCGCGGCGAGTCTGGGAGAAGACGACGAAGACAACGACGTAGACAATAAAGAAAGAGAAAGAGAAGGAGAAGGAGGACTAGTGGTGGAACGTAGGCGTGGATGGAAGGAGATCAAGGGCAGATTCGTCGCGTGCGAATTTCCGGATCGCGCAGCGGAATATCGCGTGGGAATTGGAGAGGAGGGATGAGCGTTAGTCGGATTCAGCATTATTTGTCGTCGAGCAGCGAGGACAGCGAAGATCGAAAGGGCAGTCCGACGCTGCCTTCGGATTCGTCGGTGGTCGAAGAGGACAATGAAGAGGATGATGACGATGATGATGATGACGACGATGATGATGATGAAGAAGTCGTGGTTGAAAACGAAATGAAGGAAATGGAAATCGGGGAAGATAGAGTCGAAGATGCCTCCAAAACCAAAAAAGACTCCAAAACCGAAGCGGAAAAAACCGCGGAGGCTCGGAACCGTCTTCTCCTGCAACTGCTCTCCATCCAATCGCAGCTCGACTCAATGAAATCCGAGATCCTCAAGGAAGTGAAGGCGATCCAGCTGCCCTGCAATCCGCTCGACGAGCTCATCGATCAGTTAGGCGGCGAATCCAAGGTCGCAGAAATGACAGGCCGCATGTACCGCGTGCTTCGCCATCATCCCGGCATTCCCGACTCTTCCACTGCGTATTTCCGAAGCGAAAAGGAAGCTTCGAATCCTTCGCAGCCGCTTTCCGATTCCGATCTTCGTCTAAACGACTCCTATTTTTACTGCCAGTCCCGCGGAATTAAACGTGGAAGCGGAGAAGGGATCAACATGCGCGAGAAGCAGTCCTTCCAGAGCGGCGAGAAGCTCATTGCGATCATCAGCGAGGCTGCGAGCGCGGGCATTTCCCTGCAAAGCGACCGCCGCGTGGCGAACCAGCGGAAGCGCATCCACATCATTTTAGAGCTGCCCTGGTCCGCAGATAAAGTGATTCAGCAGTGCGGACGGTCGCACCGAAGCAATCAGAGCGTGTCTCCCGACTACGTCTTCCTTCTGTCTGCGATTGGCGGCGAGATTCGGTTCACCAGCACGATCTCCGCGCGGCTGCGTGCGCTGGGCGCGCTGACGCAGGGGTCGCGGAACGCGACGGGCGCGCTGGATTTCTCGCAGTTCGATCTGGACTCGCAGTACGGGCGAAAAGCGGTGCGGATCTTCTTGAATGCGGTGCTGGATCCGGAGGACGCGGAGTATCTGCCGGACGATTATGGCGTGAAAGTGGAATTGGGGAAGACGGAGAAGGCGGAGTACGCGGAGTATGCGGCGGCGAATGGGGAAGAGCGGCTGCAGTTGATGGGGAAATGGCTGCGGAGCGTGGGGATCCAGGACGAGAAGGAGTCGAGCGCGATGCTGTTCAATCGCATGCTCGGCCTGGAGATTTTCAAGCAGCAGCAGCTGGTTCAGTTCCTAATGGAGGTGGGAATGCGGAGCGCGGTGCATCGTAGATCCTCGCGAAGGAAACGTATCGCATCCAGAAGACCGAGGTGCTGGACCAGGGCCTCAACATCATCACCGGCAAATCCGTCAAGCTCGCGTGTCCTCCCGAGGTCATCTACGAGGACCCCGTCACCGGCGTGCAGAGCCTGTATTATAAAATCATCGTCACGCGCGGCGTGTCCTACGACGAGCTGCGCAAGCTCAACAAAAACGGGTACTTTGCTTCGCTCCCTCTTCACCCAGTCGATTCTTCGTCGGAAACATCCGCAAGCTCGTCATCTACGCCTACCACGACTCCCTTCCGCCCTCCCAATGGAAGCGCGACACGCCTCTCCACGTCATCCGCCCCGCCACCGGCGCCGCGCCCAACGTCTGGCAGTACCAAGACGTCAAAGACAAATACTCCGAGACCAGCGACGGCAAATCGCTCTGGACGCACCAGTGGCAGCGCTCCCAGCGCGTCTGCGTTCACGGAGAGAACTGCCGCCGTAGCCACTGCGAGGTCGGCAAGGCCTCCCAGACCATTCATCTCATCTCCGGGCAGTTCGTTGTGCTCTGGGGATTTCTCAAGGACTGCGTCCCCCGCGGAAAAACACTCCGATTGGTCCAGGTCGCACTCACCGAGCCCGTCCCCACCGGGGAAACGGGGAAACCGGATGGAGAAACGGGGAAACCGAATGGAGAAACCGAGAAATCCGAGAAATCCGAGAAGGCGATGGAGGTGGAGAACCAAAATGGAGAAACCGAGAAACCGAATGGAGAACCGGAGAAACCGAATGGAGAAACCGAGAAATCCATGGAGGTGGAGAAACCGAGTGTGAAATCGGAGAAGCCTATTGGAGAAACAGAGAAACCGGGGGTCGATTCTGCGAAGAAGGCCGATGCTCCCGCGGTTCCTGGCTCGGAGAAGGGGGAAACGCTGCTGACGGGGGTTCGGATTCCGCGGGACAAGATCGAAATGCTTCGCAGCAAGCTGCAGGGGATGAAGGAGGCCTTGGTGAGCGAGGGTAGCGTCGATTGGGCGGGCTAACGAGCAGTGAATCACCAGCGCGAGCTGACGCAGAAGCACCGCGAGCGCGAGGCGCGGGAAGAAGCGGCGAGGCGCGAGGGCAAGCGGCGGCTGGCGGAGCGCGAGCTGCGCGGCCGGAGCGATCTGGACCTCTCGCTGGTGATCCCCGACGCGCTGGATCCCGCGCAGGGCCGAAGAAGAGCGCATCGGAGCACGGCGCGGTACGGAGATCTGGCGGAGCTGCCCGGGCTGGTGGAGCTGGTGAGCGTGGAGGAGCTCGGGAAGCGCGCGCGGATCGTGTTTAGGGAGAGCGGGCGAGCGAGGGAGGAAGAAGCGCCCGGGCTGTATCGACTGACGGAGGAATGGGTGGAGCGAATGGAGAGAGAGGAGGAGGAGGAGAGAGAGAAGACGAAGCGGAGGGGAGAGGAGGAAACGGAGAGCGAAGAGGAAAGCGCGGAGATGGAGGAGAGCGAAGAGGAGAGCGAGGAAGAAACGATGGGCTCGGATAGCTCCACCGACTCCGAAGAGGAAAAGGAAAGTGGAAAGGACGAAGAAGAAAGCGAAGAAAGCGAAGAAGAAATGTGGCAGATCGAATCGACGGTGGAGAAGCCGCAAGTGAAGATGGAGGAGTTCGATGGGTGGGTGGTGGATGTGGAAGACGAGGAGCGCACAGAGAGCGAAAAGGTTTCAGATTGCCATGTTTGAGAACAAACAACACAAACAAAGAGACCCCGATCGGAGGGCAGCTGGCTCGACGTCCACTTCACGTCCGCTTTCTACAAATCAGACCGAGTCCCAATCGCCACATCGATCACCGAATCGATCAATTCGAAGAGGAAATCGCTGCACATGCTCACGACTTGCAGCGATCCCAGCAGGATTTGCGAGTCCATTTTCCCAAACAAACTCGTTATATTCACGATCTCTTTCCTTCGATTCACGCAGAACAACACCCAGCTGTCCACACAGTCTTCTTCTTCCTGCGTCGCATCCACGAGCAGCGTATCGCCCACCACGAACAGCGAAATGCCGATCGGGATCGACTGGCAGTTGATGCGACGGAAATGCGTCGGATCGTCATCGATTGTGAAGTCCTTCTCTTCCTGGTCCGCGTTCTTTATGGGGGTTGTGATCGGAATTCGCGCGGTGCGCAGCGCTATCAGTATGGAGAGCATGATTATGTCGAAAACGTTACCACTATCGGTCAGAACAATGACATCGACGTAGAGTGTCCAGTGGAATAGATTTGGAATAATTTTGAGATCCTCTATGTCGAGAGCCCCGTGGCTCAACAAAATCCTAAAGAAATGAGGGCGGTCGCTTCATACTCACTTTTTCACGTTTTCAGCGAGTAAGTCACCACGAGTCTCCATAATTCGCGAGTGATAAGCAACTGATGTAGGAGCAGCAAACGCCACTGTTGTAACCACAGGTTCATAGGGATCTGACGCATCGCTTAAGTTTTTTACCTCTGCTTTCACAGAAGTAATGACATCTGTGCCGCCTTCCTTGAAGCGAACTCGTGATGAGCCATGACACTGTTGTAATATGTTGGGTTCCATCTCAATCAGTCTGGAAAATTAACAGATCACCAAAACAATCTACCTATATTGATTATTCCTTCTTGCGTCATTTCGAATGTTTTGCTTGATTCCATCAATAATAAATTTCCTTTCTGTGCTCGATATTTTCGACATTGCTGGAAATAATCGAGTTTTGTTTTTTACTCTCCGAACATGGAAACTGAGGGATCCCACAGGTCGAAAAAAGAACGAAAAAGGGCCTACACGGGAATCGAACCCGTGACCTCTCGCACCCTAAGCGAGAATCATACCACTAGACCAGCAGGCCTCGAAAGAAAAGTTCAGAAGAGATAGTATAATGATATGATTCATGACAAACAACAACACAAAGCAGTTATTATCATAAAAATGGAATCTGAAATTGTATTAGTAGTGCTCTATGTTTGAGAAATAGGAATTGTTAATGAAAGAACTACAGGATGCTCAAGAGGCTGACGTGACTCACAAGCTGTCTGAACGGAATGTTGTAGAAATCGTGGAAAAGATTACAAAGAAAGGACTCATCGATCTTTTGAAGTAGGATGTTTATTTTTGTGTCGATGGTAGTACTCGATCTGGAATTCGTGAATACCTCACTTGGAGTGAATTAGAAACCGAGATATTGGAAGAAATCGATGCTCATGATGGTCGAGTGACTTACCAGGAATTAGAAGTATGTGTAAATAAAAGTTTTCATTTACAGGATGCGATTAACGTTGATATTACGTACATTGAGAAGTCGGTGAAGGAGTTGTGCAGTCGTAACTGCGGAGTCATGAACTTACGCAATCAAGAGATTATCAGCGATCGGTATTTTACCTCTGCATCTAAATAACCTGCTTAGCTACACCGACAATCTGGTCACGCGTAGCATTTCCCAGATTCAATTCCATGGCATCATGAAAGTCGGTCTTTTGGCCACTCGCTTCAACGTCCCGGTGAATTTCCTCCAGTCCTCCGTGATTCCTCTCATCTGCGAGCGTAGCCCCGACATCCAATTCAAAAACGGAGATCTCTTTACCACGGTTTCCCCTTTTCCACTGCCTTATCGCAGAGTTTCATTCGTCGAAACCAAGCCCGCATCCGCGGTCTCTGCGCGGCCATCGACCGTCCCTGCCTGCTTTCGGAGCTCAGCGAGCTGTTCGTGGAAACGTGGAACTACAACGTAGATACTCATTGGAGAAAACGTTCCTCCAGGAATCGATCGAGCAGCTTTTGAAGCGCGGAGACGTGCGAGGAAGCATCAAAACGGGGTCGTTCATCCCCCACAAATTCGAGAGCCAGAAGGTTTCGATGGAAAAACGCGATTGATTGGCTAGACCGACGCGCTGCTGAGCTTCCTCCGCACGAACCAGTACATTTCGAAGCAGCAGCTGCACCAAAACCGAGTCGGAATGGAACGGATTCATCACAACCAGATCGATTCGCCTTCGGCGTATTTCCAAAAACAAGGATATTCTCATTCGCTCATCGAACTCGATTCTATTTGGGTCGGCGACGATTTGGTCGAGGAGTTTCACTCCACGATCACCGAGTTCGTCAACGAGGACGGATTCATCGAGCTTTCCACCGTGTTTCCGCCTTCTTTCACCCCCAAAGACGTTTCTCTCGTTTTGAAACAGATCCCAAAACTCGCCTTTGAGTTCGCCGTCAATTCGCCAACGATCTACACGGTTCTCGGCGACTTCGTCGTTCGAACGGATCTCCTCAACACGCTCGCGTTGAATCATCTGCGAAGCATGGAGTCCGCAGTCCTCAACGCGCTTCAGAAGAACCAAACGCTCGACTCCTGCGTTCCATCCATCGAGAAACTGCAGGAAGAGCTGCGAGAAGCGAGCGTATGCGACGGATTTGCAGTGAAACGTAGGATACGATGGAGGAAACGTGCGTCAATGAAGCAGTGGAGGCGATTCACAAAACGATCTATGAGCAATTTATATCTTTGTCATTCCTTTCTTTGTTTGTTGTGGGTTTTCTTCACTTCACGAAGCTTGTTATAACAAGCAGAAGCTCGCTATGATGCGAGGCGAGGGACAGAACCGCAAGGCGGAGCAGAAGGAAGCGTTCGCCGCGATCGTTTCGTTCTTCCACAACGTAGAAATCGAACATTCGATCGAACGTAGTACGAAACAGTGCAGAAAATGATGGACTCCGGGAAATCGGAGATAGTGAAGAACTGCTATGTCGAGCGAGAAAAGAAGATGAAAATGGAGGGAGTCGCGCTGGTTCTTTACTGTTTGCAGATCCTTGTTGGAGCGGGATGATCTCATGATGTGTAGTGTAAGTCGGATGTGATCGAGCCGACTGAGTTGCAATCAAAATCGACGAAGGAGCTGAACGAACTTGCCGAGAAGCTTCCCAAAGACGTTGCAGAGTATATGCGCAATCTGATTGGTTCGTTGTCCAATTCAAAAAAGAAGGAAAAAGTGGTGAAGAAGAAGACGGATGAGCAGGAGTCGAGAAAGGGAAAGCGTAGTAAGGGAAAGGAGAAAGGGAAGAAGAAGGCGGACGAAGAAGCCGCGGCTGAAGAAAACGAAGAAATGGAGGAAGCGAAGGAACTCACCTTTTTCGATTATTTCAAGCAGGTTACGGACTATGGAGGTCCGCTGTTCAAAAGTTTTGATCGTATTTCTATGTTTTGCGTGTGTGAGAATAGGGAAGCAGCTGAAGCAGATGTTGCATGCAAACAAAGTCGAGCTTCAGCAAAAATTGGAATTGGTCGTGTTGCAGACTGCAGGTGAAGAGGAGCTTTTGTTGATGGCTTCACTGGTCATGAATCTGAATTACGGAATGGTTCCTTTTGTGCCTTCGTTGAAAGTGGGTAAAATCGAATGGGTTAATGGTAGGAAGCGCGCGGCTTGCTTCTGGAATATAATACGGACGAGCCATTTGTGGAATTGGTCGATGTTGCTTTTGGAGAGGATAAGGATGCGTCAAAGCAAGCAATTATGGATTTGATACCATATTTCGTCAAGAAGGCATAAGGAAATGGAGTGTTTGTTAGAAAGAGAGAAACCCATAATGAAAAGAATGGATGTATGGATGTGTTTGATGGGAGGAGGAAAGATCAATCGTTGCTGAGACAGACACATAACGTATAAATCTTTCGCCTTTTACTAAAGATTTCCGTGTGTATGTTTCTTAAAGGCACAATTTGATATTTATTTACCTAGTATTACTAGGTTTCTTTTAAATGAAAATTGTATGAATTGATATTGATATTGGTTTTTGATTTTGTTTTTGTATTGAATGAAGATATTGATAATTTGTATACTATAATAATAATGATAATAATACTACTAGTGTAATAATGAGTTATAATTGTAAAGGTTTGTTATATATGAATGTAAATTGATTCGTTGTTAATATAATGAATTATAATAATGATAGTAGTAACCTACTAAGAATAGTTATGTGTTTTACCAAAGTATTCGAAACAATAGAATCCATACATTTCGAATAATGTGATATAAATATTAAGCTATTAAAGTGTATATTGATAGTGCTTTGAGTAGAAAGGTGGTTAGTAGTGTATGAAACAAACAAATAACAAAACCTGATTCTAAATTACAATGAGTACATGCATTCCAATGTTACAAAATCAATAGTTTCTCAGTCCCTCAGAAAAGTCCTCATAGACATGGTCTAGGACATCCGAAATAGTCTAATCCTCGAAACTATATAATTGGTGAGAGTACTTACCAGCAAAGCAAAGAACTAAACAAAAATGTGAGGTAATGGAAACAAGCGAGAATCACGGTTATTGAGCATAGTTGGCGTTCACACATTTCTTCAAACCCAGAGCAAATTCGTTTATATAACTATGCAATATAGTAATTATCTACACTAAAGAACCTATTTGAACATTTTGAAGAGGTTATTATTCTGATCACCTCAATGACAATGAGAAATTGATCGATATTGTGTGAGAGTGATATTTTCACATATTCCAATAGATACTGACGTAATTCATAAGCGATTGAGCCTGCTATAATGGGATTCTTTATTTCGCCAATTCCATTGAATAACCGTGATTCTCGCTTGTTTCCATTACCTCACATTTTTGTTTAGTTCTTTGCTTTGCTGGTAAGTACTCTCACCAATTATATAGTTTCGAGGATTAGACTATTTCGGATGTCCTAGACCATGTCTATGAGGACTTTTCTGAGGGACTGAGAAACTATTGATTTTGTAACATTGGAATGCATGTACTCATTGTAATTTAGAATCAGGTTTTGTTATTTGTTTGTTTCATACACTACTAACCACCTTTCTACTCAAAGCACTATCAATATACACTTTAATAGCTTAATATTTATATCACATTATTCGAAATGTATGGATTCTATTGTTTCGAATACTTTGGTAAAACACATAACTATTCTTAGTAGGTTACTACTATCATTATTATAATTCATTATATTAACAACGAATCAATTTACATTCATATATAACAAACCTTTACAATTATAACTCATTATTACACTAGTAGTATTATTATCATTATTATAATAATACACAAATTATCAATATCTTCATTCAATACAAAAACAAAATCAAAAACCAATATCAATATCAATTCATACAATTTTCATTTAAAAGAAACCTAGTAATACTAGGTAAATAAATATCAAATTGTGCCTTTAAGAAACATACACACGGAAATCTTTAGTAAAAGGCGAAAGATTTATACGTTATGTGTCTGTCTCAGCAACGATTGATCTTTCCTCCTCCCATCAAACACATCCATACATCCATTCTTTTCATTATGGGTTTCTCTCTTTCCAACAAACACTCCAAAAACTTCCTCTCTCCACTTAAATCAATGGTTCTACGCCTCACCCACCGTTCCAACCCCCACTGCTCATCGTTCCATGCGGGTCGTCCTTCGTGGGCACCAGCGGTCCCTGCGGAATCTTGATCATTTCCACGTTCTGCACCGGCAGGACTTTTCTCCCCTTCACCCCTTCCCTCGCTCCTACTTCTCCTTCGCCTGGTTTCTGCACAGCACGACCATCAGTCCCACCACCACCAGACACACGATCACAGAGATCACCGTAATCGGATTCAGCACGCCCGACTTCGTTCGCTCCGGCGCCCATTCCACGCTCCCCACGGCCTCCGTTTCCCCGTCTACGTTCCACGTTTCCACGGTTTCTACCAGCGCAGAACGCGGGATCCACCGCGGCGAAATACACCGATTCGTACTGGAATTCGGTCACGAAGCCGCGCAGCGCGCTCAGTCCCAGCTGCACCGTATTCTAATGCGAGTTCCGCGGGAATTGGTACCTCGAATTCGTTGGGAACGATCTGGAGGATCCATGATGCGGACTCGGCGGAGCTGGAGCGAAGGAAATAAAGGGACGGAGGCAGATGAAGCAAAACGCCGGGAAGCTGAACGTCGAACGTGGGAAATCCTTCGATGGATTGAATGGCCTCTCCTTTGAACACGCTTCCGTCTGAAACGCCTGGAATAGAGCGGAAACGGCGAATTCTACCAGGAAGCGAAGCATATGAAGCTTTCATCTCGGCCACGTAGCTATCGAACAAATCTTGCGGCAATCGAATCTCCTTAAAAACGGTCTCCAGCAGCACAACGCGGTTTAGCCCTAACTACCCTTCAAAAATCAACATCAACAAAACCGCTGTGAGACCTGTGTAACTCTCGTTGTTAAGCCGCAAATCTTGCAAATCGAACGTGTAACCCACCTCATGAGCGCGCTGGTGAGCTTTAACAGGATCGGATTTCTATTGGCTGATGAGGCGACCAATCATCGTACGCGAAGATTTTCCGCGGTTTTTCCGAGTGTTAGCAACCCTTTGGAATTGCCAAAACAGACGGAAAGCTGCATTTTTTCTTCCTCGTCTGAGGGTGAAAAAAAGAGGAAAAGCCGGACAGTTTTCTATTTCCTTTTCCAAAATCGAATGATAGAAGGGATGGAGGCATGTGGGGTTGCAACTCTCTTCACCCAATCCGATGATGCCGTTGATTGTGCTCGGAAGAGAGGACCACGACGCATCGAAAACATCCACGATATGAGAAAACACTCGATAATCTCCAATTGTCACCATATCTTCCACAATCGCCCCAGAAGCTCTGCATTCGGATTTTCCATAACAGTAACTACTCATATTTCGTATTATACTGGAGCGAATTATCCCACCAACACAAACCGAAACTATGCGTATCACAACATTGTTGATCATCGGAATGATGCGTGGGACAAAGATTTGTGATATCCACTTCCTCTCAGACCAAAACACTATTCTCACCTTTTTGACAAAAATCATCGGTACATTCTACGGGATCGGCCGATGATGACGATTCCTTGTCGTAACGAGAACCTTCTTTACATCCAGAACAAAACGTGTCTGGAATCATTGTTGCTGATGAAGAAACATCCTATCCATAAAAAGAATCCGGGTAATCGGCGTACGAGCAAGAGATTGTAGGACATTGCGGGTACGGACCCATTTACTCCGGTTCCAACTCCAACAGGAAGGTAAAAATACCCCTGTTCTAGACTTCCTTGAATCGGGTACACGATGGAAGTACTCGCAAGACTCACGAACTACAAGGTTCATTCCCACTCTCTGACCCACTATAAGCCACACAATACTAGTAAAATCGCGCATCAGTAACTCTCAAAAGAATTCTTACTCGGTTTTTCTATCTAAACCGCTGATTCGTGATGAACCGACGGACTTCGCTGGCAACCGGCGAAGAACTAAAACAAGTTTTCGGGACTCCTGGTGATCGGGCTTCTACCCAAGAGATCAGTGTGTCCACTTATCGAAGTAATGGAGAATATTCGAATTTTTGAAATAGATTTGCAAACTGGTGCGTGTGCTCCTTCTTCAGACTCAGATGATGTATTCTATTTTTGATTTTTAGTATCCATAGTCGCTAATGCAGGAGGTCCGAGGGAAGAAAGATCATCACCAAAACTCGTGGAAAGCATACATCACCACAATTCAACCATCCCCTTCCGCTGTTTTATTTAGTAGTTTCCGTGCTTTCTTCGGATCTGTACGCTTTTTAAATTATTCGTGACTCCAGAATCTAATCGGAATGGGTGATCTCCTCCTGGATCAAGACAAATTATTTTGGATACAAACGGATTCTCATCCATCTTGTAACTTTTCCTCTCATAAATCACACCCAGATACCCTTTGTTGGGAAATGAGCCGTGTCAAAGACTTCCATTGCTATCTGCAGCCTCAAGAAGTTCCCTACTGCTCGATCTCGGTGTACTCCGATCGCTCCGACGTCTCCATCGACACCTTCATCTTCAATCAGCCGTGCGAAAGCGATTTGGGTTCGTTCTCGTTATAATTTATAACAAGACGCCTCGCTCTCGTCGCAGGAACTGGTCCGTCTCAAACAATCCTTGCAGCAGATTTACTCCCACATGAAAGAAAACCCTCGTCTTGTAGAATTCGATGGAATAGTGTTACGCCCAGTACTTGAAACACCTCATCAAATGTTACGTGAATCACAGCAAAACACACACACATTCCGCTTATTTGCAACACTTACGCGAGGTTGTCGCCTCTCTCTCCTCGTAGTTTCCACGTTTCCACGTTTCCACGCACAGATATCAACTGCCGAATCCGCGCACGCTCTCCTCCAATCGCTCATTCGATTCGATTTCCATCCCCGATCGCAAGGAACAGCAGCGAATTCTGCTGCCCTACCGCCAATCTCTGCTCGTAGAACCGCGGGAATCCCTGTTTTCTAGACCACCCTCGCGATCCAGGAGGAATTGCGAGCGAATCGATGGAGGGAAATGGGTGTTTCAGCGTCGCGATCGAGCGCGTATGAGTCGCAAAGCGTGTGGAGATACCAGGACTCCACGACGCGTACGTTTGTCGACCGTAGCCCTCTCAATCGCAGACATTTCGCTGTCGAATGACGCGTACATTCAGCGATGGAACGCTTTCAAAGACTCCAGCTCCTCGTTTTTGCCCTTCGAGGTCCAAGCGGAGTCCGATCTCTTCACAAAAAAACAAGGTATCCCCGCGGAACTCTCCTCTCTAGACGAACTCGCCGCGAACGCCACGCATTCCGTTCTGGCGGAAGCCACGTCGGCGCCGGCGCCTCGTCGCATGTCGAACCCGCAGTCGTGTCCTCCGCGTCTTCGCACGCGCGGAATCGACGAAGGCGTGGCGGCGATTCATCCGCGCGTAGTGGTTCCGGAGGAGAGCGAAGGGCGCAGCGGAGCGAATCGACAGGCGTGCGAAGCGTCGGGAGAGAAGGGAGTGAATGAATCGGCGCTGTGCGAGCTGTTCGAGGTGTATTGCAGCGAAATGGAGAAGCGAAAAGCGAGATTGGAAGGGCGGAATGGAGGTGTGACGAGTAGATTCGACGAGATCCAGGCAGCGACGCATTCGTTCCATCAAGACGCGGAGGAACTCACCGCTCATTTTGTGGAGATGCTGAAGCAGAGAGGCGTCAACACGGACATGCTCGATAATCTCTGCGCCTCGCTTCAGTTTTGTGTTTGTTCAAACAAAACAGTCCAAACGGTAAAACTTTCGCCTCGGTTCTTCACGCCGGACTGGCTAGAACTCGAGTTGCGAATCACCTCCATGGAGTCGAGGGAGGACATAAGGTTCTTTACGGCCAGATCTTCTTTGGCGATGAAAACGGAGTTTTTGAAGGCAAGACGGCTTTTGATGGATCGCTTCCGAAAGAAAGCGTGGAAGAGCACGAGAAAGAGGGCGGATGCGTTGTAGCAGACAACGACGATGAGTCTGCGGGACAGTATGAGAAACAGCACACTGACTACATGGAAAGGACAGATGAACACTACTTAACGCCGCGCAGCTAATAAACACGACGACAGGATCATCAACTCCCTGATTGTGGCGCACTCTGCGGAATACGAGTGCAGAACTACACCTTACCAACGGATTGACAAGTATTACAAGTTGATGAGAAATAAAAACAGATAAACTGCACTGACCACAGGGTCTGTCACTCTATAGAGTTAACAGTATGCCAACTTGAGTACATTTCCAGTAAGAGAACAAAGACCCACAAAACAATGTAGTTTACCAAATAGTAATTGAGATTCGTCAGAATCTGCTTCTGAATAGGATAGAGTTGCAGTTGTGGGATGGAGAAGTCCGAAACAAAGTCTTTCCAGGGTTGCTACGCATAACTGTGATGCGAGAGGGTCCTACTATGCGACAATGATTGAAGAAGGAAATAAATTCCAAAAGACCATTAACAGCTACAACTCACCACCGGTTGCTACACACGCCTACTCTCATCAATACCTTGCTCCCAGTTCATTCAGTAGGGATGAGGCTGTCGACCAAATAAAGTATATTCTCACAAACAAAAGAAATATCAACTTTGACAACTCCCTTCTTTTTCTTTCTATCTATCTTTCTTTTTTATTCATTCATTCATTTACTCATTCATTCATTAGCTCATTCGATCGTTCGTCCCATGCGTTCCTCTCCGCGCTTACATGGCCTTGACCTCCCAGACACGGATCACATTATCGGTGTATCCGGCAAAGAGCGTGGCTCCGTCGAGCGACCAGCAGAGCGAGGTGCAGTAGGGCACGAGAGCCTTGGCCGAGCGAGGCGGGAACTCGGGCTTGACGCTGGCGACGCGCTCCTTGGTCTCCAGATCGAACAGCACGATCTCGTTCGTGGTGGCCACCGCGATCCAGTAGTTCGCGGGCGAGAACACCAGGTCCGTCACCGGGTCCTCCAGCGTCAGGCGGAAGTTCTCCACGCCGTTGGCCAGGTCCCACACGATCACGCAGCCGTCCTTGCCGGCCGAGGCGCAGAGCACGCCGTCCGGAGAGACCACCACCTTGTTCACCACCTGCGAGTGGCCGATCAGGTTGTACTCCACCTTCATCGTCTCCAGGTTCCACACCTTCACCAGCTTGTCGTACCCGCACGACACGATGCGAGGCTTCTCCTCCATGTTCGGAACGAAGCGCACGCACGTCACCCAGTCGTTGTGGCTCTCCTTGTCCAGAGTGAACTGGCACTCGCCAAGGGTGTTCCACAGCTTGATCGTACGGTCGCGGCCGCAAGACATGATCAGGCGGTTGTCAGGGCTGAAGCACACAGACAGAACGTCCTTCTTGTGACCCGACAGCGTCTTCTCGCTCTTGCCCGTCTTCACGTTCCACAGACGCACCGTTCCATCCCAAGAAGCCGTCAGAGCGTACTGACCGTCCACGGACAGACTCACCTCCTCAACGATGTGAGAATGGCCCTGCAGCGACTTCACAGGGGTTCCGCAAGACATCACCAGAGAGGGGTCGTCAATCATGTCACCCGCCTGGAGATTCCACACCAAGCAAGTGTGATCGCGAGAAGCAGACACCAGAGTGTTGGCATCAGCCGGAGAAGCAGCGATGGAGGTCACCCATCCGTTATGGCCCTGAAGGCATCCACGAAGACTGATTTGAGCAGACATTCTATACAAATCGGTTAATACGACAAATTCCAATATTTCCAATAGGGAATCGGGTTATCAAACCATTTGCAGACAACCTACATTGCAAACGAGTGTTATCAAAGTCTATTGTGAGAATTGTTGAAAAGGAATGAAAGGGCGGTTTCAGAAATGAGTCCAGGATTGAGGTGGGGAATTTCCCATATCAAACCGCCACCCAATTCGCCCAATTAAATTGAAATTCGGGAATGCGAAAACAAATCAAATAGGAAATGTTGCCCAAGGAATGGACATGAATAGAGAATAGGAATGAGCGATGCTGAAGGAAAACTGAGAACTTGGATGGAACAATGGGTGATATTCTTCCAATCCAAATTTCACATGTACAGAAATTGAAATAGACTAGTGAAAGACCCACAATGCTTCCCCTTCACGATCCTAGCTAGCTGTACAGTGGTATTGATCATCATACAAATCACTGTACGCCACAACCTTCTGGTCGATTTAGAGTATTGCTGTTTTCCTAATTAGATCATGGTAAGTCGATAAGCAAAGCTGAAATGAGTCTCCATATTTGGAGATGATCTATGAGCGTGTTTTTTGTCGTTTTAAAGAATGTCGTAAGTAACGAGTTTGTAGACTAAGGGTACTTCTTCTTTTGGTAAGAGACACACAAAGACGCACACCATCTGCAGAAGATGCGGTCGTCGTGCCTTCCACATTCAGAAGAGCCGCTGCGGTTCTTGCGGATATCCTGATGCTAAGATGCGTCACTGTACATATTCCTAGGCTAGTTTGAAGGATAGACAACTGGGCTCTGAAGAGTTCTCGTCGCCGAGGTCAGGGAACCGGTCGCATGAGCTACCTGAAGACTATGACTCGCCGTTTCAAGAACGGATTCAGAGAGGGAACCGAAGCTGTTGCTCGCAAGAACTAAATTGGTTTGTTACCGAAAGCAGCATTATGGATTGTTTGTTAGAGCAAACATGGATTGTATTGCAAATGCTTTTCTTTCGTATTATGTATGTGCTGAAGAAAATGGTTGATTCTGCGATGTGCTTTACTATGGATTGGTGACTTCAAATCAAAAATGATGCAAATTCGAGTTTCTAAACATCTCGCGAAGATCATTAAGATTGTTGTTTGAGCTCTGACCTATGTATGCGCATTTTCTGCTAGTAGTTAAAGCAAAATATTGAATTTAGCAATATCCCAGAACGACGAAGTTGACTACTTCGCGAATAAACCTTTCACATATAATAATCGACCTTCTGTTTAATGGATCAATTTGTAAATCAAATACATTCCGCAGAACCTGTGACAGTGGTAATGTTGCGTTCGCTTCAAGGAGATCCTCAAATTGAAGCGTTTGAGGTTGATTCATTGGAACTATAAATATCTAGAGGCTCACACGAGTTCAGTTTTCTTGTTACATGGATGATTCCTCCACAAACCTCCAACTCCTCAAATCGCTAAGAGAATTGGAGATTTTCCAACTTACCCACTACGAACTGCACAGACTCCTCACCCATCTGAAGGAGGTGACGATGTACTGGAGAGAACAAGGAAACAGCGAGTGGGGACTCGAAAGTCTTATTATCCGAGGTGAGAGAAAAAGAGTCGATGAATGCTAGAGTGCCAAGGGTCAAATGAAGTATTTAATGAGTTATGCTCCCTCTTTTCCAACAATCTTTTGGACCACCTGCACACGTTTCACTGGATTGCACGAGTGAAAGACAAGTCTTCAGAGCTAGGTGAGAAAGTGTGGTTTCGGCTCTGCGAGGCGATGCACGCCGTCCCTTCTCTGAACATTCACAGCCTCCGAATTCCGAACAGCAACATTGGCGAAAAGGGCTGCAAAGAGTTTGAAAAACTCTGCTTCCACAGCAAGCTGCAGGAAATCGAAGACCTGGATCTCTCCGGAAATCGGATTGGAAACTCGGGGTTTTGCAGTCTTTTTCGCACCTTTCAACTCGTGGATGTCGTGTCTAGAATTCGGTTTCTCGATCTGTCAAAGAATCGGATCGGAGCGCAAGGCATCAAGGACGCTTATGCCCATCTAAAACAGTGTTATTTTCGGAATCTAGAAACGCTTCGACTAGGATGTTGCTCGTGTTTCCGCTCTTTTCCCTCTAGACAATCCGCTGAACAAGCGAGGTATTCAGACGATTCTGAACGTGTTTTCCTTTCATTCGCTCCCCAATCTGCACTGTTTGGACCTGTCAGGTATTCCGATTCGTCTCTTCTCGATTCATCGTAGGAATCAAATTGGGAAACGAGGGAATGACAGGGCTGGCTGTTTTGTTGCGAAACAGCATCATGCCATCGCTCTATGAGCTGGAGTTGAGAGAATGCGGCCTTAACGAGCGGGAGCTGAGTCATTTGAGTTTTGCTATTCAGGATGGCTTCGCTTCGACACTTCGACGCCTTGACCTCTCCCAGAACGCGATTAAATCCAAGGGAATTCAAGCCATTCATCGCATGCTGAGCGCTGAGTTCCTCCCCAACCTGGAAATATTGGATTTGAGCGAGAATCACATCGGAAATGAGGGGATTCGAGAGCTGGGAAATGGATCGAACTTGCGATGTCTGCAACAGGTCAAAGTGTTGTACCTGTGCAGAAACCAGATCACAGACGAAGGAGCCAGCTGCATTTACTTGTTCGTACGAAACAAAGTCTGGAAGAGTATCCAGCAACTCTTTCTGGATGGTAGGAGTGGGTGAGCGAATCTGACAATGCAGACAATTCCTTCTCCAAAATATCGGTTATTCATCTGCAGTCGCTTGTGAATATGAACAATTGCCTGAACTGCATCTATCTGAACGAAATGACCAGACGGCGCGAGCACTTTCTCCATTTTGAATCCTCTACAGAAGACAACTCAGATAAAAATTCTCCAGAACAAAATGATTTGGACAGTACGCTCCTCCATCCCGACTTCACTGTAGACAGCGAGGAAGACGAAAAGCTTCTTCAGGAAATATTCGATGATTCCATTGATAACATACTTTATCCTTGTTCTCTTCGAAGGACGAGTGATGACAAGGATGGGAGTTGGACTCCAGTTGATGTCAATATGACCCCCATTCCAGGTCCAGTCGGTTTGGGTGTTGATTCTGATGTGTATCCTAGTCCTACAGCTTGAATATTGTGTATACGTTGTTTGTTGGCAACCTTTAAGTTTTCACATTATCGCTTCTCGTTCGCTGCAATCGAAGTTGCACTCCAATCATACACACCTTTCAAAAGCTGTTTAGCAAATAGAAAAGGTAGAGAATAAGGGGAAAGATTTTTGGAATTATTGTTTCAAATTAAATGACCTATATCCTATGGATTTCATATCAATCCCATTTAGTCCGCGTTACAAAAGTAATGCCCGTATTGTACTCTTCATTCTAGGAGGTCGTTTAAACGATGAGGATATAATTCAGGAAATCTATCAAAAAGGCCTTTGTATGAGTCAGAAGAAAATCGCCTCGTTTCTGGAGGATGAAAATTATGTTATGCGTAATACTTTTCCGAGCATTCAGAAATGTGGCTTTGTTTCATGTTGACACGTGTTGTGACATGTAGTCAGTTCTTCCGCACACACTTCAGCTGGATGGATATCTTTCAGTCTGTTGTATTGAGTACATTTTTGCAAAAGACAAAGCTTCGCTGCCTGATATCCTTTTCGATTGAGCGTTCATGGTGATCCTTTATTTTGCACAGATCGTCGATGCATTACTTCTGAAACTTCCATATACTGTATATTATCTCTTTGGTACCTACGAACGTGAATTTCTTTTAAAAGAATTGTATAAATTTCTGCTTTCCTTTTGTAATTGTTATCCCAGTTTTCCTGATTGTTTATTTGGGGTCAGCCAGATTCATCAGCCGATTATCAAGTTTCTTTAAAGTATTCTTTCTCAATGTAGACATTTGATCGAAAATGGCACTCATTACTGGAAAGGGAATTGTGATACTCTATCCAAAGAGCTTCTTTTTGACTGTGCAAGATTGGACGAACGTTATTTTATGAACGACTACCTGGATCGATTTAGCTTTGACATTTGCATTGTACCTCCGATTTTTCGATTCCACGTAGAATCTAATCGAATCAGCACAGGAAACTGCGAGTCAGCGCCTTTCTCTCTTCATCAAGGACAAAACGAACAAGTGGAATTGTATTCCTCGCCAATACAAACTTTTCGAATCGTTCTATTTTCATTTCCCGTATAATCTCTTAGAAAAACACGCCTCTTCGTTAAAGAATACGAGTTCTACCTCATCCGCGTGTTTCTTCATCGGTTTTCACCCTCTTTTCTCTCTTATTCTCTAGCTACTCCCGCCCTGATCAAAGCATTTCATTCATCGACCCCACTTCAGGAGGAACAATCGAGTTTCCTCCCTGTCTAGTCACGCCTGCGACCTCCAATCGGGACTATGCGAAGGGGAGTTTGATGGATCGGCTCCTGCTGAACCAGCGAGCGCCGTCGACGGCGTGCTTTGAAAGTCTTTTATTGGATTCGTTGCTGCTGTTGAATGAGCGAAGCGCCACGGTGCAGGATCTTCTGTCGTCGATGAAATCCAACCCGTTTATCAATTCGAGCAACGACACTAGTTTGCTTTCTGTAGGGGAAGGAGGAGAAGGAAATGAGGTGTGTAGGCAATTGAAAACGTTTTACATTACTATCTGTCTGTCAACCCCCACAAGCACTTCTCTATTAACCTTAACCAGCAAAGCCTCAAGTATACGTTGTGTATTTCTGAATCGATTGTTTCCTTGAACAAACAAACAAACAAATTGTAATCAAATGGGTCAATCATTTTTATCCATCGCTTTTTTTCTGGTTGGGATCAACCTCATTCTAATTGTGTTGGTATCTCTCACTCGATTACTTTTTTTTTATTTTCAACAAACAAATCAAATGTCTAAATCATCGTCATCCCATCCATTATTCTCTTCTTCTTCTTTTCCCTTCTTCTTTTCTACTAAAAACTGACCCATTGACTGCGGTTTGAAGTTCGGAGAGCTCGGATTCGCTGGAGAAGCGATCACTCGAATCGAAGTCGGCGCCGTGCTTTGGCTCTGCGTCGCCAGCGACGAAATATCCACTTTCATGTCCAATCCCACTTCCGAAAACAGATCCACTCCATCTTTTTTCTCTGGAACCGACGGCTGTGACGTCAGCGACCTCCGAATTTGCTTTTTCTACTCCTCATCCCATCGATCTGCGCTCACATCGCGCGTCAATTTCAATCCAGCGCCGATCTTCGAGCGTTTCACAACCACAGGACGCACTTCCTCTTTCGATTCCCCCGCGGTTCCGCTTCGCGCCGTATTGCACATGCTGCAAACAGCGTGATTCCCGCGATTCAGGTACTGACCTATCCCTCAATCGCGCTCCAATCCATCACAAGCCGTGCATCGCCACGAATTATCCTCCGAGAGCGTTCGGACGGACTCTCGCTGGTTTGATTCATTTCGAGTTTGGTCCAGAAGCCGCTGCGATTCCAAATCATCGCTGGATCGTCTACGCAGTAGCAAGCGATTGGCGGCGCTACAGTCCGATCAGTCTGCGGCTTTGGAGCTTTTTGATGAGGAAGAGAACGCCTGCGAGGGTCAGCGTGAAGAACGCCAGCGTGAAGAGCGAGAGAAGAAGCGTAGCGAAGAAACTGCGGCGCGTGGTGACCGGAACGAGTCCAGATTCGGCTAAAACAGTGAACGTGTTGCGTCCCTTTTCGCGGAGCGAGACTTCGCAGCGGATATAATACAGAGAATGGGAGTGAAGGCCAGAGAATTGGACCGGCTGGGTCCGCTGATAGGAGACGCGCGTGGTGCGGACTTGATTGGAGTCCGCGTCGAGAAGCAAACATTGCGCGTCTTGATGAAGATTGTTTTCGAGGGTGAACGAAAGCAGGGTTCGAGACACGTCCTCGACCACCACTTTGAACTCCACTATTTGTTAAAACAAAGAAGCAAACGCAATACCAGGATCCGTCTCCGCGTGAACCTGGACTAACTCCTTCGCCGAAACGCCTTTTCGCGTTTCAGCGTGGCACCAAACATCGTATTTCGTGTTGGACTTGAGTCCCTGGAAGAACAGCGACGCGCGGTTCCGCACATAGCGAAACGTTCCGTCCTTCACCTGCTCCACCGACGGCGCGTCCGCCGCCGGCTCCTTCGCGATGCACCACACTTTGCACTCGATCGAGGCCGTTAAAAACAGCTCCAAGCTCACCGGCGTGGCCTCGAGAATCCGCGCCTGGATCTCCGGGAGCTCCGGCGGCGTGGCTTCGATCGACTGCTCGGTGGGGCCGTAGAAGACGAGATCGTCGCGACCCATGCAGATGATTCCTCGCACGGTGGAGATGTCGGCCGTGGCGAGGCGGAGCTGCGGAGCATCGTGCGTGACCCACTGCCCCATGATGCTGATGCGGCGCTGGAGACTCGCGATGTTGGGCGAGGAGGCTCCGTTGAGGAGGATGACGCAGGCGAGCTTCATGCGAACGCCGTCTTTCACGACGGGCGTGACGGAGATGTAATCGCCCTCGATGGCGAGGGAGAATTCGAGGGGCAGGAAGGAGTAAATGGGGTTGGATTGGGAAGTTTGGGGAGCTTTCTGGCGCGGTGAAATCTTGCCAGAAATGACGGAAGAAGCGGATTGGGATTGAGATGCGGATGAAGAAGATTCGGAGCGAAGAGTGGAAGGAGGAGTCGGTTTGCGATCCTCTTCGTGGGGTTTGGAGTCGGTTTGTGAAAGTTTGGATTCGGTTTGGGGAGTTTTGGGTTCGGTTTGTGTGGCTTTCGAGGATTCTCTGTCGGGAAGAGCGGGGCTGTCGCTTCGTTCGGCGGTGTTCGCTTCGGATTGCGTTGTGGCGGAAGCGCTGGGCTGCTCTGTGGGGGTTGCGATTGTGGATTCATCGGAACGAAACTCGTCGACAGGACGATCGGTGGATTCGACGGAGTTTTTGTCGCTTTCCGAATCGGACGTCTTTGATTTCTTCTTCTTTGAGGTTTTCTTCTGGGAGGTCGAAGAGGTTTCTTCTTCTTCTTCTTCTTCTTCTTCTTCTTCTTCTTCTTCTTCTTCTTCTTCTTCTTTGTCATCGTCGTCATCGTCGTCATCGTCGTCATCATCTTCATCATCATCTTCCTTCTTCTTTTTCTCTTTGTTATCATCTTCCTTTTCCTTATCGTCGTCCTCTTTTTCTTTTTCTTTCTCATCCTTTTCCTCTTCTTTTTCTTCATCCTCCTTCTTTTCCTTCTCCATTTTCTCCTTCTCCTTCTCTTCTTTTTCTTCCTCCTCCTCGATCTTCTTCTTTTTCTCTTCTTCCTCCTTTTCTTCTTCTTCTTCCTTCTTCGTCTTTTCGTCTTCCTTTGGCTTCAATTTCTTTACTTTCTTACGGTGTGAGACAGTCTCGGTTTCTTTCGTATTGTTCACTTCTTCGCTAGTTGCATCAGTTTTAGTTTTCGTTTTTCTCAGATTTTTCTTCTTTGAAGACTTTGTAGAGGCCGAATTACCAGTTTCACCATCATCTTCTTTCAAACCCTCTGAATCTGCATCGGAGTTTTTACTCCGTTTACTTTTGACTTTTTTTAGTTTCGGTTTTTCGTCATTAACGTCATCCTTTACGTCTTCCTCTGTCGACTTACGTCTCGCCTTTTTCTTCTTCTTCTTCTTCTTTTCTGCTAATCCATCGGACTCTAGCCCTTCTTCATCCAGAGTACTACTTTCTTTCGTTTTCAAACGACGATCCATAGCATTTGAGTAAGAAAGCTCATTATTTAATTTCTGGCTCAAATCCCTTGAACCTACAGTCCATTCGAAACAACGTGACCTACTTTCAAACAATTGCGATTTTGGATCTGATCCACTTAGCGTAATTGACCCAGATACTACAAGAACGTAAAGCAAGACCACTATGTTTCAATGTTGTAATTCACTATTACAAAGTGACTTTATAGTAAACATGACTACTCTAAAACTACAAAAACGACTTTAACAATCCTGTAGTAGTATTTATAAATCTCTTGTTCAGTTATCACCAATTCCTTCATAATCATAGCGTATGGAACAAACAGAAAAACAAATCTGGAACAGGTATACACCTCCATTCTGGCACCCGACCACACAGTTTCCAACGCTCTTCTCAAAATACTCCTCTTCAGACCGCCTTACTCCGGTCAGTTTCTCCACAGGCAGCCACTCAATGGAATTAATTTGCTTTCCGCAACGGACTTCGTCTTCCTTCTCAAAACTCACATTTTCTCCATCTCTTGCCAATCGATACAATCCAATCATTCCGCTTTCCGTTCCACAAACCACTGCGACTTCCTCGTCTCTCTTCATCTTGCTCGCTGCGACCGCCGTTACACTTTCGCCCAGATCTATTTTTCCCACTTCCTACACAACATCAGCATCATCATCTCCTCTTCTCCCTACTCGAAGTTTTCCTTCTCCCGGACAGAACTCCCACGCCTTCACACACCCGTCTCGACTCGCTGTCAGCAGAATCGCGCTCGTTTCTCCGCTCCACGCCACATCACAGTCCCAAATAATGCGACTATGCGCCTTTTGGAATGTCAAAAATCCCTCGAATTTTCGGTCTTTCAGCCTCCAAATGCGGAGCTGTCGATCCTTTCCTGCGGAGAGAAGGAACCGCTCGGTCCCCACGGAGAAGAAGCATGTGGCAACGACGGTGGTGCGATGGCCTGCAAGGTATTGAATGCGTTTTAAGGTTCCTTCAGCGCCGCTGTCTGCGTTATCCCAGACAGAAAGAACGCTATCGTCCTCCTGCGATCCCTAGAAAGATAAGCAACGTGTGTGAATTCGAACGGTGGTGGTAGTGACTAAAAGATCGGTTTCGGCGTCATAATCTAAATGAATGAAATTGTGAGTGGTGTAGGCGTTATAGAGGAATGAAGATTCTGTGAAAAGCGTTCCTTTGCACAATCGACTTTCGTTTAGATTGTTGCTCCCGCGGTTATTCACGACTTGAAGCACATCGAGCGATACGAGCATTTCCAAATCGCTATCATTCGCCATCAGCATCATGGCGTCGCCTCCCTCTTCGTCTTCTCGATCGATTTCCACGGGATTCACGACCTCCACGGCGGCCTCGCTCTCGGGAATCAAATCAAGATGGAACTTTCGAAGAGTGGATTGTGCCTGTTCGATTGGAATTCCTTTGTTGCTCAGCCCCAATTCGGGAGCAAAACTGGACCAAAAGAAGGTATCGTTCAGTTCTATTTCTCATCGAATTTCTCAAAAGGAATACGTTCTATGGAAGGATGTTTGATCCTAGCGGAATCCGCAGACTCCACCAACTCATTCAACACGAACAAATTCAAATAAGTCGTTTCATACACTCGGCATTTCTTCTCTTCATTGATCGTCACCAGCCGCCCGATCTCTTCATTCGACAGCCCCAATCCCTCCATCCCGCGGTGATCCCTCATCCACGAAACGCCCGTCACTGGATAGCCATGCACCACTGGACGGCCCACTTCCTTCCATCGCCCGTCGCGGTGCTCCCGGCCCCACAGTCGAACCGTTCGGTCCAACGAGCACGAGATCAGCAGATGCCCGAACCGCGAAAACCCCGCGCGCGCCGAGGCGAAATGCCCGGAAACGAACGGAAGGAGCGTGAAGGGACCCACGTGATAGAAGGATTCGATGGAATTCGATTGGGGTTCAAGTGATTTGGACTCATTATTGATGGAGTTCGATCCATTTTCGATGGAGTTCGATCCATTTTCGATGGAGTTCGATCCATTTTCGATGGAGTTCGATTCATTTTCGATGGAATTCGATCCATTCTCAGCCGTTTTCGGCTCGTTTTCCTCCATTTGCGTTCCCTCTTCGATCGAATTCGACGCTTCCTTCCATCGGAACATCGCGCCATGATATCCATACGCGAAAATCTCCCGTTCCCCGCGGCGACACTGCCAGAAGGCGCCGTGGAAGCCCTGGGAGCCAATCAAATGCGGCTGCAGCGTGAGAACGGAGGAAAACGGTCCCTCGGCCTCGACGGACTCCGGCGCGAAGACGCGAACGGAGGCATCGAGCGAGGCGGTGAGGAGCAGAAAGGGCTGAACGAAGCCGGAGCGGAGGAGCTGGACGGGATACGGTTCCACCGATGAAACGACCGTCTGGGAGACTTCGATGACGGATTCGAGAATCATCGAAAACGGCTCATTGGCCACAGCGAAGCATTGGTGGGTCCGCGAGACCTCTGTGGTCCCGCGGAACAGCTTCCAGACGCGGCAGCGACCGTCTTGCCCGGAGGAGAGGAGATGCCAGAAGGAAACGCCTCCCGCGGGGAGGAAGGTGCGATGGAGGCGAAGGGAAGTGATCCAGTTCTCGGACCCCTACGATGAAACGCCCGGAGGAGGGAAACAGAGAGGACGCAGAGATGCTGGAGGGAGGGAGAGGCGAGATGGAAGGCGTCGACGTAGAGCTGGCAGTCGGTTCCCGCGAGGAAAAGCAGAAGAGAGCGGGAAGAATTGGAGATGGGGAGGATCTCGATGGCGGTGTAGTAGACGTCAGGATTGGGGGACTGGCAAGAGAAGAGCTGCTCCCAGGGGGCGGAGGGGTGAGAGCGGTAGAAGAAGAAGAGAGATCGCTTGTCTGTGGTGAGGATCACTATACTACTGTGATCGTCTACTGCGCGGCAACAGACAGTCTCTAGAATAGAGAAGCAGCTCGTAAGTGTCACCTATTAGCTCCCCAACAGATAGAACCTGGTATGACTTCCACAGATCCTGAAAAAAAGGAGAAAATGCGTAATCTACCTCTTCTTTCTTCCAGAAAACGATGTCACCTCCACAATCGCATGAAACAAGCTCATTCTCTTTTAATACGAGAGACATATCATATCCCTCTGATTGCTCGGGAATTAGTGAGAAACAGTTAATTTCAGTCTTATGATATTGAAGTATACAATCTACCGCAGAATTCTAGCATATAAAACGACAAAAGCAGAAATACATCACTGTTGATAATGACAATATCATTTCCTGATGCGTATGCAACAAATGAACCATCTGCTTCAGAGCTGTGGCTTAAAGAGTCAATACTGCACTACGCTTGAGAAACCTTGAAGCAATTCAGCTGGTCATTACAGCCTCGAGAAGTAAAACAATTTTTAACTTTCATCGAAGAAAGAGTTGAAGGGAACGAAAAACAATATTCCCGCGGCAATAAGAAAAAGACAAATCATCGCTTATTGTGTTGAATTGTAAGGAGATCAGTCAGTATACTGCGAATATGAAATAGTTGATAGATTGGGAACGATTAGATGATAATGAAGTATTAAGAATGTTGTATGGAGTTTGTTTTTTATTAGCGAGGGTTAATGATTGACGGCAACGTTAATGCTCGTGTCAGTAATATTGATAATCAACAAACTCGTATATTCTAGAAGATTAAGTGGTGTAGTGGAATAATGGAAGCAATAATAAGGGGTGTATTTTGATGCCATGGAAAACCCGAATAAGTTATCTACGTATTTGTCAAGAAGAGGTGAACACAAAAACAGCGCTAAGAAATCTTAGTTTGAGTTTTCATTTCTATTTCGGGGACATTGCACGCTTCTGTCGTGAAAAGGAGGCGTTGGTTCTTAGAGGTGATAGTGACTTTCTTGTTTTCGAACTGGAAGGTATTGTTTTGATTGACGGTATCAAGTAATTGTTTCATCCTCGGGTGTATTACTAGGAACTGATTTTGTGGCATTTCAATGTTAGCAGGGAGCAGCTTTATTATTTCGTTACTCTACGAGGGAATGACTTTATTCGTGCTTCGAATAATGTCTTAAAAATAGACGAGAATACGAAAATGTCTCCTTCAGAGACTCTTGAATATGTGAAACAGCACTTTACACAAGCAGTTACCACAACCAAATAATACCAGGAAGTGAAAGAGTACTATGAAAATAGGCAAGTTGAATACCCATGGAACTCACTGACTCTTGACAAGCCTAAGGCGACAACAATAAAGCAGCGTGTTAAGCAGGGTAGTACTGCGCGCTCTCTTCTGAGGATTAGAATTCTTGGAGGATATTTCTATGACTACACAGTTCTATTATCAATACAACGCTCGTAATATCGTGTTTTCGCCTCTCATCACTATTCCTTTTTTCAATGCAGTTTATTATCTAGACCAATGTACTTACAAATAGATCGCTTTGTCGTAGTTTCTGTTTTCCGAAAGATATACCAGAAATGCTACAAGGTACTAGGGAACCAGCCTTATATGATGTTGTATAACACTGACGTCAGTCCCGTACCATCCAAAGAAGAGGTGGAAAAAAGGTTTGGTTATGAAATGAAATGAATTGAATGTAGAATCGAAGATAATATCGACTATGCATATGAACGAATGATAAAATTCTGCTCTATGAGCACAAAACCTATTCGATCAAGAGTCAAAATCCTACAATCGTTTTTTTCAATGATTAGGTGTCCACAGGGATTTCAAGACCCTTGTATCTACATTTCTAGGTAGCCTATTTTTGTTATTATGAGTTAGACTCACTCAGTATGTAATGGCAAAGATTTATCCAGATGAGAGGGAATTGATAAAACAGATAGTAGAAAGCTTGATTGATCAACATTTGAATTATCACCATCATATTGTAACAGTGAGCAAGGATGTAGAGGATCAAAAGTTAGCGTTTATCTTGTTCTGCTGTTTGAATGTGTGAACGTGAAAAAGGATTCAATATTAGATGGCTTTTGGTGCCGTACTGACAGTGTTTACATTGCTGAAAATGAATAATAATAACAAAAAGAATAGAGAAAAGAATAACGCAAGAGTGTGTCGTTCATTTTGCTATTAAAGCAAATACATAACATTACTGTTTATTATAGATATTTCAGCAAATGAATTTTGTAGAATTGAAAATTGCTGTGAACTTCAGCAAAGGACATTCTTGCATACCAACATAATATGATTAATATAACAATTACTACTCTTTTCTTTAATAAACATTATATAATTGTATTAGAGAATTACCTTTTTTCCCGATTTAAATAATCAGTCTCTGGATCATTTACAGTAGCAATTAATCGAGAGTGACAGGAAGAAGAAATATCTGCAAAATCATTAAATGTTATATAGTTCTACTTGAAAAAGACTTATTTTTCGTGTAGAAAAATGCATAAGGTAGCTCGATTCTCTGAAGATTTGGAATATCTCAATACAATATTCATAAAAAATATCTACTTTCCAATGTAACGGAATATACCCAATAAAAACTCATAAATACTGAAGAAAGGTATTCCAAATTTGGAAGATCTAGATTATATTCGTTCTAATAGCATCATTTTTACTTCGCATTGTCAGTGAACATGATTCACTCTCAATTCCACTCAGTGCATCCCTACCAAGTGTAATGGATCGTAATGATGGAAGATCTACATCAATCACTTCATTCAAATTTATTCAATACTTTCAATTATGGTTGATAGGGAAGCAGTAAATCCTCCCGATATTCTAATTTCTCGTAATTTTGGAAGGTCTTACAATAATGAAACATATTAAAGAATACTTCGAACAATAAATGAACTAAAGCAGAAATTATGAGATGAAGACTCACGGCCTCCAATACTAATTGATTCTAGCACAGGAAGGTTTCTCAGTTCAAATTGTCCAGCATAATCACAAAAACTAAATTCTCCAATAATAATGGATTCTAAAGATTTGCAGTTTATTATGTGGAATGATCGATATATACTGCACACTTTTACCAAAACATCATTGTCATTTTTATAATTAGATGAATCCATTAGGGTGAATGAATCTTTACCAATTTTCACTTGCCTCAATCTCATTAAACCATTTATTTCAAATGTCACAACATCTTTGAAACAGTTATCTCCAATCTCCAAGGATCGCAAAAAGTTCAATTTCGTAATAAGAAAAAGTTGGGCAAAAGAAAACGCATAGTCTCCAATAGTAATGGATTGTAGATTTGGAAGATCTATGCATCATTCAAATATACAAAATTATATCAATACCTCGAATCACAAACGAACTATTATAGAAATTGTTTGATCTTTTTTGAGTTGACCCAATTTGAATGGATTGTAATTGTGGTAGATTCTTCAATTCAAAGTCGCCAGCATAATCACTGAAACTATATTCACCAATTTGAATGGATTCCAATGATTCACAATTCAATATGTGGAATGATTTTGATTCATTATCTCCACCATCATTCTTTTTCTGAGTAAATGAATTCTTGCCGATTTTGATCGTTTTCAATCGATTCAATCCATCGATTTGGAATATTTGTATTGATCCAAAACAATCATTGCCAATTTCGATTGATTTGACTTTAATGAATCGCGAAAAATCAAATACCGTGTAATGACTGTCATTACAAGTCCAGTTGGGAATAGTTATTGCAGTAATGGATGAATCAATTGATTGAATAATATCAGAATGATGTATTTTTGAAGGCAAGTAATTCAGTAATGATTGATGTACATCTACGAAATAAAAAAGATGTGGTATGTACTATAAGTGGCTCCTGAATGTATATATAAAAATGAAGAAGACAGCTCGGCGTTTTGAACATTAGGGATATCTATATACTATCAATATTCTTTGTTTTAAACTACTTTCCAGTGTTACTGAACGAGGCCGATGAAAACTATATCCTTTAGAATTAACAGTAGTTAGACTTGGTAGATCTATATTCAATTTTTCAAATCATTTCATTTTTACTGCGCATAGTAAGTGAACATGATTCATCATCCCTGTTTCCATTCAGTGCCCCTTCACCGAGTTGAATGGATTGTAGTGATGGAAGATCTACATCAATCATTTCATTCGAATTTAATCAATACTTTCAATTATTGTTGATATGGACCAGTCGAATGCATGATCACCTAATGTAATGGATTGTAGATTTGGAAGATCTATGCAACATTTAAATATTCAATATCATATCAATACCTCGAATCACAAATGAACTACAACAGAAATTGTATGATTCACTTCCAATTGTTCCAATTTGAATGGATTGTAATTGTGGTAGATTCTTCAATTCAAAGTCTCCAGCATAATCACTGAAACTCCATTCACCAATTTCTATTGATTCCAATGATTCACAATTCAATATGTGAAATGATTTTGATTTATCATCTCCATCACTATACTTTTTCTGAGTAAATGAATTGTTTTCAATTTTGATCGTTTTCAATCGATTTAATCCATCGATTCTGAATATTTGTACTGATCCAAAGCAGTTATTACCGATTTCGATAGATTCAACTACAGAGAATCGCGAAAAGTCAAATATTGTATAATCAATATCATTACAGGTCCAATCTTTAAGAATAACACTTCAGATGAGCTAATTGATTGAATATCTAAATATGTATAGACTTCAGGAAATAACGCTTCACAACCAAAAATTAATATGTCTATACTATCCCTGTTAATATTATTGACAATTGGATGTTGAACATAACGAAATGAATTAGATAAATAAAACTTATCGAGATTTGGAATGTCTAAGTATTATAAATATTCTAGATTCTGAACTACTTTCTAATGTTAACCATCGAGGCCAATAGAAACTATATTCTTCAGATTCGATAGTTTTCAATTTTGGAAGATCTATTCAATCATTTTATTCAATTTCATTATTACTGCGCATTGTCAATGAATATGAATCACCATCTCTTCCACCAAGTGATCCTTTACCGAGTTGAATGGATTGTAATGATGGAAGATCTACATCAATCATTTCATTCAGTTTCATTTAATACCTTCGATTATTGTTGTTAGTGAATCAGAGAATGCCAATTCACCTAATGTAATGGATTGTAGATTTGGAAGATCTATGTATCATATATATTCAATATCAGTTCAATACCTCGAATCACAAATGAATTCTCAAAGAAATTGCATGAGGCACGACTAACTTTACCAATTTGAATGGATTGTAATTGTGGTAGATTCTTCAATTCAAAGTCTCCTCCAAAATCAATAAAACTCCATTCACCAATTTCTATTGATTCTAATGATCCACAATTCAATATGTGAAATGATTTCGATTTATCATTTCCAAAATCAATTTTATTCTGAGTAAATGAATTGTTTCCAATTTTGATAGTTTTCAATCGATTCAATCCATCGATTCTGAATATTTGTACTGATCCAAAGCAATCATCGCCGATTTCGATTGATTTGACTTTAATGAATCGTGAGAGATCAAAAGTAATGCAATGACTATCATTACATACCCAATTTGAGATTGTGATTCTAGAAATTGATGATTTCATTGATAGAATATCCATATAACTAATTCTTGGTGCGAATAGTGGCTTATACACAACTAATAATGATGTCGTGATGTGAAATAAATACATTTTACGAATGAATGCATTACAAATTGAAATGAATCAGGTATATTTAAATTTCGAAGATTTGGAATATCTATTTACAATCAATATCTCAAATCAAATTTACGTTCCAATATTACTGAACGCGGGTTCTTGAAACTATATCCTTTAGAATTGATAGACTCCAATTTTGGAAGATCTATATTCAATCATTTCAAATCATTTCAATATTACTTCGCATGATCAATGAGCAAGATTCATCATTTTTACCGCAAAGTGTGGATTCACCCAATTGCATGGACTGTAATGAAGGAAGATCTACATCAATCATTTCATTCCAATTCATTCAATACTTTCGATTAGTATTGTTGGAGATCGTGAAAATGTACCATAACCTAATGTAACGGACTGTAGATTTGGAAGATCTATGCAACATTCAAATATTCAATATCATATCAATACCTCGAATCACAAACGAACTATTATAGAAATTGTATGATTCACGTCCAATCGTACCAATTTGAATGGATTGTAATTGTGGACAATTCTTCAATTCAAAGTCGCCAGCATAATCACTGAAACTATATTCACCAATTTGAATGGATTCCAATGATTCACAATTCAATATGTGGAATGATTTCGATTTATCATTTCCATACCAATTCCTTTTCTGAGTAAAGGAGTTCGATCCTATTGACAATTGGGTTAATGATTTCAATCCATTAATTGTGAACGTTGATACACTATTATACATATCATCTTGAATATTCAGTGTTTGCAGCAAATCTAAATTGCATATACGAAATACTGTTGATTTCTCAAATGCATATTTTCCGATTGATATTCCAATCAACTTGGACAAGTCTAAAATATTATACTACATATAGTTGTAATAATACTTTCTAATTCTAGAGATGATGAATGAAAATTATATGAATCAATTTCAGTTTCACCAATCTGAATGGATTGTAATTGTGGACAATTCTTCAATTCAAAGTCGCCAGCATAATCACTGAAACTATATTCACCAATTTGAATGGATTCCAATGATTCACAATTCAATATGTGGAATGATTTTGATTTATCATCTCCATCACTATACTTTTTCTGAGTAAATGAGTTCTTGCCGATTTTGATCGTTTTCAATCGATTCAATCCATCGATTCTGAATATTTTCACTGGTCCAAAGCAATCATCGCCAATTTCGATAGATTCAACTACAGAGAATCGCGAAAATTCTAATATTGTATAATCCATATCATTACAGGTCCAATTGTAAATGAAAATGGAAGTAGATGATGATTTTATTGATTGAAGGTGAAAACGATGATTAATATTTGGTAATAGTAAATCAGATACATCTAAATAGAACTGAAAATAAACAATTACTATGTTTGACTAAACAAAAAACATGCTTCAATGTAATTTGTAGTTTTACGTTTTGAAGATTTGGAATATCTAAATACTATCAGAGCTCAATACTTTCAAATACTCTCCAATACCAATGAGCGAAGATTGCGGAAATTTAATCCATGACAGTTGAAACTGGATAAAATAGGAAGATCTATATTCAATCATTTCAAATCATTCATTATTACTGCGCATTATCAATGAATATGAATCATTATCATTTCTTCCAAAGAGTGCTCCAGTTGCAAGTATAATGGATTGTAATGATGGAAGATCTACATCAATCATTCCATTCAGTTTCATTCAATACCTTCGATTATTGTTGATAAGGATTCACAGAATGCAAAACTACCTAATGTAATGGATTGTAGATTTGGAAGATCTATGCATTATTCATTTTCAATATCATATCAATACCTCGAATCACAAACGAACTACAATAGAAATTGTATGAACCAATTTGAATGGATTGTAATTGTGGTAGATTCTTCAATTCAAAGTCGCCAGCATAATCACTGAAACTATGGTTACCAATTTCTATTGATTCTAATGATTCACAATTCAATATGTGGAATGATTTCGATTGGTTATTTCCCCATTCATTCTTTTTCTGAGTAAATGAATTGCTTCCGATTTTGATCGTTTTCAATCGATTCAATCCATCGATTTTGAATACTCTTTCATATTCAAAACAATCATTGCCGATTTCGATTGATTCCAAAATCAAAAACCAAGAAGCATCCCAATCATCCAATATGCAATTGTCAGTCAGTTTCAAATGTTTCATTCCGATATTCAGTGGTTCTGAACCATCTCCTTCATAATCAATATCACTTTCAATTCCATTATACCAGTTGCAGTCCATTAATAATCGTTCTTTACGGTCATATATTTTACCAATTCCAAATTGCTTATCATCACACCAATATCCTTCATATTCAATCGCTCTATTATTATGATAACTCGTTCCATATCCAAATCGTTTCCAATTGATCATTATGCCCTTGTACACCAAGAATCCATCATCATCATACATTTCACCATATCCAAATGGAATTCCAAACTTGTTTTCTGTCAATACCAATCCTTCAAATCGACTTCCATGTTCCAAATCCACGATTCCTTCTACTACTATGGATTGTTCTTCATTGTATAAAATAGCACCAATTTGATGATTTCCAATCACTTTCAACACTTTCTGCTCATTGAGCACAAATCCTTGATTCATGAATGCTCCATTATTGAACAGCAATACTACACATTCTTCATTACTCAAAAAAAGTGAAATCCAGCCATCCACAATATATTCATCATTCAAGAGTCCTTGTGCGTGTTGAATAATGGAATTATCTATACAATTCCTGATGGTTGTAGAATTTACGAAATCAGCATTTAGTTGCATGGAGTTAAACAGTTTTTGTTATCTTCACGACCTTAGTATTTTTAATGTAGTTTAGTATTCTGTACAATTAACAAGAAATCACTAACTCTTTCGTATCTTTGTTCATATACCTCCTGAAAATGGCGCTATCGCAATCACCTTTTTATTGGAAAATGAATAGCTACTTACATAATTATAAGAGATGCATCTATCTTTTCAGCAAATGTATTTACTACATAAATGGATGAAGAGAAAGAGTTTTTACCACATATTTGAAAACTACTTCACCTGTATTATTATAATGCTAAATCGGTGACAAAAGTCCTGATGGCTTCCTGAGTCTATGTTATACTCTCCCCTCTTCAGTATCCAACAAACAATATGTAATCAAATAACTACAATTCCGGCTTATAACTATGTACCAAGTCCTTCATTCCAAACTTGATCTTCTCATAGGGAGGAATTCGACTCATATCAAGACTATCAATATCCGGGCAGACTATATTCAGCTCCACTGTTTCAATTGTCGTCTGACCCAACGGAGACACTGATGTCATTCCCATCCCATTCAATGGCGTGGCTGTCGCCGAAAGCACCGAATTTGGGCTCTGCGCCACTGAAGATACGCTGGACACGCTGGACACAGCGGACGCAGTCAAGATCGGCTGTCCCGCGTACACGGATTGCATGACCGTGTTTTTCTGAACGGGCTGCGCGGACTGCACGGTTTGCACAGTTTGCACGGCTTGCACGGTTTGCACGGCTTGCAGGGGCTGTACGGGATGGACGGACTGCATGGTCTGCACTAACGGCGTGGAATGGATGGGACGAACCGTCTGAATGACCTGCGCCGGCTGCACGAAGGAGACCGATTGCGAAGGCAGCACGGGATGCACGGATTGCACGGACTGCATGGGATGTCTGGGAGGCACTTGCTGCACCTGGCTGAGTGGCTGCATTGTTTGAATGGGCTGTATTTGTTGGACTTGTTGTACCTGGTTTATTGACTGCATTTGATTCATTGGTTGTATTTGGTTTAGTGACTGCATTTGGTTTAGTGGCTGCATTTGGTTTAGTGGCTGCATTTGGTTTAGTGGCTGCATTTGATTCAATGGCTGCATTTGATTCAATGGCTGGGCTGTTTGGATGGGCTGCAGGGGCTGGACGACGGACATCAGCGGAGCTGGCTGCTGGGGATGCATGGTGACCGTGATCGGGACGGGCGCGGCGGATTCGTTGAGATAGTAAGGCTGGCTTGGGACATAGGAAGATGACGACATGGAGTCGAGGGGACTACCCACAAAATTGAGGCTCTGGCGACGAGGCGAGGGAGAGGTGATTGGATAGACATTCACAGAAGTGTAGGAGTTAGAGCGGGAATGACGAGGTGGAGGTAGAAAGGGAGACTCGGTAGATGGCTGCGAGATTACACTTGCAGGACTGTTGCTTGTACAGGAGTCAATCCGGTACGAAGCTTGGCTCACAGCTGGTATGGCAGCTACTGGTATGGCAGTAGTGCTCGATAACCTCGACTTCAATCTCTGGTTTTTATATCTTTCGATTTCCGCTGGAAGATCCGGAAAATATTCCAGCAAACTCTAATGCTTATTATCCAACTCGGAATGCTACACAAAACTCTTTGACATCTATTTGGGAAGCATTTATCAGGCGCAATTTCTTCTTATATCTCTCGGCGAGTTCTTTCAAATAAAACACGCTTACAAGCTGATCAAAAATACTGATATCGGAACGGCCAATTTGTTCTTGCGTTAGTCTAAGTTGTTTCCGTACATCGTCAATCGTTAACGATTGCAGACTCACTGTCATATTTAAGCGATCCAATGCGCTTTCCTTGGCTTTGATGATTTCATTTTCAATAGCTTGCATAGTATAACAAAAAACTGAGTAATGAATCTCTAAACAAACAAAGACCTCTTTTTTCAATCAAAAAGAAAACTTAAAGTAATCTCTCTAGTACTGCATTCCAATCCTTGCAGTAATGAACATTCGGCTCCTTAATTCCGTAGTGAGTCCACGGATACTCTCCGAAGATAATACAATCCTCACACACAGGAACACACTATCGCTGACCAACATCACCATGTTCCTACCTCGAGCACGTACCGCTCTCGATCATCAATAAAGATTGAAATGTGCTCTTCCTGACAAAGAAGACTCTTCACTGGACGATCTTTGCTACATGGTATTGGAAACTTGACATTATAAAAAATACGCGACTTCGTTGTCACAATAGCGATCATTCGCAAAAATAAACTTTTCATAAGGAACACCGTTCAGATTATGATTTAACCAGTATTCGGTGGCTTCCTTCCAAATTTTCTACTGTTTACACTACTCTTCCATCCCAAACCTCGTCTCTTCCAGAAATAAGAATAATACGATACTTTTCACTCAATTTCATCAGGGCTTCTCTTGCACCAGGAACGGGCTTTAGCTAAATCATCATCAAACAAGAGAATAGATACATATTTGGGGTTTTCCTTGCAATATTCCGCGAATAACTTGCCATACTAATCTCAGACCAGTTTACACACTCCTACCTTCTCTTCAGTGATGTGGAAATACTTCTTCAAGTCGTACTCCTTGAACTCTTCGTACTTCACATCCAATCCAGAAGCCTTGCAAAACTTTGGAATGAAGTCCTCCATTAAAAGACAAAGGACCTCATCACAGTCAACCCCGATAATTTTCTTTTCCATTACAAATAATATGACAAAAAACAGTATTCTTCTAGTTTTCACCTGCTAGATGATTCTTTATCATTTGCAACAAACAAAATACCCAAGCAGAATTAAAACCTTCTTCATTATTGGAGAGTGCTTCTCACAAATTGTCTATATGAACAACGGTACGAATCTGTTACGTATATTCAAAATACAAAGGAATCATCTGTTTAATGCAGGAAATCTGACGCGAAGTCAGCGACGACTCAGGCTTCTGCACGCACTTATCGAAAGCAATGTCGGCCAACTTTCTAGAGGATTCCTAAAATTTAATATCTAAAAAGCAGTCCTAACAAGGAACAAAGCTTTATTCTGCAGATTGTTCAGATTCTGTTGGAATTGCTGCCTACAAATAAAACGCAAATACACGTCCCAGTACTGATAGTCCGACATTATTGACAGTAAAGAATCACAAGGATGTTCAAAAAAACAATATTCTAAGGCAGAGAAACTAAAGGCAGAGTGTATGTCGTCCCGCTCCACTTTGATTCATTTCAGGTACAACATACATTATCCAAACTTCATAAATATACATAATGCAGGGTTCTAAATACGACAACTATATACTAGATAGCGTGCTATTTCCAAAACAAACACTTCAAAAGTTACAGCGCAAACGGATTTGCATGAATCGTTATACTCTCGATGATAATATCTCGCTTGGGACGATATTTCTCATTTACCTCAACGGCCTCCATCGCCTGCAGAGTGTCCATTCCATAAATCACCTTTCCTATGATTGTGTCAACATTGTCAAGTTGGCTTTGCCTGTCGTAAATGATATAGAACTGGCTTTTGTTCGTATTCGGGTGCTTCTTCGCCATCGCTACCATGCCGCGACGATCAAACTAGAGAAATATCAAAGAAACAGTGACCTACTTTAATGCTTGGATGGAACTCGTCTTCCACCGGAATTCCGTTAATGCTTTCTCCTCCCTTGCCGGTTCCTAGTTACAAGAAGCGCAGAAACAAATACCTGTCGGATCTCCTCCCTGAATAATGAATCCTTTCATATTTCTTCGACTCAACCCACCCTCAGACAAACTACCTGTGGAACTTTGTGTTATCGTAATATCCGCTTGCACAGAGAGCCAGGAAATTCTGCATATCACAATCTTCTTTTTACGATCAACCTGCGTGTTCTTAGGGATCAATTCGCAGAACAACTCAATCTTGAGATCTCCCAAGTTCGTGTGCATCGTGAGCGACTACACTCCTTACCCTTCCTCCTCCTCTCCGTACCATTTCGAAAGCTCCAACTCGTTTCCAACAAACACAGAAACTATCCTTATTTCACTTTCTTCTTCTTCTTCTTTAAATACTCTGCGGCTTCAATCCTTCTTCATACGGCTCCAACTCCGTCGTCGACGCATCCACCACTCTCCTCTCGTTAATCACGAACACATCCATGACCGTTCCCATCGCCGAGAAGTCCTGAATCGTCCTCACATGGCTCACATTGTCCGTGATCGTCACCGTCTCCACCAGCAGCGGCTTTCCCGTCCGAATATCCACCGCCGTCGTCATCAACAGATACGGAGACACTTCCACCGTCTCCACTTTGCACTCCGCGTACATGCCATCGCTCATCTCCACGCGCAGCTTCCCGTTCCCGATCGGCTTATACCGGATCGTTCGCACCGTCACCAGACCCGTCCGATCCACCGAATTCCGCGCCTCGACCCAGTATCCGCGGGGATTGAACCGGAGTTCGCAGGAGGTTATGGGAGAGGGGCTGGCGAGTTCCTGGGAGTCAGAAGAAGTCCAAGAGGAGGGTACCTCGGAGGGAACGACGCTCTCGCCGGACCATTTGCCTTCGAGGCGATGCATCACTTCGAAGATGAATCCGCCCACGACGGAGACGAACATGCTCTTGAACACGCGATTGGGGAACTCGTTGCTGTTGTAGAGAGGGTTGAAGGGGGTTGCGCGCTTCGGGACAATCGCGGACTTTTTATTCACTAGGAGTGAGGATTGGATGAATAAACGTACTTTCATCGACATCGGGAACCATTACAGTGGGATATGTTTCCCATTCGTCGCCCTTGTCCCAGGTCTGGTCCCAGACACCGTAGACAGGATCGAATCCGGCATGGTGATAATCTCTAGAGGTGAGAAAATGCAATAAAACAAGCCTACTTATTCTTGAGCGCTTCATCGTGAATCAGTTGAGCCAATTCTCCGTAGTTCACTTTCGAAAACGAGTTGACGTTGGAGTACTGGTGGAAAACGGTGCTGTCTTCATGAAGATCATTCTCCATCACTGTTGTGTTGTCCAGCAGCTCATTACCATTGTACTGCAATACGATATAGTCCGGGTGTTCGCAGAGTCCGGTGTCGATATACTTTTGTTTTACCATTGCGATCAGATCCGTTCTTTTGACGTGGATCCGGATATCCTTCATGCCATTGATTGTGCCATCCGAGTTGATACATTTTATATGGATATCAAAGGACTGAGGAGTGACTTCTGGGGTCGATGGCTTTTCTTCGCTGGTCGGCGAAGTCTCCGTATGAGTATCGATAGGTGTTTCAGTCTCCATGAAAAAATCAAAAATTTGAAAAGCGCTAAAAATCCTTTTCCAGAACTTTCCGTTTTTCTGGAACTTTTTTCGATTTTCCTTTTCTTTTTTTTGAATCAGCGTGAATCGACGTGTGGCACTGTGTAGCACTGTGTAGCAGCGAACAGCAATAGAGATCAACGACTATCAAGCACCGACGAGTATCCACACGAATCAACGTGGTTCCACCCTCAACAACGCATGTCAAACCAAACAGCCACATCGCAACATTACAATACAGAACGCGTCAAGGCAAAAAAGCAACTTAGAGACGAATCTGGTAATCTCCGGACCGCGTCATATATCGGACCCACTTGACGGTCTGGTAGGAGCTCTTCTCATACACCTTCAAGAATCGGACATGGAGTCCGGACGCAGTGAAGGACGGCACGGCAAAGATGATATTGATGGGGGGCTTGGACCAGACCTTCTCCGTGGTCATCTTCAGCATCTTCACCTCCGCGGCGAACGTGACCTCCTGGCCTCCGGTGAGCTTTCGCAGCGTCCAGTCGATGGTCTGGTCCTTGGCGTTGTAGGCGGCGGTGCCGAAGGCGGCCTTGGGCATCACGTTGGCGGTGTTTGGCGGGACGGGGAGCTTGATATCCACATTCTGCGCCGAGACCTGCTTGCTGAAGTTGGCGATCACCTTCACGTTGATCTTCAGCGTGGTCCCGCTGATCTCCTCGTACACCGGCAGGATGCGGAACGGCAGGTTGATGTTCTCCGTCACGCGGTACTTCATCAGCTCGAACTCTCCGTCGGGCGGAATGAACGTGATCGTGCGGTCCTGGTCGAACCGGCCCAGCCGCACGCACCGGTGGAACGAGCAGTCGTCGATCTCCACGCCCGCGCCCTTCCCGCGCCGCTGTCCCTTCGCCTTCTTCTCGTTCGAGATCAGCAGCTTGTCGTTCAGGCCGAAGCGGCACTCGGGCATGCCCGTCAGGTACGCCTTCATCACGATCTTGCCCACCACTTCGCTGTGCAGCACCGCGCCCGTCTGCGAGATCAGCAGGTTCACGCTCTCCAGCGTGTCGATGAAGATCTCGTTCTTGCGGTACGTGATGCCCTCGCGACGCCTACCCTCAACGCCATCCCTCTTCTCTACCAATCGATCGCTCCCGTCACCTGCGAGGTAATGCTGCTCGCGTCCTCCTCCACAGCGTCGTTCGCCTTCCCCAGACGAATCAGCTGCTTCATCAGGTCGATCGCGCAGTTCTGCGGGTATCCGTAGTCCAGCACTTCTGCATGTTACGCAAAGAGGGAAGATCCACCATCGAAGATTTCGTACACCACAGAGAACTTCTCACGAAGGTCGTCCTGCATGTTAGATCCGCGCTTCTGCATCGCCTACAGCCTTGTAATCCACGCCGAAGTAGCTCTTGAACATCTTCACGAGATGGAAAAGGAAGTGGAAAATCATGCCTGCCAATCATCCCGATCCACCGCGTCCTTACCGGGAGAAGCGTTCTTCTTCGTTACAGCGACAATGTAGTGGTCACTGTTACGGACATAGATGAAGGTCGTTCCGTCAATGTACGTAATAGGAGGATTGCTTCCAGTATCCTTCTTTGCAATAACGTTTGTTCGGAAAGCATCGGCACTCTCTTTTGTCACGTCACTTCTATCCACTCAAAGAAGGATACTGCAAAATACCGATAATAACGAGACACGATGTTCTTTCCCTTTGCATCAATCAACAACAACGCGCTGATCATCTTATATCTATGTCTATTTAGGATAAGATTGAATGTTCAAAAGATTGCAAACAAATCACACGATCTACCTTTTTTCAAGCAATAATGCTTGTATCAATGAAATCCAGGGGGTCCAAATGAATAAAGATTGTCGTGGGAAATGAGATGAATGATTTTGCACCCCCACCCATTTAGAGAAAATCAGGATTTTCTCAATAAACATTGATAAGGAATAGATATGCTATATAAATTGTGAATAGAGTTGTATAGTAGCGGTGATTGATAGAATATTGATAGATTGTGAGAGAAAGTCATCATTATGGAATTGTATATGTATCGAATGAAAGGGATGAGTGTAATAGTGAAATAGGATACAATAGAATCAAAAGTCGAAATTGAGTCGTTTTTTTGTCAACCCTATTTTTCTCAATATCGAGGGAATGGAAGCATCTCAAACGCTGGAACTGGAGCGATCGATTCGAATTGCGATTGTTCCGCTGGGGAACACGCGTGATAACGTAACAGCGGCAGTTCAACATTGCCTTTCTCTAACTGAGTAATAAACGTGATGATCCATAATATCCAGAGCTGTGAAATTACAGGACATCCCCGAATTTGAGATTTACTCAACTCGTTTCAAATCAAGTGATTACGAATCGAATACTGTAAATATTTTGTATACAACGCAACAAACAAACTTCGGAGAAGGAGTTATTTCTCCTTTTGAACCCTTTTTTGTACAAGTCCGTTACTCAAGTGATTTGTAGACATATATGCGCGTTTTCGGATTGATCTGTGTATATGATATGCGAGACGGCTTAAACATGAACTCTATTGAAAAGCTGTTTCTGGTTTGGGCTTGTTGTTTGTATAATTAACAGAACGAGTGCTGCAAGTTTCCACACACGGCGTTTCAGCTTCTTCTTCTTCTAAAAAGCGTGGACGCAATGAGCAAGGAAGATGCCGAGCAGGAGTACAGCCAATTAGTTCGTTTGCTGGAAAACCGCGCTCACAATGTCTCCAACAAATCTGTAATCTTTCTCTTCCAACCCTCATCGCTAGGGAGCGGATCGCGTATTGGATCAAATCTACAGCGTTCCCTGCATCGCCGGCGATAGCCTTCTCCTTTTCCCTTCGTCCACAGGCGACTCCTCCGCCTCCGGACTCACGCACGTCTTTTTGAAGGACTTGGTGGACACGTTTTTCACCTCGCTGAACAAGTTCACAGCAGCGATGGCGATCCGCGAATGCACGCTGTGGCTGTATCAGTTAGAGCACGGGCTGAACGATCGCTGGGTCATCCTGCCTGGCGAAGAAAAATACCGCGAGCGGTCCAAGAAGCAAATCAACCGCGAGGGAATGCTGGAAGGCTATCTGAATCTGGTGTGGGGCGATTACTCGGTAGCGTTTCGATCTCCTTTCGATTCATAGGGCGCGGCAAACAAGTTTTTCCTCGTGTCCAGCAAGTCGAAAGACGTTCTGCTACTGGCTGGTGAGAGAGAATGAGCGGAGTGAGGAATAGCCTGCAATGAGGGCAAGAGCTGCTGCTTGCTGTGCGATTTTTTGGAGCATCCGCAGGATTACAACCATCTGGTATCGATGGTGATGGGTTTGCGATTGAAAAGGGAAGAATGACGCGTAGAAGTGAAGCGGCTGATGAACGAGGCGTATGGTTTCTATCGAAAGAAGGGCTACGATGAATTAGCGATGAGCGTAGCGTTGAAAGGCCCAGTTGATCGCATAGTGCTGCTTCAAACTGATTTGGTTTTACATTCGAATCATCCAGGTCGTTTCGCTTCTCCAATCCCCCTTTCTCACTCTCGAATTATTGGAGCTGAGCGAAGAAGAAGCTGCCATGGTCGCCAATCCCGTCGAGTTTTTCACTCATTATCTGCGACAAAACGTGCTGTACGTGCTTGCGAAATGCGACGATATCGTCACAACGCTGATCGCTTCCGCTTCTTCCAAGGTCGGATTGGCGAGGGAGTGGGATTGTAGCCGCTCTTGGCATCGCTACTGCAATGCGTCGCGATCTGCGAAGAAATGGGGTTCTACCGAAAGAGTTGCTACTTCATGGATAAGGTAATTCGATTTTTGTATTTGTGATTTCTAGCTTGGGAAATACGCAGAACAGCAGAAGAAATGGGCGTTGTGCTATTCGGTTTTTCATACCTGCATCACGCTTCTCTTCGATCGGTTCCTTTTTCTTTCTCTTCCCGACTCATCCATAGAGACGCGTTCAATCAGAGCCAGCCGGCCTTCAATCTGTCCTTCGATTCGCTCAAGACCGATAAAATCAGTCAGGCCATCCAGTGTATTTCTCTGTTTCTCCTTTTCATCCAGCGAATTCGTGGTCATCCATGGCGCTCCACATTCTGCAAGACATGCAGCAATGCGTGCGCGTGCTGGGATACACCGATCTCCGCATCGAATACATTCTCCTGCTTCTCTGCTGCTTCAGCAAGCGTCGTGGCGATGTGCGAATGCTCCGATTCGATGAATTCCAGGACACCGAGTGCATTATCGGCGCGCTTCTGTCCGAATTGAACGATATCAGCACGAGTATCGAGGAATATCACGTAGCCTTCCGAAGGGAAATTGAGACGATAGACCTTCGCGCCGTTTCCGATTCGCTTTCTCTCCATGCAGGCTGCGTGCTTAGCTGACGGCGATGTCGTTTCGGAGTAGAAACCATCGATCTATCTGTCTGAGGATGTAGACGCTCAGTCTCGAATAAAGGATTTATGTTTTTCCCCACGTTCAAACCCAAAACGGAACCCAAGAAAGTGCAAAACCCGGTCTGTCTCTGAGAACTAGAAGCAAATCTGGGTGGTGGGCGACACCTACGCGATGGACGTCACTCTCCACAATCCTCTCTCGTCGTCGATTCTCCTCCATCGACTCGACACGCTGCAAGACGGTTCGGAACTCACGTGCATCGCAGCACGAGACATTTTGCTTCCGCCCTTCGCCAGCGTCACATCGCGATTGTATCTAATTCCGCACTCCTGCGGACAAATGACGATTCGAGGCCTTCGCGTTGGCCTTCTCTTGGGCAGAACTGATCGAATAGGTTCATATCGGAAATGTGTGGAGCTCCGTTTACTCCAATTCAGCCTCCACTTCCCCGATTTTGGAAGTGGAAGTGATTCCCTGTTTCCCCAAACTGCCGATTACCGTGTCGGCTCCGCCGCAGAATTGCACGAAAGGTGATTTGCATTCGTTGGAATTAACGCTGCGCTGCATGGAGGAACAAATCGGAGATTTGACGATCCAAATCAAGATGATTCGAGGCGAGAAAAGTGGAAACGAATGGATTTTTGAAGGGTGAATGAAATGGTTTTGGAATGAGAAATAGAAGCAAACCCGGATTTTCGATAAGTTCCATGATTAAATTGGCGAATCCATCGAATTCTATCGAATCGAATCCATCGAATTCGTCATTAAATCAAATCGCATTCGCGGCCTCCACGCCGGATTCGCTTCCATCCGCTTTGTTCTACCACGAATCGATCATCCAATCACTTCGCTCGAAATTCCCACTGAACGCAAACTCCCAGTTAAAACTCCCGTTTACCGTCTTGATCTCCGATCCCTTGTCTTTATTTATTTCATTCCCTGACCCACAGCGAGCTTCACATCGATCTCACTTATTCCACATCCATCGAATCGAAATATTCACGAACCACGTCCTTTATAACGAGATTTATAACAGAGTCGTACGCGTTGTCTCTGTATTCGCCTCAACTCGACGACACCCAGCCTCAAATTCCTCTTTCCATCACCTCTCCCTTGCTAAACAAACGTACACTCGCTCTCTTCATCTTTCTCATCCATCAGTCCGTCATTTCAAAACCGAAAATGGCGGGAAAACCATCCAATTCTCTTCCATTCTCACCTCCAATTTCAACACCACAACCTTCATTTTGGCGCCTCGATGGATCCTTCCCCCCAACGTTTATCTCTCCCAGTTCCGCATCAAATCCACAAACACCACCGACGTCCCCACGTTCTTGCTCGTTCGTAATCCGCTTTCGGACATGTCGAACGTGAACGTCGACGTCACAGCCCTCAAACTCGCGCTGCAGCTCTGCAATCAGAACTTCGGACAGACCAAAGCAACAGCAGCAGCAACAGCAGCGACTTCACTCAACAAACCAGCGAGTTCGACGACAACCAACAAAACAATCAGCGAAAACGAAATGATTATTCTGCAGGTGAACGGCGTGGAGAAAGACGCGTCGATCAATCTCGCAATGGAACTCACGCGAACGCTGAAGCAGGGAAAGATGAGTATTAGTGAAGCATTTCGAAACGTGTTTGTTTTCTGGAGCAGCGGGTTTGGCAAGAAATCGGGCTTTTTGCCGCTGTCCGAGCTCCTGTCCTTCCAATCGCTCAAAGACAAATTCCTTATTCCCGACAGCGAGCGAAAACGCTTCGTGGAAATGGCGATCAAAAGTCCGCAGGGAGAAACCATGAAGTTCTCCATGCAAGGACCCATGCGAAAGTACCAGGCGAAAGTGGGAGCCACGCTGAAGTTGATGTATGAAGTGGTGGCTCGCATCGAAGGCGTGAATTCGATTCACCAGATGTAAGGAATGGCTGATAAGCTGAATGATAGATTTGTGTGTGGCTTGAATGACAAGCAGAAGATGGTGGTGTGGGATGAGGGTGAGCCAAGTCCGATTCAGGATGTGGCAGTGACGAATTCGTTGTCTGTAGGGAATAAGAATGGGAATGAAGGGTAGATGCCGATTTCTGCACAGAACAAGTTGCATGTGATCGAGTTGACCAAATCATCGAAAGGGTGTGTGTTTGTATATGACTGTGTGTACAATACTCGACTGAAGACAAGCTGTTGGTCTGGAAGAGCAGCGTTTATTTTGTTTGAAGAATACGATTGTTTGTTGCGATAACGTGAATCGTTTACCCACTTTCAGTGCATCTCTAGCAAAGTCGTTTTCCTTCCTCCCCCATTTCCTCCCTCCATTCCTATTCGCCTCCATGCTCTCTTTCCACAATCCAAAACACAATTCATCCAAGTATAATATAATAGTCCGCGGAATCTTTGAAATTCTTGCGGGTTTTTGGCAAGCAGTTTCCTTCCTTTATTTTGATTCTGAAGATGTGTGGAATTATCTGCTATTTCACAAACCCCGACTGTAATATTCATGTTGCCGGACCGATTAACACCGCTTTGACGATGTTACAACATCGTGGCCAAGGTCCGTTTTCCTGGCAAAATCTGAAGTGTAGATGCTTGCGGAATTACAACGTGTGACGGAGAACAGGTTATTACGGTCAAGGATAACGGTTTGGTTTCTGAGTTGTTTATTCTGCTTGCTTGTAAATGTAGAGTCTTCAACCAAAATAATCTAACCAAGCTGCGTGGTTATTATGGTTTGGGTCACGTTCGCTATCCCACTGCTGGTTCCCCGGACAGCAACGAGGCCCAGCCCTTCTACACCAACTACCCGTACGTTTTCAAATTGAATCTCACGCAGGTACGGCATTTCCCTTGCCCACAACGGCAATCTCATCAACTGCGACGATCTCCGTGCGAAACTGCTCTGCAACCTCCGCTGCATCAACACCACGAGCGTAGCTCTTTCCTCTCCCCCTCTCTCGCAGGACAGCGAGCTCCTCCTGAACATGTTCGCCGATGAATTGGAGCATCGCATCGACCGCTCCTCCGCTGCCTCCGGACAGATCCCTAAGCCCTCCGTCTCCACGCTCTTCGACGCCGTCCACGCCACGATGGCGCAAGTCCTCGGCGGCTACGCGGTCGTGGTGCTGATCAAAGGCGTCGGCATGCTGATTTTCCGCGATCCCCACGGGATTCGGTACGCTTCCAATCGAATTCTCACTCCAGCCCGCTCTGCTTCGGCGTGAAACGCGACGACGCGGGCCGCATCGTGGAATTCGCGGCGGCTTCGGAGAGCATCGCGCTGGAAGCGATCGGAATCGACCGAGAACGCGACGTTGCCGCGGGCGAAGCGCTGTTCATCGACATGGAGATGCGTCTGCACTCGCACATCGACGCTCTGGCGCAGACCCACTCGCCGTGCATCTTCGAATACGTCTATCTGGCGCGTCCGGACAGCGTGATGGACAACATCTCGGTCTACGAAGCGCGCGTGCAGATGGGAATCCGCCTCGCCGAGCGGCTGCGAACGCTCCGCGTCCGCCAACACGACCAAACTCTGGACGTTCTGGAGCCTGCAGAGGCCGGGTACGACGCGACGCTGCCTCCGCTGGAGCAGATCATCGACTGCGTGATGGCGGTGCCGGACACGTCGCGCCACACCGCGATTTCGGTAGGGTTCCGCGGGGATTTCGATGCAGGTGGCGACGAGTCTGGGGAAGCGGTACATCGAAGGACTGTCGAAGAACCGGTACGTGGCGCGCACGTTCATCATGCCCGCGCAGCAGATGCGGCAGAAGAACATCCGCATCAAGCACAACCCCATCCATGTATTCCAAAAAAAGCCCCGATTTTTGTCTAGGACGCGGTGAAGGGACTGTCGGTGCTGGTGGTGGACGACTCGATCGTGCGAGGCAACACGACGATGATGCTGGTGGAGGCGATTCGTCGCGCGGGAGCGAAGCACGTGTTTGTAGCGTCGGCTGCGCCGCCGATTCGGTTCTGCAACGTGTACGGGATCGATATGCCGACGCGACGCGAGTTAATCGCGTTTAACAAGACCGAGAAGGAGGTGGCCGCCGCGATCGGAGCGGATTTCGTGCTGTATCAGAGCTTGGAGGACTTGAAGCGGGCGTGTCGCGATGCGGCGCTGTGTAGAAGCGAGGAAAAAGCGGTGATGAGTAGATGGACCGGCGCCCGAGGCGTTCGAGTGCTCGTGCTTTGATGGGGACTATGTGGGGCAGGAGGGGGAGAGTGAGGTGTAGGTGACGGGAGGCGTCGATCAGAGCTATTTTGATAAGCTGGAAGCGATGAGAGATGATGCGGTGAAGCAGAAGAAGTTGTAATCGCGGAATGGGGAGAAGGTGCGTTTGAAGGACGCGTAGATTGGATTAGGATGTCATTTACGGGGTGTTTGTTGAAAACGCAGAAAATGTCTACTGCGCACAAACCTACGTGGACTCCGGCTGCTGGACGAGGAACGGGGAATGGAGCGATTTCCTCTTCCGGATATCTGACGGGAGGTGGGAGATGGGCGAGGTCGCTGAAGTGTAGGCAGTTTGAGTATGCACTTCTCGGCAAAGGATCTTCCCGGACATTTGAAGTTGAAAATGAGGTAGGTTTGCTGTTTTTCGAAAATTGACCCACAGAGAAGTGATTCCCGAGGTCAAACCGCCTCAAGACATCAAGCCAAAAGAAAGTAGAATAACGTTAGATTCAAAATCGTGTAGAAGAAGAAGATGAGGTGAAAAAAGAGCTTCCCGTAGTTTTACAAAAACCCGAGCCAAAAGTGAACGATGATTTTGGTGATTTTGACGATTCTGACGAGAGCGACAGCGAGGAATCATCTTCCGAATCAGACTCGTTTGAATGCTTTAGTGTTCTTTCCAAATCATAGAGAAGACGATACTGCCTTGCTGATGAAAGAATTAGAGCGCGTAAAGAAAGAGAAGGAATTGGCCAAGCAGAAAGAAGTGATTTTGATTTGTTGGATGAACGATAGGAAGAAGAAAAGGCGCAGATGGAGGCGGCTCTCAATCGTGAGGAGATGATTCACTCGAACCCGTTGCTATTTAATACGGGAGATACGTTAAAGCGAAGGTTTTGAATTGGAATGGGAATGAGTTGAAGATGGGACGATGACGTGGTGTTCCGAAATCAAGGAAAGACCGAGAAACGGCCAAAGCGGTTTATAAACGACACGATCCGAAATGATTTCCATGTAAACTTCATGAATACAGTTTTTCGACAATGAAGTGTTTGTTTTGATTCCAACGTGGTGCAAAGTGCTGAATATGCACTGTTGAGAGGAATGGGGTTTGTTCCATGTCTCTTCATGCGATTCGGCTCATTGTTTGCATTCTTTTTGGTTTCTTGTTTTCCTCCAAGTTTTATATACTCTCACCTTTCCACACCCTTCATCCCTCTCATTTTCAAACAAACAAACAAACAAACAATGATACGCAAAGATACAAATCCTTCACTCCATCGAATGCTGTCGAGCACACGCAGCATGCATCGCCACGCCGTCCGGGAACAACGTAAACACGGAATCACCGAGCACTCGATTACAAACCGGACAGAACGTAACCGGCGTGTTCTCGAACGACGAATTGCGCAAACTCATATACTCCTCGCTCACGTCAAATCTCCGCACCGCCGCCAACTGCCTCAGCATCAGCGAGCTTCGCCTGTTCTCCTCCAATTTCGTCATCACCACTTCAATGCTCTCGATTAACTACCGTCCACTCGACTCCCTTCGCTTACATCGTTCAAAGGAACGTCGTCTGGGAGAAGCCGCAGCACTTCCACGATGTTCACATGGCTACTTCGAATCGAATTCCACGAAACTCACTCGGAATGATCGGTCAACACGCCGATGGCGAGCTTCAAACTCTCGTTCCGCGATAAAATCGAGGATTCGGGCGGAAACAAGTAGCTAATCAATGAATGAATGACTCAACGCCCAAACGTTTTGAGTAAATAAATGAAAATATTCTCGTTTCGATTCGAATTCCACACTTTCTGGCAGTACGCCTCCGCCATGTTTTTATTCCCCAATCGATGCGCAATGATTTCCAATGCCGCCAAATCTTCGCCCAGCTTCGATAGAATGATCTACCAACAAAAATCGGCCAATCAGATTACGGCTTTTTCCTCCAAAAACGAATCCGCGGGGAACGAGCGCAGCAATTCCGCCGCGTCGTACGAATTCGACAATTCCAGAAACTCCAGCAATTCCGTCTTGCTGCGGAATAGTATTTCGTTGCGCTGGTGAAGCAACGTCTGCAGTCCCGATTCTGCAACGCCCAGATCCGCTCCCATTTCCGCGGTTATCTGCTGTTCTTGCAGGGACTGGATTTTTTCTGCATGTGATTCGAATCGAATTCGACGACGTTGCAACATTTCCACGTTTTCTTGGAGACTGGAGATGCTGCTCATGTACAGCAGGACGAGTTTCGTGTGGAAAAACGCCTCGGTATTGTTCTTCGACCAAATCAAATTCCGCAGAAACGTGATTTCGAGCGCGTTTTGCTCCCAGGGATGCTGCAGCGTTGCGTCTTTCATCGACAGCGCGTGCAGCTGCTCCAGAATGGCTTCGTTCGGAATGGGCTCGCCGCCATCGACCGGATCGTAGCCCGCGAAGAGATCGAGAACCAGCGATCGCGATTCTTTGTAGAACATTTCGCTGCAATCGAAGATCAATTCCTTGTATTTGCTTCCCAGTTTCTGAAGGTAGTGCATCAAATCCGCCAGGCGTTTCTGCCGATCAGCTGCGGAAAGGCCGGGTTTGGAGAGCGGCGAAAGGATTTGAGAGATCGCCTTGGCGTGAGGAAACGGGGAAACGGGGAAATACGAGTTCGTGTTTGTGGTGGGTCGAGTAAAGAGCGATCAATTCGGACTCCATTCCCGCGGAAGCGAGGAGTTTCTGGGAATCGTCGAAGGAGCAGAAGTTCACGCCTTCGAGAAGCGGAATGATGGCTTGTCGATTGGAGCGAATGTACGCTCGGAGCAAAACCTGCATGACGAAGGAAGGAGCGAATGCCAACGTTGTCGATGAGCGTCAAATCGTCTCGAATTTGCGATTCATCGTTCAGATTGGTCGATAAAAACCCGATCGTGCTGAATGAAGGGTTCGAATCGTTGTTCGTTTCCGATTCGCCTCCTTCTTTCAAGCTCTCGAATTGCTGCAGTTTGATCTATGAAAATAACGATGGAATGAAGCGCCGTCTACCAACAATTGCTGTCTTCGCGTGTTGAGAAGCGGAAGTAGCGCGTCGATCGCCGCGTTTTCCTCCATTCGCGAAGCGAACACGCGCTTCGGATAGGGCGATCTGCACGTCGTTCACGCGAAGCATTGCGTACATATCCGTGGGCAAATCGTCGGGGATGATCGAAGGGTAGAGCGATAAAACTTGGCGCGTGGGAACTTGGCCGCGCTGCAGAAACGAAATGGCTTTGTCGTATTTCCCTTCGCTGAAGAGATAGAGGCCTTTCAGGCGTGCGATTTGGGTTTTGAATTGGTCGCGGATCATTTCCTTGCCGCGAGGAAACAAATTGCAAAGCGTTAAGGCGTCGTCGAAGTTTTTGTACTCATCGGAAATGAGAATATTGATCTGAGCGTTACAAACAAACAGGAAAAACACTTGTTCTTGCAGCGGACGCATCTTCAGCAGAATCACTGAAGACTGCGAGCAAACCACAACTCCGTCCACTACATCATAACACGAAAACGCTTCCATCGCACCCGCTACGCTCTCGGAATGCAAGCGACTGATTTCCATGGATCGGGGCGACGAAAACGGAATCATCTTCGATCAAAACCCGATCCCAGACGCACCTGAATGCGCTGATATCTCCACGAATTGTGGACTTCGATGCCGTTCGACGTCGCTACGATGAAGTAGGGGCAGAGATACACTCCGTTGGAGGCATCGCTGGACCATTCCAGATGCTGGCCTTTCTACACTCGCTAGGGAGAAGAAAAGGAAACGCCGCGCGCGGGAGAGCCGACGAAGTCATAAAACAGACCTTTGCGATCGTTTGCTAGAAGCATTTCGCCTTGTTCGCGCGTGTCGTTCTCTACAGCGTCGGATTCGGAGCCCAGAAAAGAGTTCTTCTGCTCGATCGGAGTGCAGAAGGGGACGTTTGTCGATTTACTAATGTCACAGATATCTTTCACAGATCGTCCTTGATTGATGTCCACAAGACAGTACTGCCTCTTTGTACCAACGAAGAGGAGGGAGTTTAAAAAGGACATACAAACGACTGGATCTGGAAGAATGATCTCTTTCAAGAGTGTCTGAGAGACTTGAAGACCGTCACGAAGCTGGTAAACTAGCAGTTTTTTCTTTATGGCTGCTACAATAATATGGCGACTTTCATCAAGGGTAAAGAACGTCGATCCCATCGAGTTGGGCAAGATCCCGATTTTATCAAGACTATCTAATTTGTGAATCTAGAAATGAGAGAAATGAGTAACAGCTTACGGAAATTCCCTTGTCTGTGAGAGTGAGGAGAAGATTCCATTTTAAAACGCTTTTCATCATGTAAACGCCTTTTTTCGAATCAGAAAAATGCGGAATCGTCATCTTTTCGGAAAAGTGGATTGGTTCGGCTACTACTCACTAACAATGGATGCAGATACTATTTTCCAGTTGGTAAACAAGCAGGTTTCCATCTTTACAGGAGACAAACACACGATCACCAGCAGCGGTCACTGAAACGATCTTATTCCTTGACACCGTCACAATCTTGACCACGTCAAATACTTGGATGGACATAGGTCAAAAGCAATTCTTTGAATGAAATCTGGAAAATGGTGTGAAAATTGGAATTCCATAATTAGTTGGAATGAGGGAAAGATGTGAAAAGCAATGCAGTAGGGTGATCTTTGGGAAAATTGGTTGGTCGGTATGTAGGATGCGTACATGACGTTAGCAGAGATGAGATGACTGGGAATGGAGCGAACAAGGTAGTGTAATTGACTGGAATAGAAAGGAAATGTGAATTGTGAAGAATTCAAATGGTTGATAATCGATTTATCACACGAATCGTTCCAAATGAAAGAATGAAAGGAAATACATTTTGTTTCTGATATTGCTATAGGCTTAGAAATAAGTTAGGAAATGAATAATAAACCAATAATTGGTGGGATTAAACCTACTAGACAACTGAATGTGAGCTAGGTTTTAATGTGTATTGAAATGATGCTGTTCTACTTTGAATAAGGAGATGATAACACGTTAGTATCCATATTCTGACAAACTGACAAAGTGAAGAACTAATATTCACAAAGTTGGATGTTGATGATGGTGTTTTTGAAGTCCTGCCACTTGAGAAAAGAGAGTGAATAGAGCAAGAAGTATGGTATACAATGTAATTAGGGAAGAAGGTCGGTTAGGTTTGAATGAAGCATCCAGCAGAGTCAATAATAGGCTGGTTTTTAATCGACACATCTTCTTGGCATTTCAGCAATGTTACTGTGGTGTTGAACTCAATCTAATAAATATTGAAAGCAAATGATTATCATAATAATAATAATAATAAATAACCAAGTGCTATGAAACTATATCTGTTATTGATTTGAAGTTCTTGGGCATTAATGGATCGAAAGCGATCATATAACATCCAGGTTGTTCTGTATTAGCTTTCAATGATATTGTAAGATTGAATAGTAAAAGATTATAATCCAGTTGATAAGTAGCAATAATAATCTGATAAATGAAGTCAGCTGGCAATCACTTGATAACCAGAATACGTGATTCCTGCTTATCACTGTATTATGTTGACAAATACATTGTTTCAATGAACAATTACAAAAATCAAGAATCCAAAGTTGGAAAGAATATCCATATTCGTATGCTATTATGAAAGTAATAATAAGTGGTTTGAAATACAGTCCTAACACTATAGGAAGCAAAGAAAATAACAATACATGAGTATATATTACTTGAGAATAGTGATACTGCATAAACCATATCATGTGATGTAATTCTGGAAGGTTACAATTTCAATCATATTGCTTACCATGATTGAGCCAAGCAGATAGAAATATATTCGCATGATCGCTAAAATGACTATGTATGGAGAGTTTGTTGAAAGGCGAAGAAGGATGGGGAATTGAAAAAAGCATAATAGAGCAGAATAGAATCAGAAGGTATCTGAAAGAATCACGAACGAATGGAAATCGTTTGCAGGATCGAAAATAGGATTGTGATGGAGTTCAGACGAAATAAAAGCAACTTTATTGTATCTAACCGAGTATCCCTAAATGTTAAATAAATCACTCATGATGAATCGAAAGAATCATAAGTTCGAAAAAATTGAGGCTATTGGACTGATAAAAAACGCAGACTAATACTCGGAAAAAAGAATAAAAAGATGGAAAGGAAGAGAGTTGTTGTATGGATAATACATTCGCTCGCTCGCCCACTTTGTTTTGCTTATTTTCCATTATTAATATTTCTTTTTGCTTTGTTTTCAAATCTAATGCAATTTCTATAGTATATTATGGAATTGAAAGACACTTTTATTCTTAATTAGTAATCGATTCGAATCCTGTTTTGAAGTTTCAATCAAGACAATCACTCTCTGAGCATCTTTCAATACCAGAATACTACAGCACACATAAGATACTTGCATTATTTGATGTGATAGAGTAGTGGATGATCACTTTTGCTATTCCTACCACAAAGTCAAATAACAATTTGTATTCATGGATTTGAATTCTCTATTATTCCAGAAGATCATTTACGGAATATATTACAAATCAAAGCATTAAACCTATTAGTACTCTCCATTGGCTAGACAAGTCAAATATAAATTCTCATCATTTAAATATACTATTATTAATAATGGATATGAAAAAGTATTTCGCAGAACAGTGAATTGATCACAGTAAAAATGATGCAATAGCTGGACATAGTATTCCAGGCTGACTCCACGAAAAGTGGTGTAAATAAAAACGAAAACACCGATATACAATACAAAACAGAAAAATACAACAGAAAGAAAGTGATGCCCAGAATAGCATATGCCATGGCGCAATCCTTAAGAAATAGTACGTAGTGTAGTCAACAAATATAGATTTTATCAAGGTGTATGAATAGTGTTCCGAAATTACTTGCTTTTTCCAAATAGCCTTTTTTCGATGCAAAACATTGCTGATTTTGTCAATTCTGCTATTAGTAACTATCATATTGATAGTTCCATTATTCAAAGTGTGCAGGGATGCTTAGGTAAAGAAATGAAAGCCGATGGCTGGATTTTACTCATATTGAGTAATAGAGAATGTGTAGTATTGCTGTTCAATAATGGAGTATTCTTGAATCAAGGATTTGTACTCAATGAGCAGAAAGTGTTGAAAGTGATTGGAAATCATCAAATTGGTGCTATTTCATATAATGAAGAACAATCCATTGTAGAAAAAGGAATAGTAGACTTAGATCATGGAAGTCGATTTGAAGGATTGATATTGACAGATAACAAGTTTGGAATTCCATTTGGATATGGTGAAATGTATGATAATGATGGAATATTGGTGTACAAGGGCATAATGATCAATTGGAAACGATTTGGATATGGAACGAGTTATCATAATAATGGATGTATTGAATATGAAGGATATTGGTGTGATGATAAGCGATTTGGAATTGGAATCGTATATGATCGATATGGTAAATTAGTGAATGAATGTGAATGGTGTAATGGAAATGAAAGTGACATTGAATACGAAGGAAATGGAAGCAAGCCATTGAATATGGGAACGAAACATTTGAAACTGAGTGACAATTGTGTATTGGTTGATTGGGATGTTTCGTTGTTGTATGATTTGGAATCAATCGAAATCGGCAATGAATGCTTTGAATCAGTACAAACATTCCAAATCGATGGACTGAATCGATTGAAAACTATCAAAATCGGAAACAATTCATTCACTAAGAATAACAATTGGATTGGAAATGACAAATCGAAATCATTCCACATATTGAATTGTGAATCATTGGAATCCATTCAAATTGGTGAATACAGTTTCAGTGATTTTGGAGGCGACTTTGAATTGAGGAATCTACCACAATTACAATCCATTCAAATTGGTACAATTGAATGTTATTCATTTAATTTCTATAATAGTTCATTTGTGGTTCGAGGTATTGATATGATATTGAATATTTGAATGATGCATAGATCTTCCAAATCTGCAATTTTTACCCTAGGTGATCATGTATTCCATGATTGCCTATCAACAATAATTGAAAGTATTGAATGAATTTGAATGAAATGATTGATGTAGATCTTCCATCATTACAATCCATTCAACTCGGTGATTGTGCACTTGATGGAAGTGGAGCTGATTCATGTTCATTGATAATGCGAAGTAATAATGAATTGATTGGTTATGATTTGTTTTGTAGATCTTCCAAATCTAACATCAATAACTTCTGTAGAATGGAATTTCTATTATCCTCGTGTAGTGACATTGGCAAGTATTTCTGAATATTGAATATTGATAGTATTTAGATATTCCAAATCTTCGAAATGTCGATCTATCTGGTGGTTGGCTTGATCGTTTATTCGGGTGTATTGGATCGAAATCAATTTCGAGTATTGCTTGCTTGATTTGATTTGATTTGATTTGATTCATAGATGTTTCTTCGATTCTCGCTGATCTTGTCAAAGACACTCAGTAATTCAAACACTGGATATACAAACTTCATTCCATTCTATTCCATTCAAGGATCAATGTGTTTTTATTGCGTATTTGAATCAATTGATTGATCGTTTGTTCCATAATCCCTTACCATCATTCTATGATACTCATTGATTTAGGATCCAATCATGAATTGACTCTTCCATCATAACAACCCAGATTAGTTTAGCTAGTATATACCGATCCTTTGCGTAATCAATGTGAAGGATAAAAGTAACCATTAAAAATAGACAAGCAAAACTATCAGGATAGAGCTTGATATAGCGTTGATAATAGGTGTCTGTAATATCTGAAAACCACTCAACTATTGATGATTGAATTGAAAATAAAGGAACAAACAAGATTGTACAAGATAGAATCTTAAAGCATATTTAAGATACGTTGTTATATTTGAGTGGAAAAAATGTGAACGCAACTCATTGTATTGATTCGATTTAGTTTTTTTGAATGAAGAACTACACTGTTATCACTAAAAGAAGTTTCTGTTATGAATGTATAATTATGGGTGTTGAGAATCATAATGAATTGATTTTTGTATTAAGTACAAGTGATCTAAATTACAGAATAGTTTGAAAACAATTTAATTGTATTGTGATATCGAAATCACAACATACTGGTATTACGGAGTATCAATCAAGAGCTTTTGAATACATTTGTGCCTATATATATACACTATTTTCCCCCCGATGTCTGAACCATCCCACTCTTATATTATCTCCACTAATATTGAAAATGTGAAATTCGCTATATTATCTCTACTCTCCTGGTGATACGTACAAGTGGATCAGTTTTCTATTTCGTACATTGTTTTGGACATAGCCAATTTGAATTTTGTTTTCTATATTCACTCATTTCTTTTGTTTTCCACCTCTTATGAGTAATACTTTATGTTTAGAAATGTAACCATTTTTACTGAAATCCCCTGTGACTGAATTTTGATTTTCCATATCACATTCTACGTGTTGTGTTTTATTCTTTTCATTCATTGTGTAATGGCAGAATCACTTAGTAAATCATCTTTTATGACAGTAATTCGCTCCTGTCTTTCCGAATAGTGTACATGTAACCTTT